GACAGTGGCTGAAGCAGTGGCAATAGCAGTTACAGTAGCAGCCACAGTAGCTGTAGCATGGCAGTGGTGGCGACAGTGGCAGTTGCAATAAATACCAATTGCAGCATGATGTTGTCAACATCAGGGCCCCTCCAATTCAGTATTATATTGAATTGGTAAAATTGCTTGACAGTAATAATGATTTAAATATGACGATAACCAAAGCTAATTATTATACTGATTAAATATTTCAGTTCCATGCGCCTTGACAGTGTTTTTGAATATCCTGAAATCATACGAGCCAGTAATACAAATTTAATATGGCGCTTGCCAATAACACATATTTTCGTCATTAATTGACAATTTTCATATTGAAATTTTTTATTCATGCCCCTGGTCAACAACAATTATAATAGTATGAAAATTTAAGTTTCTTGTAGTAGTATGAAGCGTTTCATGTATAGTAATCACAAAAATATTGGTCTTAATGTTAATAATAGTAACAAGTGCAGACTGGGCGTCCTAACCGTTTTAGTAGCAAAAAACACAAAATTGTTCGGTCCGCTTAGAGACCCGCACGCGAAGCGCGCCCCAGTTTTAAACGAAAGATTGCGTCAGCTTTTAGCCAAAACCTGTGAAAACGGAGGGTTTAATGCTTGCATTTTACCGGCACTTCGGATGATTGACGCGCTTCGCGTGGGCACTATCGCTGCTGCTGCTACTCCTACCTCATCACTACTTATATTGCTATACTACTCATATTCCACTATTGTTAAAGATATTGCATTTGTTATGCTACCTGTGGCGCGCGTTACTGCTGGCCACAGGCACTATCTGCTTACCACTACTGCAACTACAGCTGGAGCAGCTGTACTACAGCTACTACAACTACTATTTCACTACTGTTAATGATGTCATAGTAATGTTGTCATTGATATTGCTTGTTCGTATCTGCTGCTATCGCTGCTGCGGCTGTTTATTATCTGCTGCCACTACCGCTACCATTGTTATTTACGCTACAACTACGATCTCCAGCATTGATAATGGCACTGTAATGATATTGCTCCTGCTTTCTTTTTCATGCCTGAGAAAGACTGCCAAAATCTACTCCATACTGCTTGACTTGCTGCATAATATCACGGGGCATTTCATGGCTTGCTCAAGCTAAATTTATACGTAGATGCCATCTGAATATCGCCGTCCACCGTGGTGAAAACGACGCGATCCAAACATCATCGATGATCTTATCGTCCTCTAGACCCTTATAAATCACTCTCCTCTTTTCCAAATAATGTGTGTGACTTGTATTGCTGCGTAAGTAATATCAATATGACGTATTGTGTCTTTCACGTATTTTGGCGGGTGAGCTGTTAATTCAGGCGGAATTAGAGTCATAAAAGGGTGATCAACGCTTATTTAGTGCTAATTATGCCTAAGATTGTGAGCGCTTCCCCTAACATCCGCGATCAGCATTTGAGAGCTAATCGACGGAGATACGAACAGAATGGCATGGATTGGCGGATAGGAAACCGCCGATCGCTCTGTTTCCGCCTATTACAGAATGGCATGGATTGGCGGATAGGAAACCGCCAATCGCTCTGTTTCCGCCTATTAATAACGAAGGCTGGATTAGCTTATTCCGCCTTGAGTCGGCTTCACCATCGCCGCTACGACCCGGAATTAACATGGGAATTAGCTAACTCGGGGCATAATTAAGGTCGATAACGGATTAGAGTTATGCCAGAATTATCACGGCAGAATAAGTGAAAGGCACAATAATTTTTATTCGGTATATTGCTGTTGGAATTGTTCGCCTGCGTCACGATCACTGCCATACCACTGCAACTGCCCTACTGTCAATGCCACCGCTACTGCAACCGCTATTAGTTACTGACTTTGAAACTGATATTGTTATCGCTATTTCTGTTACTATCTTTTTTTTGCTCACCCCACGATCAGGAAGAAAACTGTCAAGGTCTACGGTACTCCATGGTGCGTGAGTTGTTGCAACCCAGTATAATGTCATCCAACGAGACTTCTTCACGAGCCGCACCTAGTAAAATACCTCTATTTTTACGAACTACATCTGCAATTTACACGTTACTGCAGTTATAAAGTCCGCGGTGCAAATTGGCGCTAATTTCGCTGCGCCATGCGTTCATATTGCTTTACTTAGGCTCTTGCTGCAGCAAACATCACGCCCATCTAATCGAGGGTGTGAATTAAACCGCACATTTTGTTTTGCTTAAGTTTTATTCCAAATCCAAAACCACGTCAAAAGCATCGATCCGGACGCTGCGCTCTTTATACCGGTAATACCATGAGATTTTGGATACTCTAGTTCATATTAAAATGTACCGAATGTATTAAACTGATGGTCTGACAAGAAATGACGCTGGCTCTAAGCTATCCGCGTAGAGAACTATTGTTGCTGTGCGTCGGCTTGGATTGCAAGCTAGTATTGGAAGAGAGTGTAGTAGCGGTGTAGTAGAGCGCCTTTGAATTGCGAGCGATCCGTAGATGATGCCTCGATGGTCCGCTTCGTTGGGGCAAATGCATTGATGTGCTGTTATCGATCACAGTGCAGTCTGGATACCGGTAGTGTTATCTTGACATCAGGCTCCGTGAGCACGTCGAAGAGACTTGCGTGTAGTGCACCCAATGCGCTGTAGAACACCCGCATAACTGGGATCAGCAAGTTGCTGGCTTTGAAGAAGTTAAACCTAGTTGTATTAGGCGCTTTCTCGAGATGGAAAAACGAAATTCGCTATAAGCTTGCAGTGCAAAACATTTTAGTTCCGCGCCCACCGGCTGAGCCACACCACGGGGCGAGCTCGACAGAGCGAGACCCGGGGGCTCAGCCAAGGGGGGCGCGGGTATTTAGCTTGTAAGCTTTTCACAAAAAGCAACAGATCGCTGAGAGACCTGCGTGCACCGCGCGCCGAAGTCGAGTCCAGCGGCCAACCCAGCACTCCAGCGGAACGGACTCTAACCGCCCTAGGTTGCGCCAGACTTTGATTACGGTCTCCGATTTTTGCTGTTCGGAGTGAGTCGTTTCGTTCCTGATTCCTGACCGCTCAACGCCGTTGGGTGTGCCTTGGTTCCAACTTCCACGCACTCGCCCGTGCTGAATGGATTCCTAGCTCTTGCGGGGGTTTCCTTTCCGTTGTTGCGCTGGTTGCCGAGTGCCAGCCCGCGCACTAGCGAAGGATAGAACGCTCACCTCCACAAGATGGCTCCAACACGCTACAGCAGACGACCTAGCGGGGTTGGGAGCCCTCGCTCTGCTCCGGTTTTCCAGGTCCTCACTATTCAAATTGCAGCCCAATTCCAACCGCCTCTCAAAGCGAAGGACAACAACTTCCAACCAGCCTACCCTCCGCACCATGAACATCAAGGGCCTGTTCGCGATCGCACTTGTGGCGCTCCTGGGTGTCGCCAACGGCGAGTCAGCAGTGCAGGAGGCCGATACCGCCGTGACGCGCGAGCTGCAGATCGCCGACTTCAGCACCAAGCTGGCACTCGCCATCAACAGCAAGCGCGCCGAGAAGGGGCTCAAGGCCGTCTGTATCAACAAGAAGCTCATGAAGGCGGCCCAGGTCCAGGCCGACTACATGGCCCAGACCAACAAGGTCGGCACCACGGGATCGGGCGGATCCACGCCCACGATTCGCTACGCCACGCAGCACATCGCCACCTCCAAGTCGGCCGAGATGGTCGCCGCGGGCCAGACCACCGTGAACGCCGTCGTGGACACGTGGGTCAAGTCTGCCGGCGCGTACCTGTTCAGCGACCTCAAGTTCATCGGCCCCGGCTACCGCTACGACGCCACCAAAGAGTACAAGCACTACTGGGTGCTCGACATGGCCAACGCGGACGGCGAGGTCTGCATGTAGAGATACCGATCTGGAGTTTGCGAGGTCCACAGCGGCACCATACTCTCCTAAGGCTAAGCTTGATATGCTAACTTCTTTCCCATTTCAAAACACCTGGTATCTGCGGTTTGTTCAAGACCGCTTTGGTCTGATTCATCCGTCAGCTGCAATGTCCGTGGCAACGTGTCATTTGCGAGGAAGCTAAGTGTCCTAGCTAGGACTCCTAGGACCTAGCGAATTTGGATTGAGGGTTCGCCGAAGACGCGGCATTGCCCGGTTGAACTTTATCACGATCGGTCATTGGCCCCTCTGCGTCGATCGGCACCTGCCTGCTGGCCGCCGCAGGTGATATGCAGCCTGGCGCTAGAAACTCAGCAGCACGAACACCCTGATGTGCAGCGAAATTTTGTTTTCATCGAGTGCCTCAGTGAGGCCCTCACTACACGTGAGGCGTTGACTAGACCATCTCCATGCAGATGAAATGTCCTTACATCTATAAGAACTTACGTCGCAATGCTGCCAACAACGAACAGCATTCACTGCATTAAACATTACTGGGCGTAGTTACCGTACATCCATGTATTCGCCACCGCGACGCGGATTGCGCCGCTATCCTGATTTACTGCAGCGTTCCCGCTTCAAATAAGGCGCACAATCCTGATCATGGGCTTTGCAGGGTACAGGCGTCCCCGGTCTATTCGCCACAGTGGTACTTATGATGTTTGCGAATCAACAAGATTCACGCCTCTGAACATAAATGAGTATGTACTGACTTACTAAAATCTTAGCTCAAGAATACTGGAGGTATTCCCGCAACATGCCACTTGTAGCAGTAGGTCTCGCTGTAAACTCATCTAAATCAATATGCTTGCAGAAGTAGCGCGCAAATCTTGAGAGCTTGTTGTACTTCCTGTGCGAGGTACATTAAAATATACAGCCGGGACTAACCCGGGACGCCTGTACTGTATCAAGCTGGGCCTCGAGCTGATCGGCAATGCTGATCAGCTCAAGCCATGCCGAATCGGCATGGCTTGGTCTCGATACATGTAGATCTTCGCTTGGTGAATCTCGCTAAGCCACGAATCACTTCTCAAATTGCAGCGCGACCGCAACACATCCTTTCAAGAGAACCAGCCACCCAAGACCATGAACATCAAGGGACTTTTCGCGTTTGCGGTCGTGGCCCTCGCCGGCATGGCCAACGCTGAGACCAACGAGCACGTCGCCCGTGAGCTGCAGGTGGCTGACTTCAGCACGAAGCTGTTGAACGCCGTGAACGCCCTGCGCTCGAAGAAGGGCCTCGCTGCCGTGTGCATCAACACAAAGCTGGCGGCTGCTGCCCAGGACCTGGCCGACGACAACGCTGCGAGGAACACGGTCAGCACCAAGGGCTCCGACGGCTCGACCCCAAGCACGCGGTATGAAGACGAGGGCATCGAGACCAAGCAGTCGGCCGAGCTTGTGGCCGCCGGCCAGTCCAGCGTGGACGCCGTGGTGGCCACGTGGACCAAGTCCTCGAGCACGTACCTGTACAGCGACTTTAAGTTCATCGGCCCCGGTTACGCCTACGACAAGTCCAAGCAGTACAAGCACTACTGGGTGCTGGACTTCGCCAACGCCGACGGCGAGTCCTGCGCGTAGAGTATAATCTACGAGTGACTGTTAGGCCACCACAAACAACACACTAACTCTGTAATGCAAAAAACAACTTTTAATACAACTGTAGCTTCGTTGGTCCCTTGTCGTACATGTAGCCGCCATTGCGATTCAATCCGCTGCCTTCTCAACGTGTAATGGCATAGCCGCTGGACGTTCCCCACCGAGGTCCACATGGCGATCTTCGTGCAGTGGACGGATTGTCGACTCGAACGGCTACGCCACGTTACACACGCTTCAAGGATACGCCGCTGATTTGCCTCGTCACTTTCGTAAAGGTGAAGGGGCACATGACGGCAGAAGACAGCCAGACCAAGTTGGATAGCCCTGCCACATTAACGCGTCTTCAGGGCAGCGTAGCACAACCGACCCACACCAGCGCGCGCCAGCATTGATTGACCTCTGCTAGGCACGCTCTTGCGCCCGCGTCACAAAAGAGCGCGGCGGGTCTCGGCGTCGTGACGCCGGAAAACTTGGGCCAAACACCTTGCGTTGCGTTACATGTACGTACTGTAGTTTGGAGGCCACCGTGGCGAACTTGTCCCCATCTGCAGTCGAAATTCCGATGATCATAAGCTTTGCTCGGCGTGGAGCGCGTTTCTAAGCTGCTGCTAGGGCTCCGGACCACAGCCTCCACGCTCGATGTGTGTGTGTGCTCCGTGCTACTCACGACGCTCCCCCGAAAAAATCTTCAGGCTTTTCACTTCATTTTCCAAATTGCAGCGCAATACCAAACCCCCTCCCTCCACTCCAAGCGAAGTACAAGACCCACCATGAAGAGCTTCCTCGCCCTCGCACTCGTCGCTCTCGTTGGCTCGGCCAACGCCGTTGAAGTTTCCCGTGAGCTCCAGGTCGCTGACTTCAGCTCCAAAGTGCTGAACGCCGTCAACGCCAAGCGCGCCGAGAAGAACCTGACCACGGTCTGCATCAACTCGAAGCTCGCGGCAGCTGCCCAGGTCCACGCTGAGGATATGGCCGCCAATAACTTCATCGGCACGTCGGGCTCGGACGGCTCCACCCAGGTGGACCGCCTCGAGGCGCAGAACCTGATCGTCTCGGCTGCCGCTGAGCTCGTTGGCGCCGGCTACACCACGGTGGACAGCATGGTTGCGGCTTGGCTCAAGGCCTCGAGCGACTACATCTACGCCGACTACCCGTACATCGGCCCCGGCTACAAGTTCGACAAGACCAAGCAGTACAAGCACTACTGGGTGCTCGACCTCTCGGACGGTGAGGGCGAGAGCTGCGCTTAGATCAAAGATGCAGCGTTAACGCCATCGTTGAATGAAAGGTTTCATTTAACCATTTAACTCAATTGTCCACCTTGTTGACACAATGTCCACCTTGTACCTAGCGCCGCTCGTAGTTGATGAAGCGCAGCGCTAGTAGAGCCAGAATACGCAGAATGACGATGATAAGCACCACCACGCCCATGTTGCGTACAAACTCGTCGTGGCGAGCACCGAACGTGTACTCCACGTACTCCTTGACATTCGAGAACGTGAGAGTAACGGGGGCGTCGCGCAACTCCTGGCACCCGATGTCAGAGTCCCCAGCGGCTGGGCAGTCAGCGAACACGAGAGCGGTGAGAGCGCTAAAGGAATACCGCAGCGGCACGATCTGGTAGAGCCACTTGTACCCTGCGGGGATCGAGTGCACGGGCGGGTTGAAACCCATGAAGAGGAAACTGGCAGTGTTCACCACCACACCAACCACCATCGCCAGCTCTGCCGTCGGTAGTGCGTACGCCAGCAACTGACCCATGTAGACTTGGAGCAACACCAGAAGCGCCGTGTTGACCCAAAACAATGCCCCCGACGCGATACCTCCCGTGAACCCGACCATGGGGTAGAAGATCACCGAGAAGAGGAGGGTGCTAGCGAACACGTAAGGGATCTCCACGATTGACCCAGCGACGAAGTACCAAAAAGCACTGAAACACTGAGAGCCACGCTCCCGGTAGAATGAAGCTCGGTCGCCCACCGCAACAGGTAGTACGCCAAAGAATGACACGATCCCATTGAAGCCCGTAGCGATGAAGAGCATTCCAACACCAGCATTCGCGCCCGCGTACGATCCATAGTCCGCCTCGAGAAAAGAAATGCCAAAGATGAGAGCCAAGATGAGAGATATACCCACCCGAGTGATGTTGTACGACGCCGTCCGCCAGTACGATCTGAAGCTGCGTTGCACCAAAAAGTGGAGCTGCACGAGTGGTCCAGCAGCTCTCTTCCTGGCAAACGTCAGCTCAGCTTGGCTTTCAGAGGGGCATGCAACCCCAGGCTCTTTCATCGTAGCGTCAAGTTGTTCGCGGAGCTTGCTAGACTGGAAGACGTCCGCAAAATCGACCGCTGCGGCATTTCCAGAGCTCTTATCGCCTGTGTTTACCCCCGCGCCAATACACTCGAGCATCCACGTGGCCGGGTTGGCTTCCGGCTGAAGAGGAGAGACGCCTGGGAGCTGTTCAAAGTATTGCACCAGGTCGCGGCACTGTGGGCCTACATCACCGAAGAACACGGTTCGTCCACCACGTTGAAGCAGCAGCACACTGTCGAAAAGTCCGAATACTTCAGCCGACGGCTGGTGAATTGTCGTGATCACGGTTCGGCCAGAACGCGCCACCTTTTTCACGCCCTCCATGATGGTCTTCGCCGCGGCTGCATCCAATCCGCTGGTAGGTTCGTCAAGGAACAAGATACTCGGCTGAGCAGCTAGCTCGACACCGACTGTGAGGCGCTTGAGTTGCTCCATGGACGCGCCACGAACAATCCGATCAGCGATGGAGTGCAGGTCCAGCAGATCGAGGCACTCGCGGACGGTGTCTCGCTTGACGCTGCTCGGAACGTCTGCTGGCTGTCGAAGAAAGGCACTGAAGGTGAGCGCCTCGCGGAACGTGGCGCCCTCGCAGTGGACATCCGTTTGCTCGCAGTACCCTGTGCAGCGACGCATGGCCAAGTCACTCGCCTCGTGGCCGTTGAGCAGGATTCGTCCGCGTACAGATCCTCCCGTCTTGCGGTGCGCGATGACGTCCATCAACGTGGTTTTCCCAGCGCCGGAAGACCCCATTAGCGCGGTCATGAATCCTGGTCTCGCAAACCCTGAGACACCCTTCAGAATTTGCAGCATTCCCTGTTCAGCTTTGCCATCTTCCTTCTTGAGGTGGTGAGGCATCGGCACCGAGTACCAAATGTCCTCAAATGCCAGCGTGACTGGAACAAAGTTGCGCTTGCCACTCGAAGGCTGGATCGCAATCTCCACTGACTCCGTTCCTCGCGGGGTTTTGAGCAGTCCGTATAACTCGTCACTAGGCTGTTTTGGTTTGGCTGGGACTTGATCCGAACTGTGGGGTTCGACGTTGTCGTTCTCGTCAGTAGACGCGCTTGCACTTGTATCTTCGGGGCCCTCGAAGCGGCGGTGTTCCAAGGCCCACACAGACAGACCCAAGAAGAGGAGGTAGCAGCCCACGACGAAGACCATGCTGAGATCCACGTAGCTTTTGCTCGCCGGTACGTCAAATAGTGAGAGGTAGTACTCGCCCATGGTGCCACCCGAAAGACTGCAGTAGTCGACGCCTTCGTAGACGCAGATGTCAAAGCGTGCAGCCCGGAACTGGTTGACAGCCAGCCCGCGAATGCCCCAAGCGACCGGGCTCGCCCAATACAGCCAGAGCAGGTAGTCCGGAAGCTGGTCTTTCGGGATAGCGAAGCCTGCATACGTGGCCATGACGAGCACGGACAGCATCGCCATCGGCATCGCCACGTTCATGTTGGGCGTAAGGGCGACCAACAGGAAGTACCAGGCTCCGTACGCTAAGCTGGAGAGAAACACGATGGCCTCGTAGCGCACGAACAGTTCAGCTTCAGGCACGAACCCACACAACCAGTAAATCAGCGATCCGAAGACAAACGTCTCGAACAACGCCACTGGTATGTGGCTCAATGCGCTAGCAAGCACAAACGACGAGGACCGATAGAAGTTGGCTCGACGCTGGCGGTAGAAGATGTCGCGAGCTTCAAACAGGGTCGGGATTTGCGCGGCCTGGCCCAGCGACACAAAGAAGATCACGGAGAAGACCACCCCCATGATCACCTGCACGTCGGTGGCGTCGAAGTCGTAGAACGTGCTCGCATACAACAGCCCCATGATCACCGTCATCACTGCTCGTCCGACCACGAACGCGACGTTGCGGCTCAGCACGAGCATTTCACGGCGCACGAGGGTCCATGTACTCGCAACGAAGCCTTGCTGGAACTCAGGAATAGTATCCATGTACTTGTGTGCGCCTTCCACAATGCCTGGGTCCACCAGAGTCTGCAGTTCCTGCAACTTCCGCTGATGGATCAAAGAGCCCGAAAACACGGCAGCGAACTGCTTCGCCGTACGCGGAAGGGCCTGGTTGGACGGTAGAGCAATTGTTTGGTACCGAAGTTGGTCTTCAGTGCCCAGATCCATGAGGAAGTCGGCGAAGTCGCGTCCTGGAGGACAATAGAAGCCTAGTGCTTCGAAGTAGCCTCGCACCTCACTTACAGGACCGTGGTAAGCCACGCGACCGCCCATCAGCAGCAGAACGTCGTCGAATAGTTCGAAGACTTCAGGCGCTGGCTGCAGTAGTGCTGCTACGACAGTCTGGCCAAAGGATCGTGCTCGGCCACGCAGACTTGAAATGATGTCGAAGGCTGCAGCGCTGTCGAGGCCAGTGGTGATACTATCCAAGAACAGAGCCAGCTTGAAGCCTACCAGCATTTCTCCGGTAGTAACGCGCTTGCGCTCGCCACCGGACACCCCGCGCAGTAAATTGCCGCCAATGATCGTGTCTGCGCACTGCTGCAGGCCGAGAAGCTCCAACGTTATCTGCGGCAAGTGACGCAACAACGAGCGTGCTGTAGCTTGAACCTCTGCGTTGTCTTCAGGCTGAGCTCCGCGACTCAACAGTTCCTCAACATGGTTGCCGAAGTACGCAGTGCTGCACGTGTGAGCGAACTCGTGCGTCTCACGGACCGTGAGAGTGGACAAATGCAGGTCTTGCTGGGCGACGTAGGCTGCAAACTGCGGTAAGCGGCGATCCAGCGATTCACGAGGCTCATCGTTGTACGCGATCTCACCTTCAAGGGCGACGTTGTTGTTCTCCAGAGGGAACCGACCGCTAAGCAGTTGCAGCAACGACGACTTCCCCGACCCTGGTTGACCAAGTACAAGCGTCATACTCCCCGGTTTGAAGACGCCCGATAAGTCTTGAAGAATGTAGCGCCTTGCTGATTGCTTGTCACGCCTAGCGTGCTTCTTCAGGAACGACGGGATGCAGGCACCAAGCGACTTGGTCACAGCACGATGAAGTACTCGGGGCAAAGTCGGAAGCTCCGAGGAAGCTGCACCCGCTGCGTCGTCATGTGTCACGGGCGTCTCCACCGAAAGCGAGAGGTTGCGCACACGGATCTCAAGTCGAGGGAGTGCCTGCCCCGCAGCAAGCCTCAACTCGTCAGCCACAAAGCGGTGAAACGCGTCGGGTCCTTCAGCCATGAACGCGCTTGCCGAGGTGTGCGAGACAACGTCTGACGACTGCAATTGCAGTCCATCGCCACCTTGCTTGGCGTTTTCTTCTCCAGTTTCCATCGACTTTCTTGAAATCCGTGAATTTTCACGTACGGGTCTGGAGTGTCGGGCTGGCGAATTCGGAAGTGAACGACGTGCTGGAATATCGAAAAGGCCTAGCAGGCGCGCACACCAGCAGTAAGTGGGTAAAGTCTCCTATAAGCGACCCGTCTGGATCCGTTTAGTCATTTTCGCTCTTGACAAAACAGTCGCATCACCATCACGACGTCGTTTGTATCTCGCACCGGGAAAAACTGGACCACACTCGACCCGACCCGACCAGCTATTTCCTTTGCCTTCGCCTGACAACTTGTGTCATAGTGCAAGTGACGCCAAGAACGCCATTAGAGTAGAAAGTCATTCATTGGGAGCGCGACTTACTTCGTCAGCGCATTATGTCGCGACAACTCTACGGGGCCTTTTCGCTCGTCTTGTCCTTGGCGGCCTTGTCGGCAGCCGCGTCCTTCTTCTCCTCCTTCTTCTCCGTCGTGAAGCCTACCTCCTCCGACTCTTTGTACTTAATCTTGTTGTTCACGAGGTTGTGCAGCGCGATCGTGCAGCGGATGAGCGAAGACAAGTAGATCACCTGCAGCCGCGCAAAAACAAATAAAATAAAACATCAGTACGCCCCTAAAAAACAAATCAAAACTCTACGTACGAAGTGCATGTCGTTCGTCTTCATGAACATGGAGCGCACGAGCTCGTCCACGTTCAGGTTGGGCAGCAGGTTGAAGATGGTCTGCATGTTGTAGATGATCTGGTGGTTGGGCGGCAGGCGGCCGGCCACCACGTTCTCCAGGTACGTCTTCATCTCCTCTAGCCGCTCCTTGAGCCCGTTGAGCGCCGTCATCTTGTGCTTGACCTGGCCGGCCAGCGAGCTCACGGACGGGTCGTTGATGTCGCGCAGCAGGTGCTCGACGCCGACCTCCTCGGCCTCGTAGGCGCCCACGGTGGACTTGATGTGCTTGAAGACGCGCTTGATGGCCTTGCCGTCCTCCTCCACCTCCTCCACGGAGCCGTAGGCCGTGGTGGGGAGGCCCTCGACGTTGGGGCGCACGTCGCAGATGACCAGCACCGGGTTGGGGCAGTAGCGGCGGAACAGGTCGTCGATGTCGAGGTCGGCCTTGCGGATCTTGGGGCCCGAGCTGTAGAAGCCCACGATGCGCTCCTTGGCGTTGATCTTCTTGAACATCTGGTACATGTTCTCCAGGAAGTCGTGGTCCAGGTACCAGATGCCCGGGTTGCGCAGGTCCTCGTCGAAGGGCACGGCGAACGAGTTGGTGATGTCGCACTTGCCGTGGAAGGTCGAGCCCAGCAGCACGCCCACCACGCGCTTGCTCGTGTCGCGCGCCACGCGGTTGTAGTGGTCCACGATGCTCAGCAGCACCAGCGGGTGCGTCACCACCTCCTCGGGCAGCTGCAGCTTGCTGTGCGTCGCCGTCGTCGTCGTTTCGGCCGCCATCGCTTCACCTCACTACGCGAGCAGCTACAGATGCAATCTTTGTGAACCGCTATAAAAAATCTTCCCCCTCTGAAGTAGGCTGGTGTGGCGCACACTACGTTTGATGTTGAAGTAACGATAGTGTGGTGTACACCAAACACATAGTTGTTTTTCCACCCCAGACGACGCTGATGTCTTCGCCGGCGACGGTCCGCGCCATCTACCGCTGTCTGCTGCGCGACGCGCGGGCGCTGCAGCGTACGCCGCACTTCAACATCCGCCGCGAGCTGCAGCTGGAGCAGTGGGGCACCGGCAGCTTCGTGGAGCCGCTGTCCAAGGCGGAGAAGGAGGAGCTGCAGACGTTGACGCAGGCGCAGGGGCCGAGGGTGCTCACGTCGCTGGATCAGTTCTACCGGCTGCGAGACAATGCCGTCCGCATGGGGTCGCCCAGTGTGGACATTATGGAGAGCATCCGCGCGGGTTTCCGAGAGAACATGCAGCTGAGGGACGCGAAGGTGGCGATGGGAGCTGGAAATCTGGTTGGTGCGTGTCAAAAGGAACTGACAATAATTAATTGGGTTGCTGACAGGTTAGGAGTGCGAAGCTGGATGAAGCCATCGAGTATGTTGAGTTGTCTATTGTGTCGCTGGATGTCGGGTGGTTAACATTGGGGTTTTGGATCTTCTAGAGCGCTGGGCGAGCTGTCCACGCAACTTCTTCTTGCTCAATGCTCGAGCGGTAGGAGTTGATGACAATACTATTGTATGATTTGGGTTGGACGTCCGTCTGATGATGAGAGTGCGCGTTGCTGTGCAGTGACTGTGACAAACGGTATCCGCATTGAGGCGACGAGCCACTACGTGCAGAGCCACAGCAACCCAGCTTCCAACACCTACCGCTTCACGTATCGGGTAACCATCACCAACCAAAGTAAGAATGGACGCACCGATCTGTGTGAGCTCTGCATGCAGTGAATGAGAGTGCTAAAGCTCACGGTGTGACTGCTTTTGTGCCTCTGATTTATGTAGACGAGGAGTGCTCGGTCCAGATTCTGGGTCGTCAATACACGTTCGAGAGCGAGAAGGGTCAGCGGGTCGCGCTGCCTCGGAACTCACCAGGGATCGTCGGCGCAACACCGCTGCTGGCTCCTGGCCAGACCTTTGAGTACGCGAGTGGAGTGGACATCGACGCCCCACGAGGATCTGTCACGGGCTGCTTGCATGCAGTGCGCAAGTCGAACAACTCGGAAGACGAGGAGGACGAAGATCTCTTCGACGCGCTTGTGTCCAAGTTTGCCCTTTTGGCCCCGCACACACCCAGCAAAAGGTGAGCTGGGCTCATAGAAGTACGTACGCAGCAAATCGTTTCGCTGGTTGCTTCAGTGCTGCAAAGGAGCGCGCTGCGACTAACCAAGCAGAAATACGAAAACATCGTCCCCCTTTGTGGCACCTCGAAGTTGCCGTGGTACCGATGCACCGCGTGGATCAGTGTCTACGCTGAGGCCCAGGCCTGCAGCACGATCAACGCAGCGAAGTATTTATATGGATCTTTGCTCCTACGATGTGTGCAATTGCTATACGTACTGCAACTCGCCCCTGGCTTTCGAGAGCGTGCATGCATGGCGCACCAGTACGCGCCTTCTACCCACCAAGCATGGTTCGCTAGGTGAAGCAACGGATCTAGGTCGTTTGCTTACTCGACAAGCGCATGGTACGTCGGGTAGTACATCTTGGACGCAACAAAGTCCTCGAGAGTCGCGCCGCGGCGGATCTTGGGCCGGAAGCCAGCAACATCCTCGTCGAGCGCGGTCTGGGCGACGGCCGTGGCCACCTTGAGCGACACGTCACGGATGTTCTCCACGGACGGGAACACCTGGCCGTTCGCAATCTCCTCCGGGGTCATGCACAGCGACAGCGCCTTGGCAGCCGAGTAAAGCATGCCATCCGTCACACGCGTCGCCTGAATGACCGACGACGCGAGACCCACACCCGGGAAGATGAACATGTTGTTGCACTGGCTGATGTTGTACTGGGAGCCGTTGTACACAACAGGATCGAACGGACTGCCACTGGCGAAGACGCACTTGCCCTTGGTCCACTCGTACGCCTGCTCAGCCGTGCACTCGGCCACAGAGGTCGGGTTCGACAGCGGGAACACAATCGGGTGCTCGGCGTGCTTGGCCATCTCCTCCACGGCCTCCTGCGTGAACGCGCCAGCCGCAGCGCTCAGACCCATGAGCATGGTGGGCTTCACCTGCTTGATCACGTCGACGAGGCTGGTCTTGTCAGCGATATCCTTGCGCGAGAAGAACTGCTGGCCCGAGTTCAGCGACTCGCGAGACTCGCCCAGCAGTCCATGCTGGTCGAGAATGTAGAATCGCTCGCGAGCCTCCTCGGTCGTCATACCCTCGCGAAGCATACCCTGAAGCAGAGTGGTGGCCACACCCAGGCCAGCGCTACCAGCGCCGAGAATGACAATACGCTGGTCCTTCAGGGGAATCTGAACACGCTCGCAAGCGCTCAAAGCACCAGCCAGCACGGTCGCACCCGTACCCTGGATGTCATCGTTGAAGCAGAGCTGCTTCAGGCGGTACGCGTTCAGCACGTCCGCAGCGTGCTCGCTCGAGAAGTCCTCGAACTGCACAAGCACCTTGGGCCAACGGTGACGCACAGCGCGCATGAACTCGTCCACCATGGACCAGAAGGCCTCGCCGGTAAGACGCGGCTGCTGCACACCGAGGTAGTACGGGTCCTCGAGGAGCTTCTTGTTGTTGGTACCCGTGTCAAGCATGACGGGGAGAACCTTGCGCGGGTCAATACCACCAGCAGCCGTGTACAGAGCAAGTTTACCGATGGGGATACCCATACCGTTGGCTCCGAGGTCACCCAGACCCAGGATACGGCTGCCGTCAGTGACCACGATCACTTCCACATCGTCGCAGGGCCAGTTGTGGACCATAGCACCAAACTGGCTGCGGTCGCGCGTACTGAAGAACATACCACGCGGGCGACGGAACAGGTGACCGAACTTCTGGCACACCAGACCGACGGTCGGAGTGTACACGATGGGGGCTGAAGTTGAAGTTGACAGACAGACAAGGGTCAATGCCTGCTCCAAGATGACATTGCACAGCTGAGCCAAGCAAGTACGCACCCATCTCCTTCATGTGCTTGATCAAAAGACGGAAGAACAGCGTCTCGTTACGGTCGTGCAGGTCCGTCAGGAATCGGCTCTTGCTGAGCGGGTCCTTCTCCTCGGAAAAGGTGTCGTACAGCTTGGCGAGCTGTGCCTCCACCATCAGACGGCGCGGCGGCACAAGACCACGCAGGCCTGAGCATTACAACATCATCATCAACAGAGAACCAGAGTCAATAGACTGCACACGGCTGCAGACACCGTGGATTGCGTACCGAGGCGGTCGCGCTCGACGTGCGGGAAGCCCGTGCCCTTGTTGTAGAGCGGGTCGTGCACGATGTTGAGGCCCTTGAGGCCCGTCTTGATGGGCGGGTTGTACTTCTTGAGCGTCGTGAGGTACGTGTCCAGCATGTCGTGCTCGGAGCCCGTGGGCTCGCCGCCGTCCATGGCGTCCTCGTCCTCCTCGTGGTCCTCGGTGGACACGGGCGCCGACAGGAAGCGCGCGTGCACCGCCGAGGACGTGCGCGGCACGGCGGCCGCGGCGACCTGCAGGGAGCGCTTCTGGGCACGGACCTGGCGCGCCAGCATGGTGATCGAGTGGTGCTTGGGCTTGGCTGCTTGGGAGCGAATCGCCGAATGAACACGAACGCCTTGACACACCGGCGTCTTTTATGTTCGGCACACAAAAGTATCCGGTTGAAGTTCTGTCTCATTGGCCGAAAGCCAGCCGGCGCCGCGCGACGCGAATGGCGGAAAATGCGCCAAAAAACTGCATTGGCTGAAACGCGGGACGGATACGCGCCTTTTAGCCAATGCCGTGGCGTCGGGCAGATACAATTGCTAGGATGGGCAGCAGTCAGTGCAAGGACTTCGCACTGCAGCGCCAACGCTGGAGTCGCCGGGGGATTTCTTGAGCGCTAGCTCCTCGCAGCAAGCCACCGACCGCGGGTGTATGCGCTGATTCAGGCTGGGAAGAATGGGCCACCGGATGGGTGGTCGGCGCGAGGAAGAACGCGGTCTCGCAGGATGGGCACCGTCGAGCTGGTGGACGGGTTGCAGGCCCGAGCTGTTTTTGCAACGGATTGCACCTCGAGCAGCACGAACATACGACAGTACTGCGGGCACTAAACGGCAGCAAGCCCTAAGGTCACGTGCTGCGGGGCCTTCATTGCTGGATTGGCCGCCATTGAGCTCGCGGGGTGAATGCGCGCGATGTTTGTTGACAGCTCAAGGCAGCGGCGATGGTGCGGGGAGTGTTATCTTTGCTGAGGGGCTCATCGATCGTGAATGTGTTGTTGGTGCTGAAACGGGAACTCCGACAACGAGCTCATTGCCGAGGCTGCTGGTGCGTGGCCTCGACGGTCGAAGACTTGTTAGTGCCGCTGAGTCGCCGGGTGTGCTCGACCTAACTTGATACTGCCTGCTGCAACGATATGCTGGTGCAACGGGGGGCGGCGTGGCTCTCTGCTGTAGTGAAAGCGCGTGGTGCGCGGACGACGGAGCAACAACGCTAGGATGCATCGAACTTTGCTTACGACCAGCGATGGACCAGCTCGCTAGGGTGCATCGGACATAAATTATGACCAGCGATGGACCACCTCGGAACATGTACATGTATGATCAGATGCGACTCGTTAGCAGGCTGCGTGCGCGGTGTTGGCAAGACGCTACTGCGACCAGCCAGATTCGGACTTGCAGTGGACCACCAACGGTGTACACACGCATTTGTTAGTGCTTTGTGTCGATGTCGGCACAACCGTGGCTGCGCAATGGGAAGCGTCTGGCCAAGAGGACGATACGCCGTATCATACGGGCACACAAATGCAATCTCCGGCGGACCGAATTCTCGCTCAGTTGTTCTTGGCGACGATAGTACAGTACACGTGATACAGAGTGTCCACGTGGACAATTTGATGGCTTCTTATGATTTTGGTGTGCGCGACCCTATAATGGTGTGCGCCACCCAAGTTGTACACAAATTATATGCGAAATTTCGTCCGACGTGAATCACAAATGGCCATAGTGAACCCAAGTGAATTCGCCCCTCCGCGTTATCGTATCCTCAAAACTCACCAACATGCGTTCAGCTCCTGGATACGTTTGCTGGAAAATCCGCTTCATTTAGCAACTAGCAGCTTCAAGAGAAGACAACAAGACGAGCATGGCGACCGACAGCGCGTTCGCGGGGGCCGGCAAGACGGCGGGGCTGGAGGCCTGGCGCATCGAGGACCTGCAGCCTGTGGCCGTGCCCGCCGCCGAGCTGCACAAGCTGCACAGCGGCGACAGCTACATCTTCCTCAAGACCAGCGAGGCGACGACGTACGAGCGCACGACCCCATACCATAGCATCTAGTGAGCCTGCATCTAACTATAATAACCCTGTGCATCCCCCCTCTGTCCTGCATGCAGCGGCCTGGCGTGGCACATCCACTTCTGGCTGGGCAAGGACACGTCCACGGACGAGAGCGGCGTGGCCGCCTACAAGACCGTGGAGCTCGACGACGCGCTGGGCGGCGTGCCCGTGCAGCACCGCGAGTGCCAGGGCTACGAGTCGGTGCGTATATGCACAGCAATCGCCGGCCTGCTCGGTCGATACCATTGACTGATATCTATCTATCTCTGTTGCAGGCGCTGTTCCTGTCGTACTTCAAGTCCACGGGCCTCCAGTACCTCGAGGGAGGCGTCGCCAGCGGCTTCAACGAGGTCAAGCGCGACGAGTACGTGACGCGTCTGTACCGCATCAAGGGCAAGCGCACGGTGCGCGTGGAGCAGGTGCCGCTGCAGAGCTCGTCCCTAAGTGTGGACGACGCTTTCGTTCTGGACGCCGGTCTGGAGCTCTATGTGTACGCCGGCACGGAGGCCAACCGTCTGGAGAAGGCCAAGGCTCTGGAGTTTGTCAGCAAGACCCGGGAGGCCCGCGGTGGCCGCGCCAACGTCACCTTCATTGACGAGGAGCCGGAGAACGCTGCCTTCTGGGAGATTCTGGGCGGGTTTGCCTCCGTCACGCGCTCAGGCGAGACGGACGAGCACCACGAGAACGCGGTCAAGAAGAACACGACGGTGCTGCGCGTGAGCGGCTCTACCGACGACAACCTACAGGTTGCTGATGTGACCCCTGCCTCGGGTGTGCTGACCAAGGACATCCTGAAGTCGGAGGACGTGTTTATCATTGACGCGGGCAACGAAGTGTTCGTGTGGGTGGGCAAGACTGCGTCGGAGAGCGAGCGTAAGAACGCTCTGACGGTCGCTGTGCATTACCTGAAGAAGGAGGGCCGCCCTGCGCACACGCCTATCACTCGCGTTGTGGAGGAGGGCGAGACCCCGCTGTTCACGGCGCTGTTCAAGGCCTGGACTGAGCCCAAGGTGCTTGAGTTTGGCTACCAGCCGAGCCAGGGTGTCGCGAAGATGCAGGACGACAAGCCCGTGGACGTTAAGGCGCTGCTGAAGGCGGCGTCGCAGTCCGAGGAGGACATTGGCGTTGACCCCAACGGTGACGGCAAGCACGAAATCACGGTGTGGCGTATTGAGGACCTGGAGAAGGTGGAAGTTCCTAAGGAGCAGTACGGCCACTTGTACGATGGCGACAGCTACATTGTTCTGCACGTCGTCACGCCCTCCAGCGGTAAGCCCACCCAGGTGATTTACTTCTGGCAAGGACGTTCGTCGACGACGGATGAGAAGGCTGCGTCTGCTCTGCTGGCCACCTTCTTGGACGACAGCCTTGGCGGCAACCCTGTCCAGGTCCGTGTTGTGCAGGGCAAGGAGCCCGCCCACTTCCGTGCGTTGTTCAAGGGAACGATGATCGTGCACGCTGGTGGCAAGGCCAGTGGCTTCGCCAACCGCGACGACGAAGACTCGTACGACACGGACGGTGTTTCGCTGTACCAGGTCAAGGGAACCAACGAGCAGAATACCCTGGCGGTGCAGGTGGACGAGAAGACCTCGAGCCTGACATCTGGCGACTGCTTTGTCCTGGTGACCCCTAGCACTGTTTACGAGTGGCAGGGTGCCGGAAGCAGCTCTGCTGAGCGCGAGATTGCTTCCAAGATTGCCTCGATCTTGAAGAAGAGCCGCGAGACCGAGGTCGTTGAGGAGGGCAACGAGTCGGACGAGTTCTGGGAGTTCCTCGGTGGCAAGGGTGAGTACGCCAAGGCAAAGTCGTCGTTCGAGGCCCCTCACGAGCCTCGCCTGTTCCAGTGCTCGAACGCGCACGGATACTTCGACGCGCACGAGATCGTGAACTTTGCCCAGGACGACCTCAACACGGATGACGTCTTCATTCTGGATACTTACACGACGCTGTACGTATGGATCGGTGCCGGTGCTAACGAGCCGGAGAGGCGTGAGGCCATGGCTCTCGCTGAGAAGTACCTTGCTGTTGCCAAGAGCGACGGCCGCGGCGAGGGCACACCCATCGTGGCGGTGCACTGCAACGAAGAGCCGCTCATGTTCACGAGCAACTTCCTTGCTTGGGACAGCGAGTTCTTCACGAAGAACGAGTTCTTGGACCCCTACAAAGCTCGCCTCCAGAAGCTGAAGGAGGAGAAGGAGAAGAACGTCCCCAAGGACCTCCCCGGCACGATTACCAACGAGGACATCTGCGAGAAGGAGACCCCTGAGCCAGCTCCGGTGGCGGCAAGGGTTATCCCTGTCCTTCCAACTGAGCCCCCTGCTGCACCTGTTTCTCCCAAGGCTGCACCTGTGTCCCCGAAGGCTGCCCCGGCATCTCCTCAGGCTACTCCGGCATCTCCTAAGGCCACCCCGGCATCGCCCAAGGCTGCACCGGTGTCCCCCAAGGCCGCTCCGGTGTCCCCGAAGGCTGCTCCGGCGTCCCCGCAGGCAGTCCCTGCCCCCGCTCCGGTTTCTGCGAAGGCTACCGGTCGTTCGGGCGAGACTTTCACCTACGAGCAGTTGAAGGCCGGCGTTGAGGGCATCGACATTACTTCGAAGGAGGTAAGCGTAGACTACTGCGGTTGTTCAATCTCGTAGCAGCTTGAACTGATGAACGGATTTGTTTCCCACAGAGTTACCTTACGGACGCCGAGTTCCTGACGATAATGGAAATGAGCAAGGACGAGTTCGCGAAGCTCCCCAAGTGGAAGCAGCAGGCCAAGAAGAAGGAGGTCAGCCTCTTCTAAGCTACCTGCCAACAAGTGAACATACCCCAGCGGACTACACGTGCCGGATTAAGTCAGAGGAGCTTCACGTACTCATCAGTCTCGGCCAACCGAGCACGCTTGTGATGTGAAAATTTTTTCATAAGTTTAAATGAACTCAAAGCTTGACACTCCGCGACACCCGGCGTGCGTTTTCAAGTTGGAACCTCGTCTAGTGAGGAACGCGTAAGAAGGCCGCGCAGTTCAAAGTTTGTCGCTGCAACGCAGGCGCAAAACTGTTGCCTAGAGGCGACAATGCAAGGAGCCACCATGTTCAATTAGGGGGCTAGAGCTCTTTTTCATACTGGGAGGCTGGCTGGCTGAACAGCCTAACCAATTTTATTTCAGCGGCCCCCCCCCCAACTTTAATTGGCGAATGTCGCCTGAGTCCATAGTCCACAGATTGTGGCTACCGTAGCATCAAGGAGTTTGTACGTTTCGTGGCTGGTTGTTCCCAGAATGTTGACCGTATCCGTAGCGTGTACCACACACTGTAGTGAGCAGTTCTTGAATTTATGAAATTTATTCGGAAAATCATTACTAGGATAGCTGTATTTTTTCGTTATAAGCTAACATTTACTAAAAATCATTGAAATAACAACCAACGGATTGCACTCTTTCCTGCGTCTGTAAATTGACTAAACCCCATGAATCCTTCTTGTGTAAATTTGTTTAGCTGGAATGCATGACCTCAACGCGCTCGGCCGGGGCAAAACCCCCGGCCGAGCGCGCCTTAAAGTTCTTTCGTGTCTTTTGCGCGGCAACTTCGCCATTATTTTTAAGGCGCTACACCAGGGTTTGAAAACTTGCCACCAACTTTCATGTTACATTATTCTTGCCTACCCCACGTTTATCAATATAGGCACACAAAGGAAGTCTACACTGTCCTCCCAGACCAAAGCTTCGCCTCTAGTCGCTTTTATGGCGAAGTGGCGCCTACGCTGCAATTTTCACATTGCCATTTCTCGTGTGTGAATACACGAAATAGCGCGGAGCTGCAACCGCCTTGCATTTCGAGTTCTATCGAACGACGCCGGTCTTCGCTGATATCGAAAGTCAATTTTGCGACGCCACCCCAAAAGGCCACTTCTAGTACCATGACTACCGGTATAAACCTGTCAACGAGTCCTCGTAATTGACCGCTACACCGAGTGAGACCGAGTAACTTACAGTACAAGTCGATCACATGTCCGCCAAATGGTAAGTTACCAGTAAAAAAAACTTACCGATTGTATCTAACGTTATTTTAGGAAAATAAAATAACGTTACTTCGTACAAAATCAATTGTGCCCAGGATATGGACCTCAAAAATGAATACCGCCAGTATTGAAGCAATGTACATATATTTATGCGTCGAGACACAACTGATATTTACACAGCTGAACACGTCGCGCGATGCAGCAAGAGGCCGCGGCGCTGGGGCCCAAGCTCGCGCCGTTCACACCCAGCGGCGACGGCGTGCTCGACCACGCATTGGATCTGCTGGCTCTTACAGTCGACGACGTGCTGTTCGATTTGGGCTGCGGAGACGCGCGGCTCCTCGTGCACGCGGCTGAGAAATCCGGCGTCAGGTGGGGCGCACTTTCAATGCCTTCCGAGTGGATTGCAATTAGTCTGTCTTGTTACCACCACCGATAAGTAGCTAACCTCTGAGTGTTGTATTATGTGTACCAATCGCAGATGCATTGGTGTGGAGTATAATGAGGACCTGGTGAAGCGAGCGCATGCACGAGTCGAGGTGCCGACACGCGTCTGCTGAGAGGGCGTTGGTGCAGCCACTGATGCGGAGGTTTCTATATGTTTGAAACATGCAGGAGCATGGAGTGCAGTCGCTGGTGGAAGTCCGACACGGTGATGCATTGGAGGCGAATCTGACGCCTGCTACGGCCTTGTTCCTGTATCTCGTGCCTCAAGTACGTGGATTTCGTGCTCGGAGTTGAAGCGCTAATCAGTTGACTAACGAAAGCTATTGCAAACTGTGTGTTTGGTACCGATACAGGGGATCAAAATGCTGTTACCCAAGTACGGCGCATTGATTTCCCTTGGTCCGGCGGAAGCGAGTATCGTTATTTAAATTGAAATGTTTTTGGTCGTTGATGACAAGGTTGGAAGAGGCGCGGCGCCTTAACGTGCGCATCGTGACGTACGTATTCTCCATACCAGGATGGAAACCGGACGATGAGCGGAACTACAAAGGCACCAAAGTAAGTTTCCCTCCCTCCGACGAGCACGAATACTGTATCAAGTCTTGACTTTTTGCTTCTGTAACCAGGTCTATCTGTACAATTCTCCTTCTATTCCCAAGCAACTGCCGGCATCTGCATAGCATCTCAAGTCAAATGAAGCCGCCTGCAAATATCCCAAGAACTCTTCAAGATCCTGCGTAATGGGTCGCTAGGTCTAGTGTGCCATCGTCGATTCCTTCATTTTTGTTTCTGCTGAGTATTGAGTGTTGTGTGTATTCCTGCCATTGGCCCTCAAAGTAGCTTATCACCACCACTTATCTGCATCTCCTTCAGACCTCAAGCAACTGGGCGTCATCGAACAGCTTAGAACTTGCGGGACTTCATCTCCTCCTGGATGGCGATCGCCGACGCGTACGAGTTGGCCGCGTACGTGGCAAAGTTCTGCTCCTTCGAGTGCGAGGGCACGATGTACTGGCGCGGCACCTCCGGGAAGCCCTCGGGGCTGGTGTACTGGTGGTGGCGGTGGAAGCCAGCCTTCTTGTGGGCCGGCAGGTCGTCATCCAGCCGCCACTTGGCGCCCTCGGCCAGCGAGGACAGGTGCTCCTGCACGAGGCATAAGCGGAAGAAGCGTTAGAGAGGTTGACATCAGCTGAGAGAGGAGACGCAGGAGAGCGCAACGCACCAGAGTCTCGGCCTCGCCCTTGCTCTTGGGCTCCATGAGCTTGGTGATGAACTCGCTGACCGGGTTGCTCGCCATTGTTGCCTGCTCTTCCTGTCTGTTGTGGGGATTCTGCGCCGTTCATAGGGCACCTGTAGAACGGCATACTTCATGAATTTACAGAGGTCGACAAAGACCACCAGAAAGTCTATTTGGTGTGTTGCACATAAAGGCAAGTTGAAGAGGAAATGGCTACAGAGGTTAGTCCCATGCGGACGAGCCACCGAAGCCCACGTCCGGCGTGAAGTTGAGCTGCGTCAGGTCCACGGGCTTGGCCTTCGCGCTCTTGGCCTTCTTGCCCTTCTTGAACTGCTTCACGGCCACCACACCGCTCGCGATCTCCTTGGGCTGTCGCTGCTCCTTCTTCTTGTCTTGCTTCGGCTCCTTCCGCTTCTTGTCCTTGGAAGCCTTCTTGTCTGCCTTTGCGGCGTCCTTCTTGTCTGACTTGGCCGCAGTCTCTGTCTGATCGACCTCCATAGGCGTAGACTCGTCGGATGGGGCCTGCTTTTTGTGGTGCTTGGACTTCTTCTCGGGCGCAGAGGTCTCAGCCTCCTTGGCTGGGGCCTCGGCATCATGCTTGTCGCTTTTGTGCTTCTTGTGAGCCTTCTTCTCCTTCTTGGCGGCCTTATCGGCGTCGTCAGTGCTGACAACAGCAGGAACCTCCTTCTCACCCTTCGGCTTCTTGGAGTCCTCACGCTTGCGCTTACCCGTCGCGGCCTTCGCTTTCTTTTTGTCGGACGGCTCCGGCTTTTTCTGCTTCGGCTTCTTCTCTTCCTTCGGCGGCGCGACGTAACCGTGAACACGCTTGTCCAACACACGCACGGCGTCACGCACAACCAGGTTCGGGAACAAACGCTTCATCTTGAAGTTGTACTGCTTGTGCTTGGCGTCGAGCTTCTTGGCCTCCTTGATCTGCTGCTTTTCCTCATCGGAGATGGCCTTCTTCTTCTTGGAGGACTTGCGCTTCTTCTTTTTCTTCTTGTCGTCGTCGCTTTCACTTCCGCTGGCTTCATCTTCGTCATCGCTGCCTTCACTGTCGCTGTCGTCATCCAAGGCAGCCTTGGCAGTAACCTCCAGCTTCTTTCCGACGATGGGGTTGCCAATCAGATTCAGCTGCCGCAGGTTTTCAAGAGAGCTCAGCGCCTCGAGACCGGACCAGTCGTCGATCTGGTTGTGACTCAACTCCAGCACCTTCAGATTCTCTGCACAAGTCAAACACACCGACAGTGTCAGATCTTGTCGCGCATGCTGCTTTTAAGACCAGATCCCACTTACTCAGTTGGGCCAGATGCGCCGGGATCTTCTTAATCTTGTTGTGGGAAAGCCGAAGCTCCGTGATCTCCGACAACTGACTCAAGTTGGGGATTTCCTCCAGCAAGTTGTGCGAGCTAGTTAGGTTAGGTAAAAAAACGCGCGATCCAAGTACATAAGTATCCGCATATCCACCAACAAGTAACCGCACCATCCACCCCAGCCACGTACATGGAGATCTTCTTCAAACTCGGCAGTCCGTCCAGCACGCGCTGCGGGATCTGCGTGATGCGGTTGTTGCTCACAATCAGCGAGTTGAGCTCCGGCAGCTTGGGCATCCAGTCCAGCGCCGAGATGGAGTTGTTGTTGAGCACCAGCGCCTTGAGCGTGCGCACGTTGCGCAGCACCTCGAACGGGATGCGCGTGACGCTGTTCTCGGCGGCGTTGAGGATCACGAGCTTCTTGAGGTGCTGGATCTCGGCCAGGCCGTCGCCGTTCAGCTTGTTGTCCGTGAGCTTGAGCATCGTCACGCGCGGTACGGACTTGAGCTGCGAGAGCTTGGTGAGCTTGTTGTGGCTCAGGTCCAGCTTGGTGGCCTGCTGCAGCCCCTCGAGGCTCACGATGGTCTCGATGCCGCGCGACGTCAGGTCCGCCTGCTGCCCATTGCCCTTGACGATCTCGTCGCGGAACTGCTGCAGCTTCTCGGCCGTCAGCTTCTTGATGCGCGGCTTGGGCTGCTCCGTCGCGCCGGCCATGGTGCTGTCTGCTGCTTTGACTGGCAGGCAGTGCAAAATCTCGATTTGTCATTGAATCGGGGGAAAGTTGACTAATGTCATTGAATCGGGGTAATATTGTGCGATTTTAGTCGACTTCAACTTGGCGACGAATCGCTGGCTGCGACTTGACCCTGCAGGCCTATCTCCCGCCACGCAGCGATTCGTGGACTCACGACGAGCTAAAGTTATTCCGCTGCGCGTGCGTACCCATGCGTGTTGCAGCTCGTGGCGTGCGGCGTGCCCGAACGAGGCGACGACTGCAGTGGCCATGTAGGGGCAGCGTAGCGCACATGGAGCAGATCGCCATCCCGGCTGACCACGCGGTTGATGCGCATGCGGATGAACTTGTCCGTGTCGCGTCACGCCACTCGCGAGCGCTTTTTGGATAAGGATCGGCTCTGGTGGTGTTCGCGTACAGTAGGTGTTGGTCATACACATCCCGTTGGTTGTCATGTAGAAGTACTGTTCCAGTCGTGAGGACTGCTTGCCACGCTGTGGCTTGGTCATGTGGTTTAACCGCCTGTGGTGACCAAGAGATCGCTGGTGATTCGGGATAGTGCGCTGCTTGTAGAGAGCTGCATCTTGTCTCCTGAGGCATCAATTGCGGCGCCTTAGGTGAGCGGTGGAGGCAGCTTCAACATCGTTCATTACCAGCGTCAAAAAGTGACCGTTGCTTCCACCTGAACTATCCACAGCTCAAGGTTTGCGCTTGGACTAAGCTCTCGCCGTGTGCACTACGCTAGGTGTCGGAGAGAGCGCGCCATGTGAGCCATAATCCCTCGACCCCGCCAAGGCCTACGGTACTTGTACATAGCACTCGGTCGTCTCTGCACTGTTGGCGAAGCATGAGCATCCGGTGCGCTGCACGCTGTTTGCACACTCGCGATCATCTCTTGCAAACCGGTCCCACTGCCATCGACGAGGCCAAACCCGCTTCATGTGGATTGAGGTGCAGTTCACTCTCGTTGCAGTGCAGGTATCCTCAGGATGAAAGTGGCGGTGGCGGCCGCCGCTCCACCGCCGAAGGGAAGACCTTGATGCGCATCACGTCAATCTCGTTGCCTCCACTGAACGCGCTACTACATGTACTCCGTTGACGCAGGGAGCGGCGACTACCGTGAGCTCGCTCGACCGGTCTCGGCGCTTGCTTCCCGGAGCAAACCGTACTTTTACATAGAGCGCCGAGCTACAGCTCTGTGCCTCTCCAACGCGGCGGCAGTGCCGGTGTCGATCGATGCGCATAACTTAGTGGTCTCTGTTATAATACGCTGCACGTAGCGCTCCAAGTTTGAGTCAACCGCGCTCCGGCACATCTGTGCCCTGGACATCACATCTCATCGAGTACACAGCACCGCATCTGCATGCCTCCACCCTGCTGTCGGACCATGTGCGCGCGGCTCGGAGTCGGGCCGTGCCAAGGTCGCTCGCTCCAAGCGGAGCTCGGCTCGGCAAGCACCAGCGGCCTCTTGTCTCTCGCGCGCGTTCCCATCAGATTGGCATCCCGGCGTGCAAAGCTGCTGGCCGCGGCGCCAGCCGCTGAGAGCTTGAGCTCAGCTCATATCGGGGCCAAGGTGTCGAGGAATTTCCATAAATCAGTGATTTTCACTGAGATTTGACAAAATGATTTAATAGTTTGCCTGAATTCACTGATGCAGCATCAGTAGTATCGTACTAGCGCGTCCATACAATTTGCAAGTCAAATGTAGACCTATAGTAATACTAGAAATAGTACATGCAGATAGCATGTTACCTACTACAACTAGTACTACATAATATAGTATCACTGTCGATGTTATTAATACATACTCCGGTTGCTACGGTACAGTAGACAGGTGACCCCTTCCTAGCGGTTAAGGTGTGGAATGCTCGCAACTACCAGCCACAAACTGGGTTCCGGTGTGGGGCTTGCTGCGTTTAGTGCCTTTTTGGTGGTTATACTTTTTGCACTATACAACTTGTCTGGTGTTCTGCACAAACATTCAAGCAACTTTATTCGTTGGTCGTCTCGAGGATTCACTACGAAATACAAGGGTCCAAGCTTCTCCACAATTGTTTTGCATCTGCCACCTCCGCCGAAACCCAGCTTTTTTTTCGCGATAGAACAACGCATATAAGCTCAAAGGACCCAGGAGATGGTGCATCCACTAAAATAAAATTGTCATCTGCACAACGTATTGGCTTTCATGCATCGATAGTAGCTTCAGATGAAATATGTTCCCTTTAATTCTGGGATAGCAGTAACCCGGAGGGAGTGCTATGACCAGCCCAACACAGATTAATTAGGCGGCACCTTGGTAACTGAAGCCGGTAATACTGAAGCCGGAAAACTGGCCCCGGTAACTGAAGTTAACTGATTGTCTATGCTCTCCATCTCAAATTCGAGACAAGCTCGAGATGGATGGAAGACAGCTCTAAAGCGACGGCTTACCGCGTACCAGTCCACACATCGGGGATCAGCGGTGCCGCGAGGCCGTAAGTGATGCAAATTCAACCACATGTATTAATATTATTAATATTACTTGACAGGTGAGGAAGTACAACGCGCGTTTTTAGTGGTGCACCTCCAGCCGAACACACGCACCAAGTACGCCCCGAACGGTCCGTCACCTTTTTAACTCCCTCGCACTCAAGTGCATCTAGTACTACGTTGCTGAGGTGGCCACTAAAAGAATAAAGAAAAAAAAGTTTGCGTCTGCAGAAGATGATAATGGTCGACGGGCGAAAAGCTCATAAATATAAAAAATCCTGATAGGCTCTAAGTCAATGTAGCAGATGCTGCGGCTGCGAAGCAGGAGCAGGAGATGTGTTGTAATGGAAAGCAAATTTACATTGTACATAACATCGCCATAGCAACAATTCAACGGTCGCGCGCGTTGAATTGCCGGTAGCGATAGTGACGGCGCGGCCGCGGTGAAGATGCTCACACTAAGTTCTTTAGCTATCCCAGCCTATGCATAGCTCTCGTCTTCATTTGATCGGCTTCAAATAGCGCTTTACTCCTACCCCAGAATAAATGTAGTATGTAAATAGAAACATCTTACCAAAAAAAAATAAACGCAGTTCGTGTAAAAGTCTCGTTGATGATGATATTATATTGTGTTGCGATATAGTAACTACTACTAGTGTATCGGCAACTTATAAACTGGCGGATTCCCACAACGTAGAAAGACAAAGTTAATCCGCACCCACCTGCAAACGTTGTGTGCGTCACAAGGTTTTCGGTTCATGTTCTTAGTTTAATATGTCGGATCCCATCGGTACTCAGTTCTTTCAAGTCTCTTACCGCGGCAACTCTGCTCGGTTGTGAAGGGGGGAAGCATGTCGACGCATAGTTAAGTAGGCTACGGCCTTCGTCGTGGTGTCTGCTTCCTTCACATCGACTGGGGCCTTACCCAACGAGAGCCTCTCGGTACACTTCGGAATAATATAGTAATCGAAAGAAGCGAATAAATACTACTGTAGTATTACTATTTACCAAATCACTGAGTCAGTAGTTTCAAGCTCTCACAATCATTTTGTCAAATCTCAGTGAAAATCACTGATTTATGGAAATTCCTCCTAAGGTGTCCGCTCGGCAGCTGAAATGGCGACCGGATGGGCAGACCTAACCGTAGGGGAGAGGAGTGCAACGCGCGACGGGCAGGCTCCGGGCGAGGCCAGGGCGTGGCGGCACCGGCGCGGCCTGCGTGGCCACGGCACTTGATCACTTGACGACCGGCGCACAACCGAGCGAGCAGCACGTCTTGGTGGGCCTTCCTCATCAGCACGCCGCCGCCGCCACGACAGACGCGGCCGCCCGTTTCTCCGAGCCGCTCCGCACCGCAACGCAACACACCCTCGCGCGGCAGCGACGCCACTCGCTAACTCGCGGTCTCTAGAGCACCCTAGTCAAGCACGATGATGGTCGAGCCGCGCTACACGTCCGTCATGCGCAGCACGCGCAGCGGCAACTACTACAACGTCCCCATCTCGGTGGCCGCCATGGCCAGCCGCGAGCTGTCGCCCGAGATGTCCACGTTCGCCAACTACGAGGGCTTCGAGTACGAGGCCGTGGCCGCGGCCTGGGGCACCACCACCATGCGCCGCCTGCCGACGCTGGCCCAGCGCCGCGACCTCAACTCCGCGCTGGACAGCGTACCGCCCTCCAAGGACTCGCACAGCTTCCAGCCGGCCTTCGCCTTCGACCTGAACCAGCTCGTGTCCTCGCTGACCAAGGGCTCGTCCAGCTCCCGCAAATCGTCTTTCGCGTCCTCGCGCAGCGCCAGCGGCGAGCCCGCGCCCGAGCCCATGCCCGAGAGCTCGCGGATACCCGTGCTGCCCGTGGATTTCGATGCATCGGCGCCCCGCCAGCGAGGCCGCCGCGGTGCGCTCTCGGGTGACGAGCTCACGCGGCCGTTCGCGCCCGCATCTACTGCTCCGCCTGAGAACAGCATCATCTCGTACAGCATCAACAAGCGCAAGCAGAAGCGGCTAGCAGCCAAGGCCTTGGCCGCGGCGTCCGTGAACGGACCCAACTTCGAGGTGGCCGTGGCCGACGCCGGCAATGAGCACCAGCCGCAGTACGTGCCTCGCTACGTGCCTCAGTACCAGTCGGACGTGACAATGTCGCCGCCGTCGACGCGCAGCCGCGAGCCCTCGCTGGATCAGCAGAGCTACGCGCTATAAGGCGGCGCTGTCCGTCCGCAACATCGGCACCTTACTGATAGTCCCCAGTCCCCATAATTATTCTCCGCTCGATTACGATGAGACCGTTTAATCTAATGAACGCAGCCAGCGGTAGCTGCGGTATTCCCCATTCATTCATCTGCACACCTTCTCGATGCCATCCTCGTGTCTCCTCCTGGCGGCGTAACGATCCACCTCGGCGCTCGGGATCGAGAGCTTTCGTCTGCTTCGACCAGATGGGACGGCCACATCATGGAGCCGCCCTGTCGTGACGGCTGCAGTAATGCTGCACAACGCAGCACTTTGCGGCCCACCGAACTGAATCATATTCGCGCTGCTGGGTCTGATCTCGCTCGAGCAGTGTCTTCTCCTTGAGCGAACCCATATTGCCGTCTCCGTTCCCTAGGTGGGCTCCATCCCAGAAACCGCCGCGTCCCGCCTTGTCGGTAGAGCCTGGAAGAGAGAGAATAAGACCTGCTCCGCAACAATGGGCCAAGGACAGAGCTCGATCCCGCCGACCGAGGTGGCCGCGCTCGTGGAACTCTACGACGCACTGGGCGGCGACCGCTGGCGCCGCCGAGACGGCTGGAAGCAGCCCACGCGCGACCCGGAGCAGTGGTTCGGCGTCGAGGTGGCCATGGGCCACGTCGTGGCGCTCGAGCTGCCGGCCAACGAGTTGAGCGGGTGTCTACCGGCGGCCAGCCTCGCGCGCCTGCCGCAGCTCCGCGTGCTCGACCTGTCCAAGAACCAGCTGCGCGGCGAGATCCCGGCCGAGCTGCGGACGCTCGCGGACCTCAAGCGCCTCGACTTGAGCTGCAACGACCTGACGGGCGCCATCCCGCGCCAGATCGGCGACTGCGAGCAGCTGCAGGAGCTCAATCTGTACCAGAACTCGCTGTCCGGGACGATCCCCAAGGAGCTGGGCAAGCTCCAGAGTCTGCGGACGCTGCAGCTGCAGCACAACAACCTCTGCGGGGCGCTGCCCGACGCGCTGTGTCAACTCACGCAGCTCACGAAGCTCAGCGTGCGTGGCAACTGCCTCACGGGCAAAATCCCGACGGACGTCGGCCGCATGCAGGCGCTCGTGTTCCTGTCGCTGAGGAACAACGAGCTCACGGGCATCATCCCGCCGTCGCTCGGCTGCTGCAAGGCGCTCGAGTTCCTCAACCTGTCGAGCAACCAGCTCAGCGGCCCCATCCCAGAGACACTGGGCGAGCTCGAAGACCTCGAGTATCTCTACCTCTTCGACAACGCGCTGGAGGGCCGAGTGCCTGGAAGCATCGCTCGCCTCAAGTTCCTCAAGGAGTCGGACTTCCGCGACAACCGACTGCGTGGTGAGCTGCCCAACTTCCTGGACGGCTGCTCCAGCCTTGAAGCAGTCATGACCAAGTGGAAGAACCGCAAGGCCAGCTACCGCCACGCGATTCTGGGGGACCCCATGCCAAGTCCAGACACACCACCGACGTCGTCGCGCCAGTTCCTGCAGACGCTCGAAGACCCCCCGTCCAACTCGTCAGCGACCTTCTTGAGTCAGAGTTTCGACCACAAAGGCAGCAGCGACGAAGGCCTCGGCGACGGCGCGCCGGAGGACGACCCCGCGAATAACTCGCACCTCGTCGCCGAGTTCTCGCGCAAGCGCGTCTACCAGCTCCCAGGCGTTGCGTCCAAGGCTTCTGCTGTCCAGGCACAATGACGAGGATGCCGAAGTCTCCTCCGTTTTCTTTATTTTCTTATAAGGGCCGAATCAATCATGCGTTGCTGCATTTGGTACTCGACGTGCTGCAGAGTTGCAACGTAGCACGTGTTATCAGAATTGTTTTTTAGTCCAGCGGCGCTAGTGAGATGTTCCTCCTACTTCCAACACCCTGCATGTAAGAATCTTTCTTACAATGACGAAGGGCTCACCCATTTCTGTGGAGCTTGTGTTCCTGGTGCTTACGGCTTACGGCTTGTAGCCACCCCACCGCTCGTGCTCCCGATCGCAACTTCAACAACCTGCAGGTGGATACGGCAAGCTGGTAGTTTGAATACGGCGCCAGCACACCGGATGCCACGAGTATTGTTCGTCACGATGCATTTACTGTGTTACGTGCCTCTGGTAGCCGCTTTGATGCAACAGAGGTGAAGTTCTCCATGAAGGTGTCTGCCGACGGCGAACGAAGACGATGGACTTCCAGAGGATTTACCATGATTCAGTGGAACACGAGAAACAAGTACTGAGAGGGTTTCCCGACGTACGGAGGATTTTCTGCAGGTGGGGAACCGTTTTACTGTAACATGATAGCTCCTTGGAGATGCAGAACGGTGTTGAAGTAGCGTGAATGGCTGCAAAGCGCTTTGCAGCCCGCTTCGTTAGCGTCAAGCTGAAGAAGAAAGACAATCGATCGAGGGTGTTAATAGCTGCATGGCTTCATCTTCTTACCATGGCGGTCCGGCAAAAGTGGACGGAGCCTCAACTCCAAGACAAGGAGCCTCAACTCGAGAAGACGTACACACGTTGTTTCAACCTGCAGCCATCCAATTGCGATCGTCCAATTGTGACCTGTCAAATGATGACCATACGGCGCTCCCATGTGTTTCATAGAAATCGCAATTATTCTCCTCCGACATTTTGACCGCGAGACGCCGCGATGCTGCTGCACGACGACGAGATGGAGGCGCTGGAGGCGGCGCTCTCCTTCGTGGACGACTTCGCGCACGACGCGCCGACGCACGGGATCCTCCCTACCTCCTTCCGGGGCATCCCCCTGCATCGCTCCCCCTCCACGGAGCCGCCGACGACCAGCATGGCGATGACTGGAGGAGGACAGGACGGCGTCATCGCGGACGAGGAGCTGGAGAGTCTGCTGCTGGAGGTGGGGCTCTCGGGCTCCCCGGGCGGCCCCTCGGGGGTCAAGACGGAGCCCGCCACCTCCCAAGTGGCCAGCTCGCCCAGCGACAGCTCCACTGTATCATCCAATGGCACTGTTGGTCCCTCTCGCCGAGGTGGACGCGTCGGCCAAGAGGCCGCGAGCGGGAAGACGAAGAAGCGCGTGCGGCTGAACCCGAACCGGGCGCGAGACAACCGCAAGAACGAGCTGGCCTACCTGCGCAACAAGGTCAATCAAATGGAGGACCAACTGCAGTCTCTTCGACAGCAGTACATTGAGAACAAGGACTCGACCAACACGACGACCAACACGACGACCACCACGAGATCCATTGTGGATACAGTAGGCATGCCTCCCGTGTGGCGTGACATGGCGGCGACCCAGCAGCTTCGACGAGAGAAGGCAGAGCGGGAGAACGCGCGGCTCAAGCTGGTGCTGGAAAGCCAGATCAAGCTGGCCAAGAGTATGGAGGCGGTGATGCAGAGGCGAACGCGGCAGCAGTTGGCGGGGTTCAATGGGGTCGTGGCTGACTCAGTCGGCAGTGCGCCAGGCTCGACGTGGGACCTTCTACTGGACAAAGATACCTACGATACGCTGCTGGCTCGCGCAGACGCCGCGTACGGCGAAGTGGACGACGTGCTCGCTGCCAACGGACTCAAGCACCTGGAGACGGCGTGCACCAACGCGCAAATGCGCGAAGGCCCCGAGGGGATGTACGTCGACATCTTCACCAACAAGATGCTACCGTTCGACTTCAACACGGCGGCAGAGGCAGTGTGGAGCCACTTCCGCGGCAGTGAGAAGCACCGAGGGAATCTGTACGAGAACTTCTCCAAGGTAAGGAAGGACTATGTGCAGTGCTGCATTGTGTTTGTCATGATTTTTTTCTGATTGTAATCTTTTTCTTCATGTCAACTTGTAGGACGTTGAGTCTTCATCCGATACGGTTGCGGAAATGTTCGCAATCGAGTTCATGGCGAACGACATGGCTGCAGATTTCCGCGTCAAGCAGGTCGTGCGCCGCTACATTGAGGATGATCGACAGGTGGTGGTGTGGGTCTCGACGGCATCGGCGCTCGAGAACTCCAAGTCGCCGTTTTCCAGTTTCGGGTTCCGCGAGAAGGGCTACGTGATCAGTAAGCGCGTGCGAGGCCGTGACGATTTCTCCATGTTCCAGACGTGCTGCTTGGTGTCGCCGCAGATGTCCGAGGGCGGCACATTCGACCTGTCGACCGTCGGTGCCTTCACGGAGTTCGTACTGGGCTTCATGTTCGCCACCATCACATCCAGCCAGCAGCTCATCGAAAATGTCCTGATGGACCAGTCGCTACACCCCAAGCCAAAGGAGGAAGCCACCGCAAAGCCGTAATCATCAATAGAACGAAATATTTGTACCGCTGTGCACGGTTTCAATGGGCTTGTAGGTTTCTTGCATCGTTTTATACGGTGGTACGGATTTGTGAAGCTGCGGTGTCCTTGAAGTAACTCAAGTCCAGCGTGGCGGCGTCTTTCAATGGGCCGTGGTAGGTTCCTCCACCCAGCACGAACAATTTACCAGCTTTCGTGAGAACGCTGGAATGCCACGCTCGAGGGGTTAGTGCTCGGTCGGTCGGGATCGGTACTTTTGACCACTTTAAGGCGATAACGTCTAGCATGTACACACTGTCGTCCTCTAACTCCACAGTTCGTCCACCAATAACGAAGAGAAAGTCGCCGATGGTGTGCGCTGTATGATAAGACCGCGGCGGCGGAACATCTCCAGAACATTGCACCAATGCCCAGCGCTTCTTCTCAACGTCAAACAACCAGGTGTCATTCATTCGTTCATCGTTGAGCTGGCCATTTCCTCCAAAGACTATAAGTCGCTGCGGCTGCGTTCCCGTGCTGTCCAACAAGCACATTGAGTGTCCATCTCGAGGTGAAGGCCAGGCGAGACGTTTATCCGTGCTGTCATCCGTATGGACTTCGTCCCAAACAAATTCCACATCTGCCGATTCAACTGCGTCATTTCCACCGCGAACACGCATTTTCGATCGCAGTACAAGCAATTGATCGCTCACGCCTTGCTTCGTTCTTCCACCAAATATGTAGACAGCCCGATCTTCATTTGCGTCTGCTACTGATACCGCTGCATGGCCAGACCGAGGAGCGGGGACCTGTTTTGGGTCTTGCGAACAACGAGCCAGTTGCCATTGGAAACCCCGTGGTGAAGTTGGTACGAGCAAGTGCACATTAGGATCCTCCCCCTTGGACGAAACGCCACCGTAGACGCAGTAGCATTCACTGTCCATGCTGCCGATAGCCGAGGTCGAGTGCCACGCTCGAGATGACGGCACATCGGTTCCTCGAGTGGGCACTGTATCCCAACTTGAGTCATCCTTCTTGTCCAGAACAAAAACTACAGGCTTTTGCTCACGCACAGCCCTCCCGCCGAACAAGTAAACGCGGTCATCCCTCCCTCGGAAAAGCGTGTGCCCGTTCACCGCGGCAGGGCCTGGGTTGCCTCGCACTGCAGTCTTCGACCAACCCTCACGAACAGAAAGGGCCACTGCAGCGCGGAAACCTGCGTCCCGCAGCTTCGCATCGGCCGTTGGATCCGCTCGCTGAGGCCTCTCCGCAGCAGTGTCCACAATCACTTGCAGCTTCGTGCGGCATTCCTTGTTTCGTGGCTCAAACTCCAGCGCAGCAATCAGGTCGTCAACAGCTTTTCCAAACTGCCGCAGTGCAACGTACGCGGCTGATCTTCGCATAAAAGGCTACAGTACGCTGTCAGCAAAGATGCCACCAACAACAGCAACGTGTCCGTAGCATAATAGCCCTGCACCTTTATAGTCGGAGCCACCTCGATAGCCTTGGAACAATCTGCGACGGCAAGATCAAACTGCTTCAGCTGCAATAACATATCCAGCAACAGCAAGGTAAGTTATCACGAATAATACTCAAGCGAGCCCTAGACGCTGTCGCACCTTCAGGTAGGCTGCAGCTCGGTTCGAGAGGCACACAGCGTTGCTCGGGTCCATTGCAATGCACCTACACCCCACAATACATTACATAATAGTTAGACAATGCAATAATTTTAGATGGAACGGGTAGAACAGTATCCACACCGAGAGTAGGCGGCGACGGCGTCCTGCATTTGGCCCTGGCGGAAGAAGGCGTTGCCCTCGTCCTTCGCAGCCGCCACGAGCTGCTCGTCCACGACCGCGATCTTCTTTTTCTCCTCCTCCTCTGCTGCCTCGTCGCGCAGCAGCTGGCCATGGCCACTGGCGCTCAGCAACTCCCGGAGCTGCGCGGGCGAGAGCTGCTGGAGCTCGCGCCGCAGCGCCGCCGTGTCCTCCATCTCCCTCTCGACCAATTACAAGCGCGGATAACGCCGATGTGTCAAAAAGAAATCCTTTTGTCGCAAACATATCCGCTTCCATTCTCGTAGTACTAATGTTGTATGCATTTCCGAAGGTTACACTTTTGTTTAGCTAGTCCGATTGTACCCAACTCCCTACGATATCAATTCTGATGAACATGGCTACACAAGTGCTTCTCCGCTGTACTGCGTCCCTTTGTGCCGGCAGGCGCATTGAAGCGGGCGGCTTCACACTTCACACTCAGACCCAGACCAGCCACTCGACTACCAAGAGCTCTCCCTCCACACCGAAGCATGGACGTCGTGTGGGGCCGCTTCCAGGCCGCGTACCCGCGGAAGGGCTGCACCGTCATGGACGACGACGCGGGGAAGCTGTGGCAGCCGCTCATGGCCAGCGGCAGCGAGGACGAGGGCGACGACGGCCACGACGAGGAGCTGGGCGGCCTGCTGCCGCGAGAAGGCATGCGCCCGCAGTTCGACGAGGGCGCCGCGGCGCGGAGGAAACGGCGGCGCCGCAAGGACGACGAGGACCTGGGGGAGGTGTCTAGGGGCTTCTCCGTGAGCGTGGAGCCGCTCAAGCTGCTGCGCTCCGTGGGGACGTGGATGGCGTCGCTCTCGGCCGCCGGCAGCCTGCTGGTCGGCAGCCCCAAGAGCTCCATGCCGGCCTCGCTGTCCGCGCAGATGCTGTCCCACAGACGCAAGCGCGAGAACATGGACGAAGTCTCGGACCGCGCGCTGGCGGTGCTGGCCATCACCACGCTCGGCTTCTGCTTCCTGCTGCTGCTCGTGGTGTACTCGCAGGCCGCGTGAGCTGAAGAGAGGAGAGAGGAGAGAAGGGAGACGCAATATGTATCACCAGAAAAAAAACGTCGACCGAATCCAGCCGTCTCGTCGCGCAGGCGCTGCAATTAATAAAATGCTCTTGTTATTTTTTTCTCGCGAGATTAGGTGGAGATCTTCTTGTGTTTCTTGGTCTCGGTCTTCTTTGGCTCGATCTTGAAGGCGCTGGGGCATTTGGGGGCTAGCGGACATGACGAACAGGACGGGTGTTTGGCAGTGCACACGGTCTGGCCGAAGCCCACGACGGCGAGGGACAGCTTCCCCCAGTGTTCGCGCGGGATCCAGTCCTCCAGCTCTCGTCGCGTGTCTTCAGGGGTCGAGGTGGACGCCCAGCCAAGTCGTTGAGCGAGGCGATGCACGTGTGTGTCCACCACGATGCCGTCGACGTGACCCCACGCCAGCAGAGTGATGACTCGACCGATCTTGGGTCCGATGCCTGGTAGCTGCTGCAGCTCGTCCAGTGAGCGGGGGATGTCGCCGTGGAATTGAGTGCGTAGGATGGCAGCCACGCGCTTGAGCTGCTGCGCTTTGCGGTGGTAGAAGCCCACGGGCTTCAGCACTTCGCTCAGCTCCTCCTCACTCGTAGCCAGCAACGTCTCAATCGTGAGGCCCTCGACGTTCTCTCCGAGTTGATGCAGACGCTGCATCGCCGCGTACGTGATCGGGTCTTGCGTCTGAGAGCTGAGCAACGCAGCAACCAGCAACTGGAAGCGCTCCACCTTGGCGCAGCTCACGCCCTCAGCTACGCAGGCGTGCGTCCCGAACTCGTCGATGGGGGTGACCGTGCGCTCCCTTGCTTTATACAACTCCAGCAGCAATTCTAGTCGCCTGTCGGGCTCCGTAGACTCCGGTTCGGATGTGTCGATGCATGGCTTGCTCTTGGTCTCGGTTCCAGGCTCGGTCTTGATGAGCTTCGTCGGGCGGCTGGGGGTCGTCTTCTCCTTCTCCCCTCGTGCTCGCTTAGTTTTAGGGCTTGTGGACGGCTGTGAGACGACCTCCACCTTGACGTCGGCTGCATTGGCGCTGCTGTGGGCCTTATTAGCGGCCGAGCCGAATGCAAACCGAGTGAACGGGTTGCCGCCGTCGCCACTCGTGCTCATGACTGTATTGACTGAAACGGGGGTGTGGTAAATGCGCGAATGAAAGGCAACATCCGAGGAATTTGTGCACGCCCAAACTTGTGCGATTCCATGTTATGTGTGTGTGGGGTTGGTCTGGTCTCTCAGTTCTGGCGCGTGCAATAGGGCCTCGTACTCGTCCGCCTCATTTCGAGAGCGTGGAGGCGGTGGGGATTGGGTGGGGTGGAAGGGTGGCCGCTCAAGTTCTATGCCAACGATCCTCAATGGCCGCCATCGTTGCCTACACTATCTACGCCCGTTGAAGCTCGCGCTTCATCCCCGCTTCGAGACGCGGTCCACGTACGCGTGGTAGATCTGGTCGAAGAACTGCGCGTCGTCCAGCAGGCCGATCAGCGTCTGCTTCAACTGCTCCTTGCTGACGCTGGAGGCCGTCGACTGCTGCTGCTTCTGCTGCTGAGGTTGGTTCTGCGCAAACATGCCCATAATGGCCTCGCCAGCAGCAATGCCGTCTGCCTTCGAGATGGGAACCATGCCGCTCGTGCTGGCGACCACCGGAGCGGGCTCTTGCTTGGTTGAGCCATTAGCGCTGCCTCCGCTGCTGCTGCTGCTGTTGCTACGCTTGCCCTTCGGCGAGCGCTGTAGGATCGCTGTGGGGTTGGCTGCAGCGTTGGCGCCGCGGCGCTTTGAGTCGTCCCGCTTGTTGCGCGAACGTCCCCGGTTACGCGACTGTGACGGCGGTCGCTCCTGTTGCTGCTGCTGTTCGGTCTGCTGAGGAGCCTGTGACGTCTGCTGCTGCTGCTTGGGCTTCGTCTGCGTCTGAACAGGAGACTGAGCCTTCGCAGGCTGCTGCTTGGTGGGCGTAGCGTCCGCAATAGCAGCACTCTGTGGGACCTTCAGCGACTGGATTAGACTGCAACATCAACACCGATTCGTCAGCATTTCACTAGTTGACAGTCGCGGGTCAAACGTTATCATACCGTTGGAGCAACTGCAGGATCTTGCCGCGGTCCTCCTCGGGGAAGAACCAGATGCCGTAGATGGCGTAGCCCGACGAGTACGCCTGCCAGCACCAGCACACGCTTCAGTCAGACCAACAGTCTCCAATAGATCGCAGCAGATAGATACTACATCTTACCGAGTCGGGGCTGCGCAGGATGAGGAAGCTGTCAACGTTGTCCACCTCAAGGCGCTCGTCCAGCGGCAGCGTCATGTTGGTGGTGCTCAGGCGGTTGTTCACGAAGATCTGGAAGCGCGGCGAGGACGATCTGCAGCCACAGCACAGCACAAACATTAGCGATCCGATCCACAGCCTCTGATGGAGCTGTCCACACACCTCTTGACCACGAACAAGCAGCCCTCGACGTCCTTTCGCTTCTGCAGCATTAGCAATCCATTGCACGAGACAGCGGAACCGTTAGAACATTCTTAACACAAGAGGAACGTGCGTTGAGGGAAGCTTCCCCGATCCAACAGTACACTTCACGCACCCAGCTCTGCGCGTCCTGGTCGAACTCGTACATGACGACGTGGCTGGCCGTGTCCACGATCTCCATGACGTCGGCGTCCTGGCGCTTGAGCACCTGCAGGTTCATGGCGTTCGACTGCGCGCGGTCCACGTGCACTCCGTCGGTCGCCATCTCGCTATTTAGCTTGTCGTGTATGCGTGTGTAGCTAGCTGCTCGCGATGTTTCCTAGTGACTGGCGTTGAACGCGCTGCTGATATGCAGTTACGTTGCTCGTAGCGCAACTCAACCGCACTACGTTGCGCCTAGCGCAACATATCCCAAATCTTAGAATTTGTTGCCTTTGTAGTCACATTTCAACAAGTCCCAAGTGGCAGCAGACATACGTCCATGGCCCGCGCGCTGGCGCCCCTGTGGCGGGGCACCGTGGCGCTCATCTCGTGGACGGCGCAGCTCGTGCGCGCGCCGCACTCGAGCAGCAGCTTGCCGAGCGCCATCTCCAGCTCGTCGCCGGCTTCGCTGGCCCCGCGCGGCGCCTGGAGCGCCTGGAAGAGCTTCCTGACCGCCGGCCCGAGACGCGCCCGCCGGCAGTCGCACGCGGCGCTGGAGCTGCTGGAGAAGTTCCGCCAGGGCCCGGAGACCCACAGCGAGTGGAACCTGTTCCTGTGGCGCGCCACGTTCCCGCTCGTGTCGCTCGTGCTGCTCACGCTGCTGTGCGTCGTGGGGCAGTTCGGCCACGCCGCCTACTCGCTGGTGGTGAACCCGGTCTGGTACCTGTGCAACTTGGCGCTGGTGGCCACGCCCTTCCAGCTGGTGTTCCGCTTCTCCGCGCTGGAGGACGCGGCGGACGGAGAGGCGCAGACGAGAGTCTACTACGCGCTGGCGGCCGTCAGCGTAGCCATCAGCCTCGTCGAGTGGTACATGAGCTTACCGGCCAGCAGGTACTCGTGGATTGTGGGCAACACGCTCTTCGGCATCGTGGCGCTGAGCGCCGTGCCGCTGTTCTTCAGTATGCAGCCGAGGACGCCGCGCTCGCAGTACGACGATCTGGTCATGGAGCAGGAGCAGGACAACAGGATGCACGGCGTGCCCGAAGAGGAGGAGGACGTGGAGTACCGTAGTCCCAGATCCTTGTCGCTCGGGGCGAGACAACGCTCCGGTGGAGTGCGCAGTCAAGGGGAGGGTGAGAGCGCGCGACAGACGAGGAACGAGCAGGTGGAGGAGACTCCGCGACAGGGACAATCCGCCACGCGGCTGCTGTACGGGTGCGGATTCTGCGTGTTCGTGTTGTGGCTCATCATGTTCTCGTCGTACAGCTCCGCGCGCGGTGGGGAAGGCTCGACGCGGTCGTGGTTCCTGCTGTACTTGCTGTCGCCGGTGTTGTGCATCATTCTCTTCTGCTCGCGCATTGCGCGCGTGCGATTCAGCTTCGAGCACGCGGTCGCGTACAGCACGTTGATCGTGCATGTGCCGCTGTTTCTTGGACACTTGTGTGTGCGACTATTTGCACTCGCGGAAGATCCTGCTGCCTCATCGTCGACCACCAGTGAGTCGTGGCTGAAGCTGGCGATCTCGGTGCTGTATCTGCTGCTCATGCAGGGCTACTTCTTCGTGATCACGCATATGGTGAACAGCATGTCGGAGCCGTTCTCGCACCCGTCGTTGCTGTACGTTGGGCAGCTCTACTACTACGTGTTCTGGTACATCCTCGTGGGGTCGGATACCCCCATCGACGCGTTGTATTGGGGTATGCTGATGCTCAACAACATTCACATCGCGTTCCTGAACACGGGTGTGTACACTGACTTCAAGCGCTCGTCTTCGGCTATTCTAGCAATGCCGCTGCATGCCAACATCACCTCGTCGGTTGCTTTTTGCGTGCGTTCTACTACATCGGCCATAGATGTTTCTAGATGTATGCCAAACGGAAGGTCACTTAGAAGGCGAGGTCTTTTGGGGCTAAACTGCGGCGTGGCAGGCGCAGCAGCAATGGAGACGGAAGACGATCTACTTGAAGACGGAGATCACGACTGTGGATATGACAGTGGATACGGCTCTGATGGATTCCTATTAACTCGAAATATCGATGAGAAGGAACCTGCTATCGGTGAGCTGCCGTCTTGGCAAGAAACAGGAAGTCGCAACCGTGAACGAGATCGGGGTGTAAACCTTTCGCGCAGAGATACCCAAGCATCAGCACTGGACATTTCTTCGCCATCTCGAAAAGCAGGCACACGGAAGGCTTCATTTCTTCGTGACAAGTGCTCGCGAGCTAAAATGAACTGCAGGAAGTGTACCGACCGAACAAGCGGGAATGGAAACGTAGCACCATCAGTTAACATCATGGCCTCCTCATCGAGAACAGCTACCAGCGATGCTCTACGGCCACTGTATTTCCTGATGAAGCTCGCGGAACAAGACAACATGGCCGACACTACAGCTCTGATTCTGGTACCTTCACTCCTGACGCTGCTGGCCGTTTTCGAGAAGCCGGGCAGTGCTCTTGCGGTGCTACAGGACCAAACGAACCTTTGGCTACGGTGCGTGTGCATGTTCATCGGACGTCTTGGTGGTGCCTTTCTCGCTCGAGAAATCTTCACGTGTAAGCTCCGGTCTCGACTACGCTCGTCGCCCGAGGACTTGGGCGATGCGACCCACCCTGACGGCATTACCGGCAGTATTGACGGCATGCCTGCGCGGCTTTGGATACAGCGTCTTATGCTGCAAGACTTCCACGCCCAGTTTTGGTATCTGACTGCTGTGACTATGGTGGTCACGTTCGGTTGTTTCGCGCGCGTCGACCTGCCACTACGCTTTGCATTGCTTTCGTGATGCGAAGGTTTTCAACGAAAAAAATCTACTACGATTGAGGTAAGAGCAGCCATAGATTGTGCTGGCCTAATATATATATGCAAGTTATACAGATTATTGAGAAGGAACCGGAGAATGAGGCGGAGTGGTCGGATCTGGTGCTGCCAACGCGATGTTGGCGCGCTCTATAGCCTCGGCGAGCAGTTTCTCCTTGCGAACCCAGCGGCGACGGCGCACGCTGCGGCCCACGAGTCGGTTGAGCTTCTTCTTGATACGCCGTCGCTCCTGCAGGTCTGGGTCGAGGCCGCTGGCGTGGGTCTGCAGCTCTGGTGGCCCACTCTCCTGCGTATCCTGTTGCTGCAATTTCTGTTGAGCACGCAGGAAGTCTTTGAACCTGGTGGCGTACTGCCACTGATCGGAGCCACCGAAGCTCGGGTCCACGACCCAGTGATCGAGATCGAAAGCGCCGGCACCGTCGGTCATCAGAGCGTTCGTGAACTTGGGTGGGTCCGTGATGAGAAGATGCCCAGGCCGAAGCGATCCCCACCCGGTGAAGACTTGGTATCGCTGGATCTCGTAAACAGCCTGCTCCTCAATCGGCAGAGCAAGGATCTTCTCTTCAAATGTCTTGGGCTCCTCCGTGGCTTCGCGGCGTGTTGGGCTGTCTGGATTGTTGCGACTCGTGGGACTTCCGCTCGGCGACAGCACCCGACCAATGGCGTTTGCAACTTGGCTCACAGGGAGCACCATTTCGCGCAAAGGATTCAGGAACCGGTCCTCAAGAACTTGCGTCGAGAAGGCGAAACCGGTGTACACCTTCTGGTCTGCTTGAGATGGTTTACGGTTCGGCAGCGCTTGCTGTTCAGGCAGGTCGAAGCGCGGTTTCTCCTCGTTCAGGTCAGCTTGGAAGCGCTCGTAACGCAGCTCCGGCGGCGTCCAGCGAGCTTTGTCCGGGTTCTGACTTCCACGTCGGTGGAACTCCTGGAGGATGTGATAGTACTCCGGGTGCATCTCGCGTTTGTACGCCTTGTAGAGAAAGTCGCGTCCAAGACACAGGAGAAGAGACAACAAGATCGCCAGGTAGAACTCGGGCAACACGAAGATGTGCGGGAAGGCGGTGTCCGCTACGGATGTCGGGAACGACGCAGCAATGACGTAGCCCGAAATGTACCAGAAGACGATGGAGGCGATGAAGGCGAACGCGGTGATGGCATTCCACGTGACCATGTTGAGCGCGAGCTTGACCCACACAACACTGATCAGGCAGCAGTACGCGATGGCACCGCACAGGTCACGCGAGAAACCATTGCCCGTCGAATCTACAGGTCCGCCAATGATCATGGCCGGCACCAACCCGCAGACAACGCACTCGTACAGAGCTTCAGCCACCCATTGCGCGAAGATGCGCAGACTGAAGAGCTCACCCTGCGCTCCGACATGGTAGAGTCCGGGAAACTGCTCGGCAATGCGCGCTGGGACTTCTTGCTCCATGATGGCCACGATACCGATGGGCATCGAAGACCAGAAGACGTTGTAGCCGTTGATCCACATATTGTTAAAGAAAAGCGTGCCTGAGGACCCGCACTGAGGAAGTACTGCCAGCACGAACTCGGTTCCGAACAGCAAGATGTTCTTGTACACCACGTACAGCGCGAGCTTGGCCATGCGTCGATAGTTCCAGTGACCATGGACAAGTAGCAGCCGCTTCAGGAACCGGAACTGAGCAATGGCGAAGTCACTCGCGTTCACTGCCTGCATGCCCTCGTGACCCGAAATGCCAACGCCGATGTGAGCTTCCTGGATCATGGCAACGTCGTTGGCGCCATCACCGATGGCAAGCGAACGGCAGCCGTGCAAGTTGGTCTTGAAGAGCCGAACCACCTGAGCTTTCTGCTTCGGAGAAACACGGCAGCAGATGACGGACACGCACTGCTGGGACACCTCAAGGAAGAGCTCGGACAGCACGTTGTTGCTGAACACCATCGTCAAGCTCCGACCGTCAATCACGATCGCTTGGGGTTGAGTCTCCTCCTTTGCCCCCTTTGCTTGTCGCTCCAAGCGCTTACGCGCCTCAACGCAGCGAGCCAGCAGCATGTCGTAGAGATCCGAGGCCGACGGTGTTGTCTCCGAGTTGATCATGATTCGCTCCATGTCGTTATTGAGGAGCTGGCATGCAAAGCCGATGTTTACTGCCGTTTCCTCCTTGTCGCCTGTAAGCACCCAGATCTTGATACCAGCCCGAGAGAGGTCTCCCAGCGTGGACGTCACTTGGTCCTGTAGTCGGTCCTCGATCGCTGTCGCGCCCAAGAGCTCCAATCCTTGCTCCAACACTTCCTCAAGCTCCTCGATACGATTCGGTTCGCCACGCTTCTGGCGCGCCATTTGCTCAAGATCTCCCAATGCTGCGTCGTACTCGCAAGACCACTCGGTGTACGCGTCCGGGGAGAGCTCCTTTTGAGCGATCACTAGTGTGCGCAGACCCTCAGTCGCATACCGCTCAAGGTGGGTAAGTGTCGTCTCCACCATTGCCGGGTCCGATGACGGCGCCAGTCGAGGAAAGATAACTGAGTCCGCACCTTTGGTCAGCAACAAGATGCGCTTGTCAGGGGTGCGCACCACGACTGACATGCGCTTGCGCGTGCTGGTGAAGTCGACCATCTCCAGGAGCTCATAGACCACTTCCTCACGCTTGCCAGGAACTGAGATCGCCACTTCACCGTTGCGACGAGCTTGGAACGAGTAGCCGAAGTAGTTGGCGCCAGATACCAGCGCGAGCTCATCAGGTGATGAAGCGGAGAAACCGGTGCCCGTGTCGTTCCCCGACAAAGTTTCTCGAACAACCGAGTGACAAACTGCGAGGTGCACGAAGAAGTCGTGAATACGAGCAGCTTGTTCCGGATTCAGACGAGCGTCGCTATCTCGCTCCAGATCCCCCGCTGGGTCCAAGAAGTTGACGTTCTCCGTCTTCACCAGGATGGGTGTGCTGTCCGCCAGCACGTCACTAGCTGATAAATCCTTACCAAGTCGGCGCGTAGCTTCTCGACCGATTTCAGTCGTGCCACGTCCGTACGACACGCCGTGGATGCTCATCTTGCGGAAGTCCATCTCGTTCGCAGTCAGCGTGCCGGTCTTGTCGCTGAAAATGTGCGTGACCTGACCAAGATCATCATTGAGATCAGAGTTCCGCACCAGAGCTGGCGTGTCGGTCACCTCGTCGTACATGGCGAGATCCCGATTCAAGAAGAACGTCTGGTAGGTCTTGACAATCGCGATGGTGACGTACAGCGTAATGGGGACGAACGACGCGATGAGGATCCAGTAGTACCCCAGATAGATCAGGACTCCGACAACGTCATTGCGGAATGGCGCAACACCGCTGAGGTTTTCGAGATGCAAGTACGTCGCGCCTTCGAGGTTCTCGGCTACCCAGAACGCACACAGCACTGCTCCCAAGACGCACAACGACGCCAGAATCGCCATAAGCAGCGCATTGCCGCGGTTCACGATGGCCAAGATCTTGCTGATCTTGGTCGGGGGAGTGTGCGATCCAGCCTGCATGATCTTGGTGTCGCTACCTGTGTTCAAGACCAAACCATGGATGAACGGGGTGTTGCGAATCACACAGCCTCGCAAAGCCACGTTCTTGAGGTCGATCGGGATGGCGTGTCCGCTCTGCGGCTCAAATCGCCCGGCAAAATTGTTGACGTCGTGGTTGGGCTTCTCGCAGATCACTCGACCAGGAAGCTGAGCGAGCGCGCGTGGGTCACTGAGCTGTGAAAACGTACAGCTCAATGCCTGCCGCACCTTGAGGTTCGTCTCGCCATCCAGCGACTTCGTCTCGACGAAGCAAATGCCAGTAGGGGCATTCGGATCCGGCTCGGAAACGGCCAACAAGAGGACGTCGGCTGGAATCGACTCGTAGTTCTCCACCTTGATGATGTCTCCGACCGCGACATTCCGCCACGTATCGTCGCGGAAGCAGTCCGGCATGTCCAGATCGAAGATGTGCGAGACCCTCGCGTTCATTTTCGCGTCGGCAATGTGTCGGCCGCGGTCCTCGATAGCTGCGAACACCGCGTCGATCGTCAGCACGAGCATGAGCACAATCCACTGGTACGGAATCGTCTGTGTCGACGAGATCTCGGGGATGATCTGGCCCGCGCCGACCAGCAAGAAGTAGAAGTTGGCCACCTGCGAGAGCCGTCCGTAGAAGAACCGCGGGATGAAGTTGAGCTTGGTGTACTTGGCTGTGACCACCTTGTTGTTGCAGAACTTCTGCGCTGCGTTCGCGTCGGGATCGTTCACGAAGATGCAGCGTGCGCTGGTCTCCGCTAACCCTAAGGCGCCTCCGTTGTCGCCTGTAGCTCCGTCACTCACTGCCGACAAGATGGACATGGTCGACGTCCCGAGTCCCGCCGCCGCCTCCGCCAGCATCTTTGGGGCCCACCCACTTGATGCCGCCACGGGGGACTCGCCAACCTGCACCGTTTGGTACGACGACTCTGCGTCCACAGACACGTCGGTGACTCGCGCCGCCCCCGGACCGAGGACAGCTTCGAGAACGGTCATTGTCGCCTCCTGCGGCGGCCAGCAAGCTTCTGTCGCTCCTGGAAAATGGTTTTCTCGTCGGCGGTTGCGCTTCGAGAATGAAGCACTGGAAATACACCGCCAGCACTCACCAGTCACGCGGCAACTGAAAAACGACCGACCTTGCGTTGGTTGTTTCCGCCGCCCGCCTTGCGACGTCTGCATCCCTAAATATACAAGCGCGAGGGTAAACATGTCAGCGGGCCATGAGGTTCAAGGACGTCAGAGGCGAAACGGGTGTGGTGTGTGACTACAAGGGGCGAATGGCCACGACACTACGTATATTGCAGCCACTAGAGCTAAGGATAGTGGGCCTAGAGCTTGTTCTGGATCTTGGCCTGCATGGCCTGGCCGTCCTCCTTGGCGATCATGGTCTGGCCGGCCGGGAGCTTGATGAGCTCGTCGCCCTCGAAGCGCGGGATCACGTGGATGTGCGCGTGGAAGACGGCCTGGCCCGAGGCCGCGCCGTTGTTCTGCACGATGTTGAGGCCGTCGCAGCCCGTGGCCTCCTGCACGGCCTTGGCCAGGCGCGGCAGCTCCTTGAACACGTTGGCCGCCACCTCGGGCGTCATGTCCAGCACCGTCGCGAAGCCCGGCGCCTTGGGCAGCAGCAGCGCGTGGCCCGGGGCCACCGGGAACGCGTCCAGGATGGCCAGCACGTGCTCCGTCTCGAACAGCTTGAAGCTCGGGATCTCGCCCTTGATGATCTTGAGGAAGATGTTCTCCGGGTCGTATGCGATGGGAGCCATGGTGCGGTTGCTTTGCAGATATTTAATAAAAGTATTAAAATACTTTTTCTACTTGCTTATGAAAGAAGATACTTTATGTGCTACACATCACTCAGTGGAGTAATCATTTCCAATCGCTGTGGTTGACGTTCATGTATCAATTTAGCGATTCGATACTATTCTTCTCTAATTTGATATATCATTCACGTGGTCCACATCCTGTAGTGTCGCGCCACTCACCTTTTCTTATGGCGTCACCTTCTGAGCCAAGGACGTTCTTGTTTGACGTTGGCCTTCTTCACTTCACTTTGTCTCTCGCTGCCTCCATCTCACGTCGCGTTTCGCCATGAACCGAGCGCTGGAGACCGTCTTCTCGGACTTCTCGCGCCACGACGGCGGCCGCAGCTACTATTCCTATCCAGAGGTAATCTATTCAACAATGCATTGGCAAGCTAACGCACCCATGTTACTGACGTCTTGGATCAATGTGTGTGTGCGTCTTACAGGGCTCGCGCAAGTCCAACTTCGTCTTCCGCGTCGTGTACGAGTGTCTGGAGCCCATCGAGGACGGGCGCGTTATCCTCTTCTTCGCCCCCTCGCCCGACCCGGAGCCGCGCTTCGAGGCCTTCGACCTGGAGGCGCCGCGCCCGCTCTTCGCCAAGGACGTCGTACGTCGTCATTGTGCCCCAAATCAGCGCACGCGCAACGATATTTACTGTCGAACTGACTGCTGATTTATCTGCTGTCTTTAAATCCTATAGAGGAACGTTCAACCGGGAGACGTGATCGAGTTCGAGAGCACCGAGTTTTCGACGCCCGAGGCGCTGGGCTTCGTCCCGCAGAACCTCGACGTCTTCTCCAATGAGCTCTTCGTCCAGGCGCTGATCCACCACGGTACGCTTGCAATGAGTAGGGTGACACTGTATATTTTAACCGTTAACGTTAACGGTGGTGTGTATTGTCTGCTGGTTGCTACTGAAGATGTCAACGATCCGGACGCCAACTCGCGGGTGGGCAACACGTACAGCAAACCGGTGGAGGTGCGCTTCGACGGTGACGATGCCGACAACGTCGTCAAGGTCGTAGTGGACCAGGTGATCGAGGACAAAATGGACTTGACCCCGTCCGAGTTCGTGGAGCACGTCTCCATGAAGAGCGAGATCTTGAGCGAGTACCACAACCAGGACGTCTACATGATGGCGTCCGTTGTGCTTCCGAAGGACTACGAGGCCTTGAAAGACTCGCGCCATTTCCCGACGGTGTACTACATTGAAGGGTTCACTGGAACCGAGTCGTACGCGAAGCGGGCCAAGGGTTTCTTGTCGTCTGAGATGGGACAGGACTGGCAGGCCGGACGGTGGCCGACCTCCATGCTTCGTGTTACACTGGGATCCCGATTCAAGTTTGGCCACACTTCCTTCGCTGATACCGACGCCAATGGCCCGTGGGGGACGGCACTGGTGACCGAGTTCATCCCGTTCCTGGAGAGTCAGTACCCCGCGGTTCCTTCTGCTGGTGGTCGCTTCCTGCACGGCCACTCGTCCGGAGCCTGGTCGACGCTGTGGCTCCAGCTGCAGTTCCCCGACTTCTTTGGAGGCACTTGGAGCTCTGCTCCTGACCCGGTCGACTTCTCGCGCTTCCAGGTCGTGAACATTTACGAGGCTGACAACGCGTACTGGGACGCGAACGGCAACCCGTACCCGACAAGCCGAAGCAATGGACTCGTTACATGCAGCAACCGCGACGAGAACCTTGTGGAGAGGGTCTATGGACGTGGCAATGGCGGACAATGGGATGCATTTGTAAGTTTGTGATGCCAGTTACTGCATTCATCTTGGTTTTATTGTGAGACTAACGCTGATTGTTGCAGTTTGCACTGTTTAGTCCTCGGGGGGCTGATGGAATGCCCATTCCTCTCTTCGACAAGGTATCTGGTGATATCAACCGCGACGTGGCGAAGTACTGGGAGCGCTTCGACATCTGTAAGTTTCTCCAGAAGCGGCCGGAGCTTCTGAAGACCAAACTGCGGGGCAAAGTCCACGTCATTTGCGGCATTGAGGACACGTACTACCTGGACTTTGCATGCCGGTCGCTGCAGAAACTGGTTGGGAACAGCAAAGCCAACGCTCAAGATGGCTCCGCAGTTCCGAACTACGTGGCGATGGTGCCTGGAGACCACACGAGTATTCGCTCGCGCGCACACTATACCCAGGTGTTCTCGGAGATCGCTGCGGTGTTCAAGCACAACACGAAGCTATAAGGTTGGAATTCCTTGATAGAGAGACTTGTAGATCGAGCTGGGTGTGATCAAGTAATTAGAATTAACCATCTTAACCGCATTTTATCAAGAAAGCATTGCAGCTGAAGCCTGGGGTCGGCACTACGTTAGCAGATCTAAATACCACGAAGTGAGTGAGAGAATCTTGGCGCGCACGAGTGAGCTGGTGGATCATCAACCCTCCACACCGCCTGTAGACGCTGTCTCGACAACTATTATCAGCTTGTCACGAGCGCCTTGCTCAGGCTGGAACACCCACTCTACATTGGCTTTACCTAGTGTACTCCCTATACACTAACTGTAGAGTCAGCTGTACGTGTAAACTAGGTCGTCTTCGACTTGGCTGGGAACACCAGTGGTATAAAACGCTGGTGATGGTACCGGTGCTAATTGCCATGATAAGGGAGAACTGTGGCCCGCGTGATTCAAGGGCGTGGCCCCTGCGGGGCCACACCCATGAATATCGCGCGTGCCGCAGTTCACTTTCTGAAGCTGGTTCATGGGTCTGTTGTCGTACATTTCCTGCCTCAGTCTGCCTTGCTGAAAGTTGCCGTTGAACCTGCTCGGTCGACATCCTTCTGGATGGTGTAGCACGAAGGTTGCGCCAGGTTACGCTTACGCGTGGGAGCTGTCCACCCCCTCATTCTTCGGGTGCTCCCAGTATAACAGTTAGTTAGTGTCTAGTACTTTTTGCTAACATGTATTTGCCGAACGAGCATCACTAATTTTTGCACAAAAAACGGAAATTACTAAAGACTTCAATAACTTTATCTACGCGGCGTAGATAAAGTTATTGAAGTCTTTAGGAGCGGCGTAAACTACGCCGCTTCGATCCTTCTGGTTTTCTATATTTTAAGAGATAAGACACTTTTAATTCGATATTGTGGCCCACATTGTCCCAACTCAACGGTACTGTCACATTAGATGCTGCCAAGTCTACTCTAGATGCCAGTGCAGCGCCAGAGCCGTAGTTGCTTGAAGTGCCAGTCTAGATCGGATAGTCCCATCCGTTAGGTTGTGTTTTATTTTTAAGGACCAACTCGTGCGGACAGAACTGATAGTGAGGCGAGATCCTGTATTAGCAGCGATGGCGGTGCTGTGTTTGTTGTTGAAAGCATCTACGCACGTAAGACTGTTGAGGTATCCTAGATGGATATCTGGGTTTTCAAGCGGCAAGTCTCTGCTTCGAGTGATAGAAGAAGACACGAGATCGAGCGACAGATAGGGATAGGCTGAAGTAGACTAGGCATAGTTCGATTCGCGCGAGCGGCCTACGAGACTCGTGGGCTTCTCACTCGCAAAGTTTCTCGCTCGAAGCTAAACTGAAGTTCCTCGCTCCGCGCTCCACACGCTCCAGCTCCGGTCTTCTCGCTCGAATAATGGTGTCGACCGCTATTGTCCCCGGTGCTCTCGCCTTTCTCTGGCCGGCCCACATCCCGGCTCTTCCCGACTTTCGGTACGTCCGGGTCACGAGTGTTCAAGGAAGCAAGGCCAAGGTGGCTCTTGTCAGCCTCGATGGTGACGACGAAGCGCTGGACGAGGAAGTCGACATCGCTGTCCTACAACGGCGCCGTGTCGGCGATGAGGAAGGCGAGCTGTGGCCCGGTACATTCATTGGGCATCCTATCGCGTTTATCATGCCGGACGGACCATCCTTGGACGAATGGGCATTTGGCGTCGTCTCTGGGTATCGCATGGCGGGGGGTCACCCCTCTCTGCACGTCCGCGGTGACGGTGTACCCGTCAAGCTCAAACTGGAGCAACCGCCGAATGTTATCAAGGTCAACTGGGTCAACTACGTCCTCCAGACGGGTGCGGGGGAGAATGCTTCGGCAGTCAACGCAGAGGAGATGGTGGTGCTGATGGATGAGGTGAGCGCCCAGTGCGGCAAGAGCCGGGCGGGGTTGCCAGCAAAGATCGCCAAGTCCCTCTCTGTGCCCTTTGACGCTGAGGCCCCCGTCCCCATCATCCGGCCCGACACGCTGGCCGTGATCACGGCGCCCCGCAAGCACGCCCTGGACGGCGCGCTCAACAAGAAAGGCAAAAAGGGCACGAGTATGTTCAACACGCAAGACATCTGAATTAGGGGGCAATCGTTCATTGGCCTCACGCCCCAGGTTGAGGGTGCGGTGAGCGCCCCCCCCCAAGAAAGTGCTTGCCGGAGCTTCAGACTTGGGCTGATCGGTTTCATTCCAGCGCGTGCCGTCAGATCATGCGACTTGAGAGGCCGAGGGTAGCTTCTGGCCTAGCACGGGATAGCTCTCGTAGGTTTTGCTCAGCCAGCGGCCCAGGAGCTTGATTGCGAGGCCATCAGCCTTCCCAGACAGCAGGGCGGTGGCGCCACCGATGCGCACCGAGTGAGTGGCGTACTGATGCGGGTCAACGCCAATACTGGAGACCACAGCCTTGAGCCTGTCGGATACTTCACCCGCCCTGAGGTCGACACACAGATTTGGTGCCGCGTTCTGCCGCAACTCCGCTCGGGCTCGTAGCACGTGGTACAGCGCCTTTGTCGGACACAGCACGGGGTCGTCAGTCGCATGCATGGTCCTTCACGCTCCTCGACCGAACTGGTCGTTCTTCGCGCCAGCCAGGCCAATCGTGACAGCCTCGGCCGCGAGGTAGTGAACGCGAGCTCCTTGGCGGTCGGCAAAATGCGCGTGTTCGGACTTGAGGCAGTACTGGTGCCGTCCGGATTCCACGACCAGGTACTCGGAGCGCCGTAATAGGAAAAAGTAGGCCAGTAAAACGGAGCCCCACAGAAGACGCTGACGGGGTTGAGAGAAATCGAGGCGACGGTAAAGCAGTCTCAGAAATGCCGGTGTAAGGGGCTGCTTTTTCGTCAGGGGACCCGAAAGGCGGCGAATCCCACGCATGAGCATGTCAAAATCGGGGGCATGCTCAACTTCGATTCCCGCGTAGCGCTTGTGGTACCACCGTATACTCGACAGCTTCAGCTGAATAGTGCCATACTGGTTGCCTCGGTGTCGCCCACTCCAACCGTGTCGCCGACAAAAAATCGCAAACAGCCCCAGTTTAGTGCTGTTGTCGCGCCGATCAGAACTCAGCCATTCCGACCACTGCATGTATGCCGAGAACTGAGCCCACTGGCGCCAATGGCTTCGGTACGTCACTGAGGTAGTGCCGGCAAGGGCCCGGCCGCGCAGCATTGATCCCAAAAGTGTAAGAGATTCTCGTAAGCCGCTGGGACTTGTACCTGTTCCCAACCACACGACAAGTTAGTTCACGTAGCGTAAAGTGCATGATCATTGCTCCAGGCTCGTGAACCCGCGTCCGCCATCACGTTGTCGACTCCAGGTACGTGACTCGCGGTACAAATCAACGAGTACTGGAACTCAGCGAGCGAGAGAAGGCGGTTGTACACCTGCGCGCGTGGCAGACGACTAGCCCGTCGTTGCGTCCACGAGACTGCAGTGGCATTATCAATCCAAAATCGAACGTGAATAGGACGGCACCCAAATCGTTGCCACCATACTGGTCCCCATAGGAGTGCGGCCAGCACAGCACTCTGGAGCTCGCGTGCGTTGATTGAGTTCGCGGTGGTTGTCGCGCGAAATTCCTGCTTGATGTCTTCAGTGAATCGAATCCGGAAAAATTGGCGAAGAGTTGGTTCCAGAGCGCAGAGCCCCTCGTCAGATGCGTCCATGTGGACGTCCACCATCGGCGATGTCATCCCGACTGGGAGATCGGGATACCGTTGAAGCGACTGGGACGGAGCAGAATGTATCGAAACCAGTGCAAATCTTGGAAGGCGTCCGCCGACAACTGGTGCCGCCCGTATCGGCGCGATGTATTCGCGGCGGTTTGTAGGCGCTGGTAAAAGGCCCTTGCCTGTGGGCAGCACGACGCCACGTGGCGGAGCGACCCCAGGAGCTGCAGCAGGTTGGTCTTTGTCGTTGTGCCTCCGTCGAGGAGTGCCTGCACTCGCTGCTGTGCCTTCGAGATCTTTTCTGCCGGGATGGTGAGTGTGCCGGCGCGTGTGTCCCACAGCAGGCCCAGCGCTCGTCCTTGCTCACTCCACTTAAACTTGCGGGTGTTGATTGCTTTGGGCCCAAGAACTGTAGCCATCGCTCGTCGTAGTGCGAGGTTAGCCTTGAAGCATCGAAGACCGTCCTCCGGCTCGATGCACGTGTGATCGTCACACCAGAACAGCCCTGTCAGTGGTCGTGACACTGCGGTTGTTGCGCACGGCGATTCTTCGTAGAGGCCGTTGATAAGCGTTCCCGGTAGGAAGTACCAAGCGGGCGATCCACACCACCCGAAGCCACATGCGAGGTCCACCACCAGGTACTCGCCCAGGACAAACGCAAACATGTGCGCGTGATCGGCGCTGACCGGCACGTGCCGGAATGCGCCCGCGACGTCCCCGAGCATTAGTAGAATCCGAATGTCCGGGTACTCCCGTCGTAACTCGACAATGCGGCGAGCGATGTCAGCGGGCGGATTGTACTTGATAGCCGGGAGGTGGGAACGATCGGTAAAGTCGTTGATTGACGAGCCTTCAGGAAATGAGTAATCGTCGATAACCCGAATGTCGGTGCCATCCTTGGCCACCACGCCGATGGGGGAGAGGAAGATGTCGTGCCACTGGTCGAGCAGGGACGCCCGGACGACCAGGTAGCGACCGTCGGCCTGGCCCTTGCGGATGTGCGCCCAAACTTGCGAGAGGTGCTCGTCAATGGAGCTGTGGTTGCGCGGCCGGGATGGCTGGCGGGCGGGGCGTGACGGTAGCCACTCGGGTACGACGCCATGACGAACGACCTCGTTCCAGCGACGCGCAGCCGTGCTCAACCCCCCCCCCTCCACGGCCAAGCCAGCCCCGACCAAGCGCAAAGCCACGGCGGGCGACGACGGACGCCCCGCTACGCGCCACAAGGTTCCCGAGGCGGCCCGGACGCAGCAGAGGCAGACGCGCTGATGACTGACCTGACTGCCTCTGACACGGAGGCGGATGACGCAGCCGATGCCCGGGCCGTTCGACAGCAGGTCCTCGCGTTTGGTCAGGGCCCCGCGCCGCCCGGCAGCAGCGGAGTGGGCACGACGACGCCAGCTGCAGCGGCGGTCGCCGAGACATCCTTCAGCGCGGTGGACGAAATCCGCGGACGTGCATCGACGACCTTCCGTCCAACGACGCTGGAGCAGCAGATACACAATGCTATCGGTCACCCGGACCACCAAGGTAAGGATGCTCAATGTATTCTCGAATGTGCTCAGCAGGCTCGTGAAACCCGCTTTCGTGCTGCTCATCCAATTCTCCGCGGCGCGTTCGATTTTGGGTTCCACATTCGCGGTCTTTCGGTTATGCACTTTGCCCACGAATCACGCATTTCGACAATGGAGGCGAGCGGGGCGGTGGTCAACATGACGGATTTCTCTAGGAAGAACGGTCTGCAGCCCGCGGCGGCCGAGCCGTCCTATACCGGGCTGCTCGAGGCGCTCACGAGTTTGCGCCACTTCGGACGCAAGTTTTACAACGCCGCCACGGTGGACGTGCTGAACGCCGCCATCACTTTCATCGAGGAATTCGCCGATGGTGGCGACCCGGACCGCGAGACGACCAAGCGCCTTCTGCTGTGGATCAACATGAAGCTGGGCAAGTTTCGTGGGCTGGTCATCTCGGTGGGGCTAGCGGCTGCCGTCCGCGTCACTGACGAGTTTACGCTTCAAGACTCACTCCTCTCGGAGCTGCTGTACAATCTACAGAAGGCCAAGTTGGACAAGCTGACAGCGATGATCGAGGCGCAGCAGCACCCGTCGCCGAAGGTCCGCTCGAAGGGCAAGGAACACCAACTGGCGAAGCTCACAGGAAGAATCCCCAAGTCGGTGGCGCGAGGTCTGCCCAAGCAAGGTTCGCAGCAACTTTGTCTCAAGCACCTGTCCAAGATGGGGTGCAGCGGCAACGGCACACCCGGGCAGTGCTTCGCGAAAGGGCGAGCCCACTTTCGCCCTACGGCCTTGTCGAGTGAGGCCAAGGACCACATCAAGCAGCACTTCGGAGGTCTCGCGCCGGAATTCGCCGATCTCTGAGGTGACGGGGTCTCAGCCAGCTCTTCCCTTCCTGCAGCCTCCAGCCAGCCCCATGCTGGCCGGCCGCTGACAAACACCGCCACACGCAGTTGTCTAGCGGCAGAACACAACGAATATATGAAGAGTTTGGAGTTGCTAAGTGAACATTGTCGGGCTGAGATCGCGAAGGAAGTTGCGGCTGCTGCCGCTCAGTGGGGCGTGGAGATGCCCAGCACCCCGGCGCAGACGCTGGAAGACGGACTGGATGTCAATATGGTCGCGTTTCATTTTGACCTGGCGGTCGCCTCGGCACTCCCGCTCCCTGATTTCGTGCGACTGCTTCGGGGCCAGACAGAGGCCGATCCCCGTCCGAATAAAGATCTCTACGAGCTGCCCCTACCGCGCGACCCGGCGCTGCATGAGGCTGCGCGTCGCTGGAACGAGGTCGTTCGTCATGGCGTCGTACCCGAGTGGCTACCGTCACGCCCCGCCCGCCAGCCATCCCGGCCGCGCAACCACAGCTCCATTGACGAGCACCTCTCGCAAGTTTGGGCGCACATCCGCAAGGGCCAGGCCGACGGTCGCTACCTGGTCGTCCGGGCGTCCCTGCTCGACCAGTGGCACGACATCTTCCTCTCCCCCATCGGCGTGGTGGCCAAGGATGGCACCGACATTCGGGTTATCGACGATTACTCATTTCCTGAAGGCTCGTCAATCAACGACTTTACCGATCGTTCCCACCTCCCGGCTATCAAGTACAATCCGCCCGCTGACATCGCTCGCCGCATTGTCGAGTTACGACGGGAGTACCCGGACATTCGGATTCTACTAATGCTCGGGGACGTCGCGGGCGCATTCCGGCACGTGCCGGTCAGCGCCGATCACGCGCACATGTTTGCGTTTGTCCTGGGCGAGTACCTGGTGGTGGACCTCGCATGTGGCTTCGGGTGGTGTGGATCGCCCGCTTGGTACTTCCTACCGGGAACGCTTATCAACGGCCTCTACGAAGAATCGCCGTGCGCAACAACCGCAGTGTCACGACCACTGACAGGGCTGTTCTGGTGTGACGATCACACGTGCATCGAGCCGGAGGACGGCCTTCGATGCTTCAAGGCTAACCTCGCACTACGACGAGCGATGGCTACAGTTCTTGGGCCCAAAGCAATCAACACCCGCAAGTTTAAGTGGAGTGAGCAAGGACGAGCGCTGGGCCTGCTGTGGGACACACGCGCCGGCACACTCACCATCCCGGCAGAAAAGATCTCGAAGGCACAGCAGCGAGTGCAGGCACTCCTCGACGGAGGCACAACGACAAAGACCAACCTGCTGCAGCTCCTGGGGTCGCTCCGCCACGTGGCGTCGTGCTGCCCACCGGCAAGGGCCTTTTACCAGCGCCTACAAACCGCCGCGAATACATCGCGCCGATACGGGCGGCACCAGTTGTCGGCGGACGCCTTCCAAGATTTGCACTGGTTTCGATACATTCTGCTCCGTCCCAGTCGCTTCAACGGTATCCCGATCTCCCAGTCGGGATGACATCGCCGATGGTGGACGTCCACATGGACGCATCTGACGAGGGGCTCTGCGCTCTGGAACCAACTCTTCGCCAATTTTTCCGGATTCGATTCACTGAAGACATCAAGCAGGAATTTCGCGCGACAACCACCGCGAACTCAATCAACGCACGCGAGCTCCAGAGTGCTGTGCTGGCCGCACTCCTATGGGGACCAGTATGGTGGCAACGATTTGGGTGCCGTCCTATTCACGTTCGATTTTGGATTGATAATGCCACTGCAGTCTCGTGGACGCAACGACGGGCTAGTCGTCTGCCACGCGCGCAGGTGTACAACCGCCTTCTCTCGCTCGCTGAGTTCCAGTACTCGTTGATTTGTACCGCGAGTCACGTACCTGGAGTCGACAACGTGATGGCGGACGCGGGTTCACGAGCCTGGAGCAATGATCATGCACTTTACGCTACGTGAACTAACTTGTCGTGTGGTTGGGAACAGGTACAAGTCCCAGCGGCTTACGAGAATCTCTTACACTTTTGGGATCAATGCTGCGCGGCCGGGCCCTTGCCGGCACTACCTCAGTGACGTACCGAAGCCATTGGCGCCAGTGGGCTCAGTTCTCGGCATACATGCAGTGGTCGGAATGGCTGAGTTCTGATCGGCGCGACAACAGCACTAAACTGGGGCTGTTTGCGATTTTTTGTCGGCGACACGGTTGGAGTGGGCGACACCGAGGCAACCAGTATGGCACTATTCAGCTGAAGCTGTCGAGTATACGGTGGTACCACAAGCGCTACGCGGGAATCGAAGTTGAGCATGCCCCCGATTTTGACATGCTCATGCGTGGGATTCGCCGCCTTTCGGGTCCCCTGACGAAAAAGCAGCCCCTTACACCGGCATTTCTGAGACTGCTTTACCGTCGCCTCGATTTCTCTCAACCCCGTCAGCGTCTTCTGTGGGGCTCCGTTTTACTGGCCTACTTTTTCCTATTACGGCGCTCCGAGTACCTGGTCGTGGAATCCGGACGGCACCAGTACTGCCTCAAGTCCGAACACGCGCATTTTGCCGACCGCCAAGGAGCTCGCGTTCACTACCTCGCGGCCGAGGCTGTCACGATTGGCCTGGCTGGCGCGAAGAACGACCAGTTCGGTCGAGGAGCGTGAAGGACCATGCATGCGACTGACGACCCCGTGCTGTGTCCGACAAAGGCGCTGTACCACGTGCTACGAGCCCGAGCGGAGTTGCGGCAGAACGCGGCACCAAATCTGTGTGTCGACCTCAGGGCGGGTGAAGTATCCGACAGGCTCAAGGCTGTGGTCTCCAGTATTGGCGTTGACCCGCATCAGTACGCCACTCACTCGGTGCGCATCGGTGGCGCCACCGCCCTGCTGTCTGGGAAGGCTGATGGCCTCGCAATCAAGCTCCTGGGCCGCTGGCTGAGCAAAACCTACGAGAGCTATCCCGTGCTAGGCCAGAAGCTACCCTCGGCCTCTCAAGTCGCATGATCTGACGGCACGCGCTGGAATGAAACCGATCAGCCCAAGTCTGAAGCTCCGGCAAGCACTTTCTTGGGGGGGGGCGCTCACCGCACCCTCAACCTGGGGCGTGAGGCCAATGAACGATTGCCCCCTAATTCAGATGTCTTGCGTGTTGAAAATGTTGAGATATCCTAGATGGATATCTGGGTTTTCAAGCGGCAAGTCTCTGCTTCGAGTAATAGAAGAAGACACGAGATCGAGCGACAGATAGGGATAGGCCGAAGTAGACTAGGCATAGTTCGACTCGCGCGAGCGGCCTACGAGACTCGTGTCGACTTTATCTACGCCGCGTAGATAAAGTTATTGAAGTCTGTAGGAGCGGCGTAAACTACGCCGCTTCGATCCTTCTGGTTTTCTATATTTTAAGAGATAAGACACTTTTAATTCGATATTGTGGCCCACATTGTCCCAACTCAACGGTACTGTCACATTAGATGCTGCCAAGTCTACTCTAGATGCCAGTGCAGCGCCAGAGCCGTAGTTGCTTGAAGTGCCAGTCTAGAACGGATAGTCCCATCCGTTAGGTTGTGTTTTATTTTTAAGGACCAACTCGTGCGGACAGAACTGATAGTGAGGCGAGATCCTGTATTAGCAGCGTTGGCGGTGCTGTGTTTGTTGTTGAAAGCATCTACGCACGTAAGACTGTTGATATGCAGTGACTGTACCTGATAAAATGGGTAAGGTGGGAAAGATCGACCTAGAACCTGGCCCGTCACACTCCGATCGAGATGATCGACGAGTTTTAAGACGCAGAGCTGAATTCACCCTGGTCCGAATATATTTCGCTAGAAGACGGGTGTCAAGGACGCAGAATGTTTAGATCTAGTAGGTAAGAAAGACATTAACTGCAATCAGCCTTAAGGTTAATATATATCATGATTATTCTCTTGCTACTAACTCGTCAGCAAACGTACAGCTAACAGTGAGTTAGTGTCTAGTAAATTTTACTAACAGCAAAACGCCCTACACTAGCGTTACCATCCTGCTGGCACTTGATTTTGGCACAACCAATGGTCGGGCGATCCCATTCCATGCCAATAACCCCCGCCAGCTCCTTGATGAACACCACCACAAACTCCCACCCCGACCACGCGTCATCCAGCCCCTTCAGAATCTCGCTCATGACGTTGCTATCGACGACCTTGTTACACCACTTGCAATCAAACAGCAGCATTGCCTTCTCGTTATTGTTCTCCACACCTTGCACGTAGACGTCGCTACGTTTCTTGCCACAAGCACGAACCAAATGACCGAACTTGCATCCTTGCTTGTTAGTAGCGAGAATGTCTTGCGGTCACTCTGCGTTGGGAGGTGCGAGGAACGGAATCGTTCTGCTCAGCAACGAGATAACCCCGTCAGTGTATCCTTCAAAGCACTCGGTTCAATTGCTCGAGCGGAATCCGCATCTTGTACGAACAATGCCATCTTCTTCCACGTTTTGTCTTGAAATTCACCCAGCAAGTCAACCAAAAAGTCGCTAAAACCAATCCCTTGCACTCCATTTCTTCGAGATGAACTGAAAATGGCGTGAGCGACCATGTTCTCGAACATTATGATATTAATACCATTCGCTCCAGCATTCGTGCCTTTGGCCGAAGGAAGCGCGTTAGCATCTGAGAACACCCACTTGGTTGAGTACGTCGTGTACCGATTAATACGGTAGCTTGACAGGACTTCCCGCCCAAGATCGCGAGATACAGCAGCAGGTCCTCCTCAATCGCAGGGAAGCGACACGTATGTTTCCACCCGCCCCAGTTTGTCAACAAAGAGTGAGCTTTAGTGAGATCTGTGAGGTGCTCATCGACCAAGTTGGCAAAGTGTCTGTGCATGGCGGAGGTCTCCACTTCCACTTGATACCTTTTCCGCGCTGGCTCACTCGCTTGACCACCCGCATTGGTGAACGAGATAGCTACTAGCTGAGCGCTTCGTCCTCTACGCGAGCTCATATAGCGTTTACCCTCCTGAATCCTCGAATTGATAGCGGCAAAAGCTTCATCCAACAGCGCCCATAAGTCTTTGCTGCTGTTTTCGTCAAGCTCTTCACGACTTGCTCCACGAAATACCTCGAGAACCTCCCGCGCGAATGCATCACAATGCTTTCCACAATTGGGTACCGTTCGACTGCCTTGAACCACTCTAGACGTTCGCTGGCCGAAAGCAGCACGAGTTGGTAGCTAGGAAATCTCGGGACAATCGACATCCACGGTATCGAGTCGGCGTAGCTGCCGGAGCGTAGCCGTTGATACAAGTCGGTGATCGTCGCGTCGGTGGCCATGAGAATCACCACCAAATCGCAGGCGCGGAACACGTTCTGCTGGAAAGCTGCCACGTCCGGCTCCTCGCTCGTGTCGATTGCCATTTCATCCAGAATGAAAAATGGCAGCTTGGTTCCTCTTTTCTTCTCCTCCTCCATCATCTCTGTGACGATAGCTCGGACGCTGTCAAGGTCACATTGTCCATGTGTAGCGTTGTACGCTCTGCGAAGCGTATCATACATCTAGCGTGTTGGTGTTTCTCCAACCGACTTTGTTCGAGCATTGCGCGAATAAACCCAAATGTCCACAACTTGCGCTTCTCGAAGCAGGAACCGGAGTAGAACCTAGAGCGGGTGTACAAGAGATGACACTCCTCCTCAAGCTGTGGTTTGTCTTTCCTCATGTAGTAAAGAAACTCGTTCGATAGCGACGCCACAGTCCGATAGATACTTTGCGAGTACCCGTCAACATCACGGGAGATCCAGTAGAAGTATGGTCGTCGGCCGTCCAACGCAAAAGCTAGCTGCGACTTCCCCGTACCAGACGATCCTTGCACGCACATGAACTGCATCGGAGAAGACGGGCGGAAATAGTACTCGTCGATTTTATCCAGAATGGAGTTGCAGTACTCCTGACAGTCTTCGCGGATCATCCGCCCTCGCTCTTGGTAAAGCTGCAACTCCTCCAATACACTCTCATCCTCCGTTTCTTTAATCTCGACCTCGCGCGCAGGCACCTTCACAACAAACGCAGTCTTCTGTATCTTTCCACGCTCACCGATCGGTGACTCATTGTCCAGTGGCCCTCACCAGTTGTGGTCGCGGGCACGGAGGTCGGACACGTCGATTCCATCCAGGTTATACCTGCATTTCCTCTTCACTGCCTTCAGGAGAGTTTCAATGGTGTCGTCCTTCGTTAGAGGCACTGAAGCTGGGTTAGTACCAACGAATACACCACTAGTGCCTTCATCCACCAGCTCGAACCAGACCCGAGGCACCTCAACGACCAGCGGGTCAGATCGATTCACCCCATGACCACCCAGCTCCGTGCCGATATTCAGAGCTTCCTGCTCCTCGCTGCCCGCAAACACTCGGAGGTGCTGAGCCGCGACTCCTGGTGGGAGAATAGCTTGGGTTCTCTCGAACGCTGCCCTCTGTAGGTCTTCCACAGTGTTATCGCCAGTGAGAGATAGCGAATCTACAGCGCGAGTGGTGCCACCGACCAAGCGGAACCAGACCCTCGGCATTTCCACGACGATCGGGTTCTCTCTCTCTCTTCATCCACTCCGTAGCCATCCAAGCCCGAGTCGGCCGTCAATGCCTCCTGCGCCTCCATGTTGGGAAACACCTTGATGTTCGACGAGAGGAGCCTCGCGAGGAATTCCCCGACATCAGCACCAGCTCGAAGCTCCAAAAAGTCCACCCCACCCTCGGATCGAGCGCGGCCAGCTCCATCGACCAGCTTGAAATATTTCTTCTGCTCCATCTTGTCAACTTCTTGGCAGCACCGCAAATTCAGGAATGGAGAAAGTTGAGAAAAGTAAAGTCATGATTGATGCCCGCCGACTGTATTGACAATATTTTGGTGGTCGTAACTTCAACATCTGACATATAACAAGCGTTGGTTATAAACCCTATCTACCACTAACTGCAATTGATTTCCCTCATACAAACGCCAAGTCAAGTTCATTGGTCGCTACCGTATTCAACCATGGCGCCGGTGAAGTCGAGCGACACACGCGACGTGCCCCTGGAGGAGCGTCTGCGCCAGAAGAAGCAGGGCTTCGCCACGCAGAAGGAGGCGGACGCGCCTGCCCACTCGGAGAGCGGCCCGGCGCGGCGCGCGAACAAGAACCAGCCGCTGGAGCTGTCGTCCAAGCGCGCCGTGGGGCGCTTCCGGCAGGTGGTGGAGGTCAAGAAGCGGCGCGCGCTGGACCCGCGCTTCGAGGCGCAGAGCGGGCGGCTGAACGAGGACCTGTTCAACAAGAGCTACGCGTTCCTGGACGACTACAAGCAGCGCGAGCTGCAGGAGCTCAAGCAGCAGCTCAAGAAGACCAAGAGCGTCACCAAGAAGGACGAGCTCAAGGTTAGTCAGTACCCGTAATAACTCAAAAGCTGGTGCGGAAGAGTGAGTACTTACTTTAATGATTGTATGGTGCAGCACGAGATCGCGCTGAGGCAGCAGGAGATGACGGAGAAGCAGAAGACGGAGAAGATCAAGAGCGCGCTGACCAAGCGGAAGCGCGAGGAGCGCGAGGCTGTGGCCAGCGGCAAGGGCGCCTTCTACCTCAAGGTCGGTGGGCTCCTATACTGCGGTGAGAAGCAGAAAATTGGGGAAAGACTGACGCGTTTTGTTCGTGTTGCAGCGGAAGGACAAGAAGAAGCTGGAGCTGCAGGCCAAGTTCCAGGACCTGCAGGAGACCGGGCGGCTGTCCAAGTTCATGGCCAAGAAGCGCAAGAAAAACGCCAGCAAGGACCACAGGTGGCTGCCCACGCAGCGGAAATAGGCGCAAACCGATGGGTCCGTGCGTTGGCCGGGTTTGCTCCATGTGCATCCATGCGTGGCCCGGTAGCGTGCGTCTCACCTCACTTGTATTTTGCTTGCAGTGCCTACTTACTAATAGACAGATTCTGCTACGTTGCGCGTTGATGTTGACTTGTGACGAGGCCGCCGTTGTGCTGACAGTGTTGCTGTTTATATACCCAAGCAGTTTCCCCCAGCGCTAAAGCGAGAGTGTGCTGAAAGCTAAGTTCGTTTGCTGGAGCTTCCTGGACGCGCGAGTGTGTTGCGCGCCACTCTCATTTAATGCCAAGACGAGCACAGCTGGAGCATTAGCAGCTCCACTACTGCGTTGGAGGGCGGGCGAGACTTCGCGACGGCAAGGATGATGCATGAGCAAGGAGGCCAGCAGCTACCGAGCGTTGCCCATGAGCCCAAGGGAGCGAGCGAACCGAAGACAGCCATCGCAAGGTCGGGGAGTATGAGAGCTGGGGGTATTACACCGATGGAGCGGCGAATGTCTCGCGGAGTCTCGGGCCAGCTTCCACGTCGTAAGTCTCGACCGAACAGCGGCAGCTCGAATCGCAGAACGTCAAGTGCGTCCTCCATGAAGTCAGTGACCGAGTTCGTAGAGGAGGAAAAGCCGTCGTCACCAATTGTATTGCGCTTGAGAGCTTTGGCACACGCGGTGCGCGCCAGACATTCCCTTGGGATACAAAAGCCTGCTCAGAGGAAGTATCTCCTGCAAGCCAGCGAAGCCGGAACGGAGGAGACGGACGTTGGTGTTGATCTACTCATGGAAGGAATCCAGACTAAGCTCAAGGAAGACGCTGCGAGTGGCCAATACAGGAGCAAATCCATCAGCAACAACCACTACGATACCGACGGCAACCAGCGGAACCTGTCCATCAGCTCCAAGAGCAAAGTACGCTTCACCAACGACGAGCAGTCGACGGAGAAGGCTGCAGCCCGCAGTACACAGGCGTCATCTCCAAACGGAAAGCCGCCGTTGCGATCCTCGTTCAAAAGTGCGACCATGAAGCGCGGGAGTTTAACGACCAAGGCCGCCCCTCTTCAGCGTGTGAATACCATTAGAGGTGACCTCAGTGCTTTCATGACTCCATACGAACTCAAGCCTCGCCACTCCGAAGTGAATCTAGACCACACTCAAAATCTAGGAGCGCGGATAACCTGCGCGCACTCGCTCTACAAACTCTCGTGCCAGGTGGGCAGTGAACTAGCGATCATCGGTGGTGGAGCCATCGCGCAGATCGCCGACTTCAGCGACGTGGAAGACTCCAAGGTCTTGCGGTACTCAGCTACAGTTCTCGTCAACGTCACGACTGATCTATCGGTGCTGGAAGACTTCGCGTCAAAGGACGGTGTGTCGGCCCTGCTTGAACTGAGCTGGACGCCTCTGATGGATGTAAAAGTTGCCTGCACGACAGCACTTTGCCGCCTGTCCCAAAGTCGAGCGCGCGCTGCGGTGTTAGTGCGGTGTCGAGCGATAACGGAGCTGCTGTCGATGCTCACAGTCCCGCACGTTCCTCTCCAGCAGTTGGTGGTGAGCTGTATCGCGAACCTCGTCTTCTACGGACACTCGTTCCCCGACCGCGTGTTCGTTGGCGACCCGCAGGCGGTTCAAAGTCCTCTAGGGCTGATGAACGTCATCAGTCAAATGTCGGCGTCGCCGTCTACGTCTCAGTCCGCGGTGGAGGCGCTGTTCAACTTGTCGCTGTATCGCTCAAGCTGTCTGGGTGTACTCCGTGGTGGAGGCGCCGAAACGCTGCACACTTTGGTCAGCCAGCTCTGCAAACTAGTCGACGGCAACGGTGGTGGGTCCAGCTCACGATTTTTGCTAAGTCTTGGTGTTCAGCCTCCTGCGTGGACCGCCGACATGAGCGTTTGTATGAGGCTGCTGCGTCTAGCAGCCGACACGCTCGCCAACTTCTCGGCGCACGTCGAGTATCACAATATGATGGGCTCTCACGGCATTAAATCGCTGAGTTTGATGCTATCCGGCGCGCTGCGTGACGTGGGAAACTTCAACTCGAGCGTCACGACCGAGGAGAGATTCCGCTGTACGAGCATCCCATGTTCGCGAGCTTTGGCAAACTTCTCCAGTAACATTGACCTGCGGCGACAAAACTTCCCCCAAGATCTGATCCAGCAGGCTACAAAGCTAGCGCTGATGGACCACAAGCGATACGCTGCCAACGCGCGAGACGCGCGGACGCTGATGCGCAATGCAATTCGAACTCTGTGCAACCTGAGCTTCGAGAGCTCGTGCAGATCCGCCTTCACTGAGGTACCCCAGGTACTCTTGATGCTACACGCGATCACGGTGCTGCCTCCCATATCGGCCGACGAAACGGAGGATGATCGAGCTCCTCCTCCACCCGCTGAACAACAGCCTCGACCTCAAGAGCAGCAACAGGAAGGAAGGATGCCGTCGATGACCGAGACGCATGAAGGTTCTGCGCATGATACGACCAGCGCGTTCGTTGGGAGTATCCCGCTCGGAGCTCTGGCTGAACCTGAGCCGATCTGGTACTTGCGATCATCACGCGCCTCGCACGCGTCTGGATTCCCCTGGACCACGGACATGTCGGAGGACGCGAAGGAAGACGCGCTTATTGCTCTTCTTAACTTCGCCCAGCAAGCGACTTTCGCGAACGAGTTGCTTCGGACGTTGGACGGGAAGCTTCTGGCGGCAGCAGCTGAAGACGTTGGGCACTCGAGGCGCCTCCGATACATCTACGCCTCAGTGCTCTGCAACCTGCTCTTCGATAACTATCTACAGCAGCTCGTGTATGGCGATCAAGTGGTACGCGCGTTGGTGAGTGGCTTTAACTTCTTCGAGACGTATCTGGCGAAGGACCAAGAAGAAACAGGGACGTCGCTCGCCATGTCGACGATCCCTCCCCCGCCGAATACCGAGAAAGACCAATTCCAGGCTCTGAACTTGGCGTTTGATGACGATCAGGAGCGATTTCTGGCCTCGATCTTCCTCATCGCTAATGAGTTGATGGATATGGCGAACATTGAGCTGGTGGTGATGCTTGCTCTGCCTTGCATGAAGACGTACCTGAGTTTGGCGACGTCGATCCCCTCCAATTCCCCTCCGTCACATCCGCGGCGAATACAGCTGCAACGACAGCTCCCGATAACATGCTATGCCTCAGCATCGCTGTTTGCTTTGACTCGAGCTGCCACTCAACGACGTGACAGTCAGAAGCATGTCACGCATTCGGACGAGGCTGAAAGTATGCTGATTGCGGTGTGCGCGCTACCATCGGGAGCTGGGGGCGGTGGACCGGTGTCTGGTGTTTCTTCGTCTTCTAGAGGTGGCATCACGCAGGCATTTTGTGCAGCGACGCTGTATCACCTGTGCGCCTCAACATCCGTGAACCTGCGCGTGATCCAAGGGCTTATCAACTGCTGCAACGTCAACGAGGAGTCCCAGTCTCTGCTGGCTTGCTCAGCGGCATTCGCCATTATCTCGTTCACAGCCGAAGGTTGCCAGCAACTCGTGCAGTGCGCAGACTTGGCCCGAGCGCTGAACCGACTTGGTCGTACTAGTCAAGTCGAGTGTCAGCAATACGCAGCCATTGCAGCCTGTAACGTATCTACAGTGGCGTGTGTTTGGTCCTCCGCAGAGCTCAAGGACTTCATTGTTGTCGCTCTACTGCGAGCGAACTCGATCCAGGCAAAGCAGATTCACGCCAAGACGCTGTCCAACCTGCTATCCCATGGAGCGACGCGCCCGAAGGTTGTCGAGGATGGAGTGCTCTACGCGCTGATGAGGCTGTCGCAGGTCATGATGTCCGGCACGACTGCAGTAACCAGCGGCACTGGGATGACCGGTGATCGTCGAGTCTCCGGGACTGTGGACAATGGAGTGTTGTCATCGTCGTCCCCCGACGAGGTGTTCAGTATCGGCTTGCGGGCTCTCTTCAATTTATCGTGCGACCGTCAGTATCATCACAAACTCTTAGCGAACGGGGTCATGGCGTACCTTTCAACTGCAGTGGAGTGCAAGCAGCCAGGAGCAGCTACTGGAGGCCACTCGAGCCCGAACTGGAGGGCGCCGTCATTCAACGATCCGGCAATCACGTCGTTCCTCTTCGGACGAGTGAGGACCCCACAGAAGCAGCAACAACAACTGCAGTGTCTAGCTGGCCATCTCAGCATGGAGAGTCGAAGGTTCGCGCTCGCCATCATTTGCAACCTGGCAAGCTACGAAGAAAATCACAAGGAGCTCATGCGCGCTCAAGTCATGGAGGTCATTCGCAACTACGTGGATGGAGATATCGAGTCCCGTGCTTCCGCTGCGATGGCACTGCGTAACCTGAGCTGTCGCCAACCCTGGGTGGAGATGCTGTGCGAGCGCAAGACGTTGCAGCTTTTGATTCTCTGTACGGAGTGCGATCACCCTATAGTTCGGCAGTTCGCCATCGAGGCGTTAGCCAATTGCTCACTGGTGACGGATTCGTTGCACTTGTTTGGAGAAATGCGTGTTCCTCGAGCAGTATTGACGCTGCTGGAGGTCACGGCGAATGGGTTGCCAGCTACTAGTACCGCATCACCCGTTTCCGTGTCATGGGAGCTCTCGAATGATCAAGGGAAACCTCAACCGATGATGCCGATGCTGGAGCGTGAACCCACGGGAACCAGCACCTACATGGCAGCTCTCAAGTGCCTCCACAACATCGCTCATGACGATTCACTAGCGTTGGCTCTGATGGAGGAGAACATCATCCTGCGCCTTCTACCTCTGCTGGAATATCGCGCGTTGGGAAGTGACGTCTATGCGTGCGAACTAGCAGCGAGTTTGACGCATACACTAGCTGGGAAACCGAAATGTGCCGAGGCATTACTACGTCAGCGTACTGTAAGCCTCTGTGCTCTGTTACATCGACGGCATGCCAATAGCAGCGTGATAGCACGCGAGTGCGTCCGCGTTCTCATGTTGCTATCCACGTATCAGCACATCCAGTTGCAGTTATGTGAAACTCAAGCTGTGCATGTAATTGTGAGTATCTGCGGCGGTGGCGGTGCGTCGACGACAAGTGCGAATCCTTTGGGGTCTGCAAGAAACCTGCGACTTCGAGAGTGCGGCGCTGTCACGATCCGAAATCTCACGCTGAGCGTCACGGAGCATCTTGCGTTGTTTTACGAAAAACACGACGACGGGGATGGATCGCTTTACGATGTAGGCGTCACCCCCGCAGACAAACCGGTGGACACCATGAAAGACTTGGAGAAGGAGGACGACAACGAGAGTGGGGACCCTGACAAAGACGCTTCGGTTAGTCTCATGCTGGAACGGCACATGCTGCATGGGATCAAGTATTTCCAAGAGGAGATTGTCTCGGGTCAAGCCAGTGATCGCATTCTACTGGAAGCGAGTGCTGCTATCGCGAATTTGAGCACAGTCAAAGTGTTTCGAGTGGCGATGGTAAGACGGGGCATGATCCAGACTCTGCTGCAACTGATGAGCCAGCCGAAGCCTAAAGCGCAGCGGATGACGCTGTCAACTCCAGTTCTGACGCCGGGACCTACGTCTCCGTTGCGACTACGAAATACGTATCGCAATAGTCTACTAGGACGGATTTGTGCCGCTACCTTACACCGGTTAGTGGTCGAAGAAGGCGCCGCCGTCGACGCTCGCAGCCAACTCATTCCCAGCTTGCTCTCGGTGTTGCGACAGACGGATGAGGAGCTGCAGCAAGTGCGCTACGAGTGTGAAAAGATCTCAATCTTCAGCTTCAACATGGTCGGAGATGCTCCTGTCGGGGCCACGCCTCCAGCCACAGTCGGACTCCGTCGATTCACCCACGTGCAGACCAACACTTCATTACTTCCACGACCTGGAGACTTGCTGCAACAAATATCGACTGACGTGGGGGATAATGACCCCAACGAAGGCACACCACTAGCATCGGGGTTGCTGTCACCGTCCGCTGAGGGTCGAAGAGTGTTTGGCAGTTGCAGTGCTCTGCTACCAGCAGTAGCCGCTGCCACTCAATGCGTGCGGCAGACCTATCGGGAGCAAAAGTGGATGGTGTACGTGCTCAAGACCATCCTCTCGTCGCAGGCCATGATCCCTCAGCTCGAGAAGAAGCAGATGCGAGTGCTTGGGACGCCGAAGTTGTGCTTCCAGGACCTCTCACCTGGCGCAGCAGTGCCAGCTCCAGCTCCAGTCCCAGCGAACGGCAGCACCAGCAGTCGAAGCACCAACTCTGGCCCCCACAACGACGTGGATACTACCGGTGAGGGGGGAGGGTATCTGCTGCCTGTGAGCATGGAGAAGCACGTCATTCGACGCATCAACGGGTCGGAGGAGATCGTGCCGATCTCGGTTGCAGCAGCCACGTCCCCACGCCCGAAGAGCGCCATCACCTCGCGGCCGATCGTGTCCGGATTCGGCAGCTCCTCGAGCTTGCGCAGCAGCAGCGCGACGTCAAGCAGGAACCTGGCAGCCGAGCGAGACGCGTCGGCCATCGACCCGCAAGGACACGTGCGCAAGTTTGATCGGCAGATGCGGCTGCTGCGGCGCAACGACCGACGCGACATCAGCAGCCTACCGCCGGTGTAGGTAACACAATACTAGGCGTAGGAATAGGATATCGAGCACGATACGGAGAGCAGATGCCTGCGTGTAGTGATCCGTGATCCGCAGCCGCTAGCCGCGCGCAACCATCGCCATCAAACACGTCCAGATGCCGCCGATCTGATGGCAAGGGCGGAAGGTCACATTGATGGATCATAATAATGGCTACACGTTGTTCTTTTAACCTACTGAGCTGGTAGGCTTAACCTCAACTTTCCCAAGTCAGTAGGTACACATGTTCAGGCGTTTTTTACATCGCGGTCTTGTTAGACGGAGCAAGTACACAGAGTAGCGCCAGCACCGTGGCCAGCCACAGCGACAGCTCCCTACGTAGTACTGGAACACGTCACCGCATTGCGGAGTCCGCAGTCGATTTGCTTTTTATTCCTATATTGCGGCTTTGATGCAGTAGCCTGCGTTTGCATCACTTGCTGCGCCGCCGACTTGGCCCCAAGCAGACCCTACGGACGCCACACGAGCGCAGGCACAACAATTACCGTAAGGCCTCGGACTATAACTGAAGCAAGGGCGACAAAGACACCAAAAGAAAAGAAGTTAAAGCTTTGGATACGATTTTGGCTTCGGGGCTGTGAGTACGATTCCTGCCCTGAGTGATAATCTTTTGGCCGCGGCACTACCCAGACCCGTACATCGTGTCGTTGCGCTATCGGTGGTGACTACGATGAAGCCCGATAGCTATGGCTACCCTCGCTTCGCCACCACAAGAAGCGAGGCTTGGAGTCGTCGTCGGGACACCAATGACCTAATGCACTTCCGCCGTGTGGCGGACAGCAAGTGTGCCAGCTACGGTATCCTCACTGGCCGTTCCGGGCTTTACTAAGCCCAGCAAATTGTATTTCCCTATGCATGTACCTTTACCTTGTACATGCACCTTGTTTTGGTAGTGCGAGGAATTACCTCCAATTTCTTTAGTGATCCGAATACTGTTTTGCGTTATTCCAATCCGTTCTGAGCGCCTTCCCAGCTTCGTGCTCGAAAAATCGTCGCCCTGCGATTCGCGGACACGGCGACTCAGGTCGGAAATCTTGCGCTTTGTATCGCCCGCCCCATTCCGCCAGACAGACAGATACAGCAGACCCCTTCACCAGCTGCAGGCGGCAGGGTAGCCCAGCCATGGCCAGCGCCTTCCAGTCTCCCGGCGCGTGGACGCCGCGCAAGAGTTCCGGCGCTCCGTCGGCCGTCGTCTCCAGCCGCACCATCCCCACGATGCAGCGCTCGCGCAGCGCCGGCCAGGAGAACGCCGCGCTCGTGGCCAACGCCACCGCCACTGCAGCGGACGCCGACAGCCGCGCGGCCGCGCGCCGCCTGCGCCGCCAGTACGCGCAGCAGCCCATCGCGCAGCTGGAGCACCACTACCACCGCCAGCACCAGCGACCGCAGCTCGTCCATCACCAACAGCAGCAAGTGCAGCACAACTCACGCGGCCACTTCGACGGCCCGCCGCGGCTTGTGGCATCGCACTCGTCGCGCGCGTCCGCTGTGTCGCTGCGCTCGTCGACGTCACGGCTGCCGTCCAAGATGGAGCTGAGAAGGAGCGAGACGGGCGGCGCCAAGGCCGCGCTGAGCCGCAGCCACGGCGCGCTGGGCATCCCCGTGCTGCGCAGCAGCCGCACGACCAAAGTGAGCGCGAACTCGAGCGTCGACGGCTTCTCGCCCAGCTCCAGCGGCCACAGTGAGAGCGGAGGTGCGGGCGGACAGAGCACGCCGTACGAACAGTGGAGACGGCTGAGGAGGGCGCGCACTGCCAGCGGAAACAGTTGCGCCAGCACCAGCAGCACCAGCAGCTTCGCGTCGTACGTGGTGAACCCCAACACAGGCCGCCACGACTTTGGTCTAGGCAGCGACGACGAGGTCGACGATGAGGACGAAGATCTGGACAGCGTCATGGACGAGGTGGTGGAGGTCGAGGAGGTGGAGGACCGAAGGGAAGGACTCCCGTCGGTGCTGCAGCATATCATCGCGCCGTCGCTGCCTCCGCCGCCGTATCCCGTAGACCCGTATCATTTTTACTGCAAACCCAAGCGGATGAACACGGGCACTGGTACTGCCGCCGCTGAGGTGACGTCGACGCTCGCCGCGCTGTTCGCAGACTGCGGGATTGAAGCCATCTTCCACCCGCTGAAGTGCAAGTTCAAGTGCCTCAAGTACGTGCACTACAGCCACGTCGAGTTTGTTGTGCGGGTGTACGCACACCAGCGCACACTTCTTGTAGAGTTCCAGCGCCGCAGCGGCAGCGTGCTGCTCTGGGATGGACTGTATCGGATTCTCCATCAGAAGCTCACGGCTGTAATCGATGTAACGGCACTGCCGTGCTCGCAGAGCAGCAGCCAGAAGCGGGTGGCGAGGGAAAGCGCGTCGACTTCAGGTGGCCATGCTCAAGTGTCCAACCAGGTAACACACACGTCGACTTCGACGCAGTCGCACGCAGCAGACCACGAAGGCCTCGGAACTCAAATCTGGCGGACGTTGTCACTCAAGAAGCCGACGCCTAGCTCAGGCGTCGAAGCCATGAAGATCATGCTGACGTCTCGGTACCTGGACGCGATGCGGGAAGGCTGCGCTGGACTTGCAGAGCTCACGGAGGACGTACAGAACTCTTGTCTGGTTGCTCACGCTGACCTCGTGACACCTTTGGTTCAAGCAGCTGAAGCTACGGACTTGAGCATGTCGCGCTGCGCGGTCGGAGCGCTAGCTAACATCGCGCGCGCTGTCCCCCGGTTCCCAGAGAGCGAGTTAGCGCTGGCTCGGCGGACGGCGGAGCAACTTCGGATTCAAGCCACGCCGGTGGTTCTGGCGCAGCTGGAGCACGCGAGCGAGCGGTCTCTCTTCTCCATCGAGCTGCTTCGGGAATGTGCCCGAGCGCTCGGTGCATTTGCCAGACTGGTGTCGGAGGTCGATCCAAGGTCGACTGCTGCCTCCAGCGCAAATGATGAACGCTGCCTGCACGTTCTTCGGCTGCACGCCAAACATCGTGATGCCCAGCTAGCGTCCCACTGCCGCGCTGCTTTGGAGCAGTTGTGCCTGAACGTGTAGTATACAGAACTCGCTTTCGTAGTGTAGCATAGCAAGACAAGAATTACAATCGCCTTTTATTTTCGTTTTGTTTGTTGCTGCCAGATCTTACACAGTTTATCAAGTCAAGCGGAAGTGAACCAATTTTCTCTTTGTGCTGGCAACCGGTTGAAGGTGGAGCAGAGAAATATTTCAAGTTGGTCGATGGAGCCACCCGCCCTCGATCCGAGGATGACGTGGGGTGTTTGAAGCTTCGAGCTGGTGCTGATGTCGGGGAATTTCTGACCAGGCTTCTCGCGTCGAAAATCAAGGTGTTCCCCGACATGGAGGCGCAGGAGGCACTGACAGTCGACTCGGGCTTGGATGGCTACGGAGTGGGTGAAGAGAACCCGATCGTCGTGGAAATGCTGAGGGTCTGGTTCCGCTTGGTGCGCTGTAGATTTGTTGCCTCTCACTGGCGATAACACTGTGGAAAAGACCTACAGAGGGCGGCTTTGGAGAGTACCCAAGCTATTCTCCCACCAGGAGTCGCGGCTCAGCACCTCCGAGTGTTCACAAAGCTGAATATCGACTCGGAGCTGGGAGGGGTGAGGGACGTTCTTAAGAGGTAAACTGAAGCCGTGTCGCTGTTTGTCTTTCATGCCGCCGATCTCGAGTCACGCAACTTCTGTCTAACCTATGACCACATCATCAATCGTTGACCAGGGCTTCGGCTATTGTGCCGCCACGAAAACCAACAAAGCAATGGGCCTACCTACCCATCCGCCTGGCCCCCAAACTACGTGTCTTCGGGCATAACTTGTCGATATCCACGACACTGAAATGCAGCTGGACTCCAGCTGCTGGAGCTTTCGGATGACCGGTGCTGACTTTGCAGGTTGTGAGAATGTATATTGTATTGGACAGTTGTGAAGCACTTCTGGAGTCTTGCGCAAATAACTTGAGGACCCAATGGATGCAGTAGCGTGGTCGCTAAAGCCGGGAGGGCAGCTTGGTATGCTCTTTGAAACACAGAGCTTAGCTAAAGAAACTTCTGAAGGTACTTCTTCCGTAGCTTCGATAACTCAAGCGGGGCTCCGCTTGGGTTGTAAATGTTGAATAATTAACAGTCACGAGATTGGAATGACTATGAATAAGTACAAGACTTCGGAGACTGCACTTCTCCAATCGCGATTCTTGTTATTCGTGTGTTTACTACTAAAGTGAACGAACTCTAGACATGTTATATCGGGCAACCATCACTACATCCCCTGGAACCCCCTAAGTCACCCCCTAATGGAACTCCCGATTAACCTCTGCAACCGCATCCCCTCAAACCGCCGCCTCACCACGACCTCAGGAAGGGAAACCGATCAACTAGGAATAGTTTAGGGTAACTCACTTAGACGTCAGAGTGCCAGCTTCCAGCAGGCTCCGAAATAAGTGCCTAAATATACGCCACCAGGTCAAGTACCTGGGGCCTTCTCTCTCTATATCGGGCAACCAGGCAACCTTCTGCCTTTTGCAACAACAGTAATTATTCCCTCGAACATCTGGAGTCTAACACTTTGGTCGCCACGATCGAACTTATAATGCGCCAGATTTCTCATGAAGGAATGGAATGCGTGGGTAAAGACTTCATCCTAGGTAAATTTTCAAGACAAAGTGTGGATGAAGATGAACTTGTTCGTTCAAGATGCAGATTCAGTTCGAGGAATTGAGCTGTGCAATTTGTTTGAAGGATTGCTGGCAGGGTTTGTGCTCTGCTGGTCAGAACGATTCCATTTCTCGCACCTCCCAATGCAGAGTGACCGCAAGGCATTCTCGCCACGAACCAACACGGGCGCAAGTTCGGTCATTTGGTTCGTGTTTGCGGCAAGAAACGTAGCGACGTATACGTGCAAGATGTAGAGAACGATAACGAGAAGACTACTTCTCTGTCCCACGAAAGTATGATGATTTAGAAATTGTGCTCTATCTTCGTTTCTACTCAAGATTTTTGGCCATGTAAGGCCTTAAGAGGCAGCTGATTTTTGCTGCCCACTATCTGTGAGAACTGAAGGAGGCACAACGCTTTTTCTGCTAGCAATTTTAGTCCTCCGTAGGTTTTTTTTTCGTAATTCTATCAAAAATTAGCGATAATTCATCGAAATTTAAGGATGAGTTGCTATTATAAGCGAGATATCTCGCTTCAAAATCAAAGAGCTCGCGACAAACTGATGATGGTAGTCGAGACAGCGTCTATCGGTGAATGTCTTGAGCATTGATTACTGCCGTGCCTCTATCTGCAGGGGTTCCTTCTTTGTATTTTTGATAAATAGCACGACCGATTGGACCCATGGTGGTACAATGATAACCTACTCCAAGTAGCTTTTACTTCAACGTAATGAAGTTAAACGTGCTTCTTCGCAGCTAATCGAACTTGCTTTCGGAGCCCACCTCCGCGGAGCCAACTACTGAGCCTCCACTATGACACCTCAACCAAAAGGTGGATTGCGGTGGCATCACTTCAGGGAAGCCAAAAACAGGATTGACTATACAGCTCAATCTTGTCTTGTTGTCTTCGATCATCATCGCCTGGACCCTCGGGGGATCGTTAAGAGCGAAGATCCGCGCTGAAATAGTGAATCCAATCGTTGTTTGGGCCACCTTTTGCCAGGTACAGGGTGTAGCTGGACGCAGGAGTTAGGCGTCCGAGCTCATCGATCAGTGCAGCAATGGATTTACTTGCCTCAAAGTAGCCATGCCAAGACTTTGCCTTGCTCACGAAGACAAAGTTTATCGAACTAGACCAAGAAAGATGAAATGGATTTCTCGGAGCTCGAAAATGGACTCCCTACATCAACCACGTTTAATGGAAGGAAGACTTTACTCCCATATCAGTTTCGTAAACGCTCTCCAACGACCGTCCGAATATGGGACCATAGTGTCGCTGTAAAGATGACTGGCCTACCATTGCCTGGGCGTCGGTGTGCGTCTGACGTCGCTTTCGTGCAATCCAGAAGCGAGTTGCAACTCGTCAGCGGGCGGGTATCAATCCCATAAACCCCCACAAGTTGTTGCAGTAACTTTGAAGACGACAAAGTTGCATCCGAGTCGAGCCAAATCCCCACGTCCGCCCCAAGCATCGCGAGCAGATCCGTCGCGCTGTCACCGACGTAAACCACCATCGACTGGGTCTTTCCAAGTCTCGATCGGAGCTCAGCGACGCGCCGTTCCTTGTCCACAGGAGACTGCACCTCCAGGTCAATCTCACCAGTAGACACTCCATCTTCATCCATCTTCAGTTCTACATCACAGCAAGATCGTCAACCAAAACTCACTTTAAACGCATGGAACATTGGATCTCCTCACCATTCGCGATGATCTGTGACGAGGAGGTCGCAATCTCTGCTTGTTGTAGTACAGAGACCACCAGCTCCGTGCTCCAATTGGCGGAAAGCACCTCCCACTGCTCCACAGCCGCCAGCGTCTCGGCACAATTCGCTCGGAGCTGGACGGTGCTGGCCGCCGCGACAATGTCCGACCGTCGAATGCCTTGAAGTGCCCGACACTCAACCACCCGCTGCGTCGAACGCAGGTCCACAGCTGCGTAACCCTCCAGGAAATCGCGCAGCCCGGCACGGTCAAACTTACTCACGCGTCCTTGTTGTCCCCATGAGCTGTCGTAGCTCTTGAGCAGCTCTTCCAGCTCGGTTACGTACTGCGCAACCAGTTGCTGCTCAGTTGACTTGGAGCAAGACGCCAACTGGAAGAGCAGCGACGTTGTGTCGCGTTGAGTAATGGTATCATCGAAGTCGGTGCACAGCAGTACGGGTGGCATCCTGGCGGTCGTGACAAGACTCTTAATCTGCTGATGCCGTCTTTACAGTAGCTCGACAGGTAGCGAGATGGCAGGAAAGGCGGTCGACTGGAGAGTGCAAAAGCGGAAGTGAGGAAGGATATTTATCGCTACTGTACTGACCTTGGGGGGGGGGGGGGGAGGGAGGAGGGGGGGTACCCCGCGGTGATTTTTTAGTTTGTTGGCGCTTCGCTCGCTATGCTCGCTCCGCTATTGGAGCAGACTGCCTACGCTTCGCTACGGCAGTGGCGGACCCGTTCCGCTCGCCTCGTCGGCTCGCTGCACTACTTTCAATGTTAGGTTAGTACTACAGAGGCCGGGGCGGGACCTGCGGCCCCGCAATATCGTATGAGGGGTCGCCTTCGGCGACGGAGCCGCCTTCGCTGCGCTCGGCAGCTAATCGGAATTAGTAGGAATCGTACTTAGTGAATAAGCGTGACGATTTTGTGACGGACGGACAGCGCGTCTTTCTGACTGATTCTTAGGATTCAACTTTCGACCAATCAGAGGCAATCAGAGCTGCGACCAAGATTTGGCGGTCTACGTAATATGTTTTTCTACCATATTGCACCGAGCGTTCTACCATACCCAAAAACCTCCGACCCTCCGACTTTCTCCGACTCGTACACAAAACATGCGGATAGGAGGGGGGTCACCTTTAACTATCACCCAGCTACGCGCTACGCGCGAACCTAAAACCCCTAAAGGCTCGCTGCGCTCGCTGGGCCAGAACCCTAAGCCCGCTGCGGCTCGCACGCGTCGCCTCCGCTTGCTAGGTAGAGCACTGCTGGGTCCTGGGTTTGCAGCCGCGTGCTACGCACACGGACTGTCAAACCGCAGGCGGGGGCTCGCTACGCTCGCTCCGTGCCATCCATCCCAAGGCTCCGACCAATGAGCAAACGGGACGACTAATCTATCTTGGACTGTGTATGCATAACACTTTGGGAAGGGTAGGGTAATACTGTTATGCTCCGACTGCGCTTGACTGGGGATTTGTATACCTATCATCTTAAGTGCGGTCGGAGATTTGATGATATTCTACCATATTACACAGCGATCAACCTACGATGTTGCAGCGTGAGTTGCTACCGGTCACACTGAATGTTGTCTATCAGGTTGCATTGTGATCTCCCTACCATGTTGCACTGCGAGTTACCTATCATACAGTATTGCAACATGAGTGCTCTACCATGTTGTACACTGCAAGTTGGCTACCGGGGTGCTCTACCTACCATATTACAGTTCTTGCTACCTTTTACATTTCATACCAGCGTTTGGCCCGTGAACTCGAACCCCACTTATCACTAACCCTGACGACCGAGTCTACAGTCTTGGTCAACGAGAAGTGCCCCACTTGATACATATGCGCGTTTCAGCCTGAACGGGTATCCGCAGGTCCTCAACGCCCCCTCCTTGCTTATGACCGCACCATGTTGCTGTACTCCAGCGTTTCTGCTAGTAAGACAAGTCCTGCGTCGTCCACTGTTAGGATCACAGCACCGCCGAGGAGCTGTGGCGGGTTGCCCGGTCGCGACTTGACCACCACGCTCTACTCGGGAGTCGAGTCGAGTAGAACTTGGGGTGCACCGCACTGCACGACAGACAGCTCGCCCCCTGCGTCCCGATGTGCGCCCATATTACAAGTATCATAGTGCAACACGGAGTGGAGGAGTTGCGACAGTTGAGTTTTCTGTGTGGAAAGCAATGCAACTAGATGGCTCTAGTACAACATGGTAGGCACTTGCAGTGTAATATGGTAGGCTGCTCGCAATACAATGTCGTAGGCAGCTTGCAGTGCAATATGATAGAATGCTTTCATTTCAAGAGGTAGAGCGCTTGTGATGCAACACAACATGGTAACAGTTCACATGGTAGTCTACGCATTGCAACATGCTAGATAAGTGTAATATGGTAGGCTCCTCGTAGCGCAACATGGCAGAGTGTACACGCAGAATACTATGGTAGTTACCATGGTACACTGCCTACGGTAATTAGTCTGACCTATACTATTTTTGATTGAATGGTTCATTGCTCTTAGACAATAAATAGTCTGACCTAGACTATAGTTTTGCTAAGACTTCTCGTTCCACTTCGTTTTCCAGGCGTCCTTAGTCATTGATAAGAGCCTTGCACCCTTACCCGCACGACACAGGGGAGACTAATTTTGAAGTTGAAGTGGTCAGACTAATTATGAATTCTAAAATTTGACCAGTACAATAAATAGTCTGACCAATACTATTTTCGAACATAGACTATTTCCGCACACAGACTAATTACCGTAGGCACTCGTGGTAATATGGTAGTTTTGGTAGCATCTCAAATGGGTCGTATTATACGACTCGTATACAGAACGGACCTGGTATTTTATATGAGTTTTTGTATGTCTTAGGTCAGATGAAAACACATGTTCTAGCGGAAGCGAGCGGTTGCGAGGTCGCGTAGCCGCAGCAAACCCGCGCGGGGTGCCCGCGAAGCAGGGCCGCGCGGTATTTGCGGAGGCGGGCCCAGCGCCGAGCATTCCAGCGATTGGGCACGTTGCTGCAACTCGGAGTTAGTTTTCTTTATGCGGAGGCTGGGGGTGCAACCCCCAGAATGCCTAGAATGCATGAAACCCGACCACAGATCAGGTCCGTTCTGTATCTGACCACAACGATAGGTTACCGTAGTTTTCGCGTTGCAACATGATATGGAGCTACTATTGCAACATTGTAAACACCACTCAACGTAATATGGTACTCTTTGCCTTACAACATGGTAGACAACCCACGGTGCGACTTGGTAGGTGGCTCGCAGTGTAATATGGTAGAACACTCACATTGCCGGCCATTTGCAACCCAGGTTGTATTTCTAAAATCGCCGCCTCTGATTGGCCAGCTGCATGGTATCGAACACAATCAATTAGATAAGTTTTTCGAACTCTTCAAAGATCAGTATGATAATTTTTGATCAATTGCTTCAATATAGACATGGATTACAAAATAATCGACGAATACGACACTAATGACGGGTTCTTCGTAAAAGTATTTGGTTAGGGAGAAGCCTTTTGGTGCCGTTTTATATTATATGATCCAGACGAAATTGCATTTATCTTACGGGTCGATCAATTGCTCTGCCGTCAGCATCCATTCACATACGGACAGCTGATTATGGTAGATATAGGCTGCTGCGAAATCGAGGTGTAATACAAACTTACTTTGTTCTAATATACACAAAGCAATGGATGTTGAATACATTGAAACGCACGAGTCAAAGCCAATTCGTATTGATGAAGACTATTACTCTTTACCAACTCCCAAACCCAAGCCAGAAGTCATAGTTCAGTCAAGACTTACTCTGGAAGACCTTAATCACATCACCAAGAATACTTCTCCAGCTAAGGTTTATATAGTGGAAATCCCATCTCTTGCGGAGATACAAGCAAAGTATCAGTAAGATCACATTTTTTATGATGCCGATTTCGACGAGATAAATAAATTACTCACACTTGACTTCTAGAACGTATAATATAAAAGCACATTCTAAGATGGCGTTTATAAATTTTAAGTATGATCCTTCATTGCCGATCATGAAAGATCTTATTGATGAATTGAAAAAGTTAGAAAGAGTAATTGAAACACGTGATCGTATTATTGGTTCATTTATCAATACTGATCAATCCACTGATAATATAACACATCTTCAAGAAGTTGTAGATTCGGCTGATAAGCTTGTGTTATGTCAAACAAAAAAAATCATCGAATATCTCGGTGAGGTTGGGTTAATTGGATTAGATATTAATCAACCATAGAAGCTAAAAAAAGAGCTACTTGAATTGGTAGCAATCTCGCGTGTTCAAGTTCGAGACCTCGGCGGGCTTGATCTCCGATGGCGCTGGCGTATCAACAACTTCGGTATTAGCTGGAGTACTTACTCGTGGTGACATTTCTTCTACTATACTGATCTCAAGATTATTTTGTTCAACTGCAATAATCTGATGTTTCCCGCATCGATCTTTGTTGCGAGCAAGCTTGCACTGTTCTCCGTTACTCTTGATAAAGTTACACATTTTTTATATTACTAAGGTTATGTTTTTTATATTCAATATATTCTTCGCTTAAGATCATAATTTTTTTATGATGTCGTCGGGGTACAATGTCCCCGCGAGTCACTTTAGCGGATGAACATCTTATGATGTCGAAGTACTACAATCTATGAACCCGTCACATTATCGTGTGTCCAGGTGTGTATTTTTTGTATCCTTGGCTGAAAACAGGGGGTGTTGCATCGTCTGGTTGCGCTGAGATGTCGAGCATTAAGTTGCTGTCCAGGTGAGTGGCCACGTGTGTCCAGCTTTGGTAGCCAGCTTTCTTTTGATCAGAAGCGACTATATGAGTTCTAGATCAATGTATGTTATTAGTGTCCAGGTGTCCAGCTTTTTTCTGTATTCTTATAGAAAATACTATAAAGAAAGGGGGGTAGGAGGGGGGTAGTAAAAAATAGTGTAAAAGTACAAATGGAATTTTTTTGGAGCTGGACATGGACCGTCCTTTATATGAATTCATAACATCTGATGTGTTCCATAACTGATATCGTCGCTTCTGATAACGAGAATCGAGGTGGCCACCATGAACCTCCGCTTTTTTTTCTCATTCAGGATCACAATGTGTTCTTGTCTTTCTTTTAAATGGTGCAATCACAGATTATTATTTCTGACTCGGTAGTTGCTGCGCAAGAGATTGCTGGACGTCTGATCAACGCCTTGCCCAGACCAATGGAGAGTACAAATCCACCAACAGAGTTGCAGGAAACCCTACCGGGAGCGCCATCCCTGGTGGAATACCAAGGATTCGACGTCCGTCCAACTGGATCACGGTTCTTGGAGCGACGATTGGGAGTGGAGCCAGCTGCACGAGTGGATTGACGCGAGCATCATACAACTTGTATTCCGCATTCGTAAAGTCGGGCTCGAATTTCACACATAGCACGTACTCAACTGGCATCACAGCCCATATCGCTATCGCCTTGTGGTCGAGCTCTCCTGGTGCCATGCCCCACTGCTGAGAAACTCCAATTTCAACCTTGATCGTCCGAAAGTCTGCAAAAATTGGAATGTTTGGCGGAAGCACGGAGTGCGGTGTGTCTTCGCGTGGTCCATAACTGAGATCTGGACACCAATGTGGCCCTTGAGAATTCTTGGCGGCCAAGTGGCCTTTGAGCCATCGATAAACGTGTAGCTCGCCAAATGAAGTAACTTTTTCAAACGCGGAAATGTAATCTTCGTGTGGAGCGTCGGCAAACTCGATGATGTGAATCTCTTCCGTGTCAGCAAACCATTCAAGATAATTGAGTCGAACGATTTGATCCTCGCTGTCAGCAAACGCGTTCCACTCATCTTCCGTTGCGTGGCACACACGCACTGTCCCGGTCGGCGGTGGAGGCTGTGCCAGTGCAGCTTCCAGAGCAGCGTTGATGCGATCGATGCTGGAGAGCAGAGGAGTCATTGACGCCGGTGTGACTGCGTCTGTCGCAGCGACAGCTTCATTGGGCGCGCGGCGGTTGTTCCGCGTAGCTACTGCAGGTGACGAGTATGAGTCCCCGTCCCCAAAGAAAGCAACGCTCATGTTTCTTTTGTCGTCTTGTCCCAGAATGAGCATCGAGAATGTTCGTCTTGTCCGCTCGTCGTCCGCTCAACATCCGCCCAACCATCCCATATATGAGCAACAAGAGTACCCCTAGACACCCTCAGAGACAGCGATGATGTACTATATAGTACGTTTTGGATACACAAATCCCTAAGGTACGCGTTGGGTACACAAATCTGAAAACTATCCATAACGCGTACATGTAACCGGATACGCCACTCTGCAATTCCCCAGAAAAGACAGGAGGTGGCAGCGATGGCGTCGAAGACCGAGACGCTGGGGCAGACTAAGCAGCGCCACAAGCTGGAACTGCGCGTACGTCCAACCTAGACTCTTTTGCAACTCTAACCGTGCAATTTTCACTCCAATCCGAGCTCTACTCGCTCCAGTAACCTGCACTGCTGACCGGCCCTTCTCGTCTGCTCCCTTCTCTCTTCTTCTCTTCTCTCACAGAATCTGCAGAACGACGTCAAGGCATTCCAGAAGAAGGCCAAGAAGGACCGACTGAGCAAGAAGGACATCGAGACGCAGGTCGCAGCAATGGAGAGCGCACTCAAAGAGCGTCACAAGCAGGAGCTCAAGGCTTTCGAGACGGAGACGGACGACCAGGACGCCGCCGACAGCTCCCCTGCCCCCGCTGAGGCTGAGGCCGAGACGGAGACCGCAGTGCCGTCCAAGCAGGCCAAGGCGCAGCGCAAGCGCGAGGCCAAGAAGCAGCAGGAGCGCGAGCGCCGCGAGCGCATCGAAGAAGCCAACAAGAACACGGTGAGCGAGCGCCAGATCGAGGCCGACGTGATCGCGGCCCAGCTGGCCAGACACGGACTCCAGATCAAGGACATCCCGTCCGACGGCCACTGTATGTACCACGCGGTGGCGGACCAGATGAAGCAGAAGAACCTGCCGATCGGAGACGTCGTGGCGGGCTTCCAGTACCTGCGGAAGCTCACGAGCGACTACATGCTCGCACACGAGGACGACTTCCTGCCCTTCATGGCGCTAGACGAGGCGGCTGCCAGTCCGGAAGAGGCGTTTGCGACCTACTGTGACAGAGTGGCGAATACGGCGGACTGGGGCGGACAACTTGAGCTTCGAGCGCTCGCCTGCGCGCTGCGGACCCCCATCGAGGTTTTCTCGGCGGAAGGCGACGTGCTCGTGATGGGAGGAGAGTTCTTGAATGAGGACGATGGAAATGCGACCAAGCTGCAGCTGACGTACCACCTGCACTACTACACGCTCGGCGAGCACTTCAACTCGGTCACGCCCATGTAGACAGCTAGCTAGAAACATAGCGCTGCGATGAGTAGATAAACCGAGCTAGCGTTTAAAAAGACAGCCGTACTAGACGAAACCTCACAGGTTTACAATGCAATACTGAAGTACCATACTTTTATGCTCAACGTCATAAAAAATCGTAAATCCATGGTTCGGTACCTCATGCATGCATGACCCGAAGAAGTTTTCACGCCTCTGTTATCATCCCTGTCTCGGTTACGACCACCAACTTCTCCCTTTCCTCCAGTTTCGGCTGAAAAACCCAGGTGACGATCACAGTTCCAGGTCGCTCGCCACGCGTCAACTTGACACAGCCAACGTTCTTGGGCGCCCAGTCCGTACGGCAAATGTTAAGGTGAGAGCAAAACACGATGATCACATTCCAGTCTTCTACCCACTCGGTTTCCACTCCAGTTAGGATACCCCTCACTTCACCAATATCCACGTCCTGCTCCAGGTACGCGCACTCGCAAATAAACACGGCCTTCTCGTTGTCCAAACCTTGAACGTACATATCGCACCTTTCTTCATCGACAACGCAAACCAAATGACCAAAGTTGCAACCATCAGCATTAGTGTCGAGAATGGGTTGTGGCCACTGCGTGTTGGGAGGAGCGAGGAATGGAATCGTTCTCTCGGGCAAGGTGCCGGCATCGTACCCGTCTAACAACTCACTTGCCTGAATATGTTGCTTCTTTGCACCGGCTTCTGTTTCAGCCAAAAGCAAGACCTCATTCACCCAGATTTTATCCTCAAATTCACCAAGGAAACAAGGCAGAAAGTCGCGGAAAGGAATATCTCGAACTCCATTCCTCCGCGAAGAGCTGGAAATTGCCATATTCTCGATCGTCGTGTAATCGAGTATCAGGGAGGGTACACTCCCAACTCTTCAAGATAGTCGAGCGAAAAGACGTGCCTGGTTGAGTACTTCATATTCGCGATTTTGTCATAATAGATCGGGTATGTTTTGCCACCTACAATCGAGAGATACAGCAACATGTAATCGTCGATTGAAGAAAAACCGCATTTTGGCCTCCAGCCAATAAGGCATCCTGGTCGAAATTGGCTTGGTATCATCAGATCTCCGCTTACTGCCGACACATCTGTAATTTCCTCGTCAACCATGTTTGCGAAATGATGGTGCATACCTAAAGCCTCCACTTGGACACGACGTTTCTTCTGCGCTGGCTCAGCTACGCCCATTGTATCCGTGGATACCATTGCCACTGACCCGTCCCCATCGTCCATTTCGTACGTGTAAGAAATTGCAGTAGTGGTCAATTTTATCCAAAATTTGGCTACAGAAGTCCTTGCAATTGTCACGGATCAGCCGGCCCTGTTCGTGATAGCGCCGAAGCTCCTCCAGATCGCTTTCATCTCCGATTTCGACAATGTTCCTGAATTCTCTCGCTGGCGGTGCGCCGTATACCTCGCGCTGCGGCACCATCACGATAAGGGGCGTCTCTCTTGTTCGGCCACGTGAGGCAAGCTTTAACGTGACACTCAAGCAGTGTTTGCGTCTGCGGATGCTTGGTTCTCGTACGCCACGAGCTGAGATGGTACAAACCCTGCTAACACATCTCGATTCGCGTCATAGACGACATTAAGTAGATCTTCGACAGTGTCTCCTTCCGGGAGCGGGGCTGGACGTGGTAGGGTACCCGCGAATGCAGCGCGTGTGCTGGCATCTTCCAATTGATACCATACTTCCGGCACTCGCACAATGAGTGGGTCCTCGTAACTCTCTCCATAGTCATCAAAAGTTGGCTTGCGATCAATCGGCGTCTGAGCTCCACTGTTCACGAACACTTGAACGGCGGAAGCGCGAAGTATTGGCGAGAGCTGCAACTCGACGCGTTTAGAGAGCAGCACCTCGCGGAAATCGCACCATTGCCAAGTCTCAAAGATTCGACATTGCCCTCGGTGGCTGGACTAGACGCTCCACGGACCAACCGGAAGTACAGGTTTTCACACGTTGGCAATGGAGCTTCCTCCGCTCCATTGCCAACGTGTGAAAACCTGTGGCGCTGGTCATAATCCATCTTCCCAGGGGAATACATGCCAAAGTTGAAGCAATAGTTTATGTAGAACGCTATGATGCGATTGGTCGAAAGATAAAAAATAGAAAGATGTCACTACGAACCTCAATTGAGTGACAAAAAGTTAAAAGCTCAACTCCTAGGATCCCATCACTGGTAGACGCGGCTACAAAACCAATATTATACCTACCAATATGGGCGGCAACGGATGCACTTGTGGCCTGCTGCCATGCATCTGCGTGGGCGACGTCGAGGGCGCTGTGGACTTTTCGGCGGAGGTTCAGAGTGCGCACATCTCCAGCGTCGATGGCGCAGCGACGGCGAAGCTACGTCAGCTCTTCGCAGTGGATGCCACGTCACAGTGCATGAGCTGCATGATGCTGCCCTGCATCTGCCCCGGCGACGACGATCTCATGGTGGTCGGAGACGATGAGACGACGAGCGTGGAGGCCGCGAGCCCGCTGGCGTCGGACCTCGACCAAGCCGCAGTCGACGAGGAGATGGACGAGTATGGCCGCGTGCGACTACCGGTTGGCTCCGCTCCCATCGACAGCCAAGAGCAGAGAGACAACGCTATGTGGATCGCGCGAGAGATCAAGCCCTTGCTGAAGCCGCACCAAGTCGAAGGCGTCCAGTTCCTGCACTCGCATGTGACCGCAGGTCGAGGCTGTATCCTGGCAGACTACATGGGACTCGGCAAGACCCTGCAAGTCATCACAGTTATCTATTCCTTCCTAGTGGACGAGCTCGAGGCGAGAAAGCGGCGTAGCAAAAAGAGGGACTCTCAGAAACCTCGTACGAACAAGAAGGAGCCGCAAGCAGCGGTAGATCAACAAGAGAAGGCTCGCGAGGAGGTGGAGGAGCCACCGGCAACGGTGCTGGTGCTCTGTCCAGCCATTTGCTTGCCGAATTGGGACTCGGAGTTTAAAAAGTGGCTGGGTGCCGAAGCGCGCGAGCGCTGCCCCGTGTTGACGCTGGATTCTTCCACTACAAAAGGCACCACTGCGGGCCGACTGCGGCTTTTACAGCGATGGAAGCGCACCGGTGGCGTGCTGCTCATGGGCTATGAAATGTTCCGTGGGCTGTTAAACCCAACGACTGTGCCAGTGAGCGGTGCGTCCGAAGGGGCCTCCTCTCTTCGGGTATGCTCACGCATGGCTTCTGCAACTATGGAGATTACCAGTGCCTCTGCCCAAGAGACGGCCAAAGTGCAGCGCACTGCACGAGAGTTTCGACGCCTGTTGTGCGCTCCTGGCGCTGATCTCGTAGTTATGGATGAAGGCCATCGAATGAAGGACCCAAGCTCGTTGCTGTGCCAAAGTGTGGCTCAGATCCAGTCCCCCCGCCGCTTGGTGCTTACCGGTTACCCAGTGCAGAACTCGCTATCCGAATACTGGTGCATGGTTAATTTTGCGCGCGAAGGCTTCCTTGGTAGCTACGAGGAGTTCCGTGCGAAATATGAGCGCCCGATTGTGGAGGGAAATGCTGCGCGGTCTCAGGAGCTGATCGAGCAGCTGCAGAGTGTTGTGCTTCGTCGCGGAAAGGCGCTGCTGCGATCTCAGCTGCCACCGAAGATGGAGTGGATCTTGTATTGCAAGCTATCGCCAGTGCAATATCAATTGTACTGCGACTTCCTCGATTCTTACGGCGACAGTGGTGCCGCCACTGCTGACCTTCTGACGGCATACGCTGCGCTGCTACAGGTAATGAACCACCCGGATATTATTTATTCCAAACTGTGTCCTTCGTTGGACGATGGCTCTGCGTTGCTGCTGGAAGATGACGAGGAGCCCAATGACGATCTGCTGCCGTTAGACGATTCGAGTGGCTGGGCATGGGAGAGTGAAGAGCGCTTGCAGGAGAAACGACAGATTGCTGCGGCTCAAAGGCGTCGAAAGCGCCAAAAGCTCTCGGACACACAGAAATCCTACGAGTGGGCACGCTCGGCAATGCTTCAAGGCAGCGCAAAAGCAAACAGGAGAAACACGACGCCTGAAGGAGTCTTGGAACCATCAACGCGAGCTTTGCCGAGCCCGTATCACTTGGAAGTGCTGGAAAACAGTGGGAAGATGGCTGTGCTCATGCGCATCGTGGAGGAAAGCTTTGCGTGCGGCGATAAGGTGGTCGTGTTCTCTCAGAGCGTTCCTACGCTCAAAGTGATTTCCGACTTCCTGCGCGCGAGCGCCTTCAGCCCATCGCTCGCCGCGGACAACGCAGCCAAGTCTCGGAAGCAAGAAGGTGCGGCTAACAAAATCAAGCGCCGCAGAATCGCTGTGCGCCCGAATCGTGACCCCGCTGGGATTTTGCGCAAACGACGGAACCAAGCTGGCGCCAACGCCGCCGCCGCTCGGAAATTCACTGCCACAGCTCCAAGTGTGGCAACAAACGAGTGGTTCTTACAAATTGACGGCAGTACCAACGGCGCTAAGCGCATGGAGTACATCCAGGTACCGCGCTGCTTGACAGCCCTCCGATACCCTGTTTTCTTACTAACACGCTTCACTTTTTGTGCCTGATTTACATACAGCGCTTTAGCTCGGCTGAGTCGCCGGTCAAGCTGCTTTTGGTGTCTACGCGCGCTGGTGCAGAGGGTATTAATCTTCACGCGGCAAATCGACTCGTGCTGTTCGACGTGAGCTGGAACCCTTCTAACGACCACCAGGTGCGTGACAGACAGCGCCGTCCGTGGGGGTATTTAGTCACTTACCGAAACTTATCTTTCCTGTGTAATGTACCAGTCCATGTGCCGTTCGCACCGCATCGGCCAGGCCAAGACTGTGCACGTGTACAGACTAGTGAGCACGGGCACGATGGAGCGCATGATCTACGAGCAGCAGATCAAGAAGGTCGACCTGTCCATCTCCGTGGTGGACAGCCACGAGGTTGGCGACCAGACGGAGCGCGGCTCTAGCGTGGCTGTCTCGGACACGGGCTCACCGGCCAAGGAGCCGTTCAGCGGGTTCCTGCAGCCGCCCACCGAGGCCGCCTACGACAAGGAGCTGGCGGTCGAGGACTCCATGTTCGAAGGCGACAGCGTCTTGGCCTCGTGCGCCAAGCAGGTGGGTCGCTGGATCGCTGACGTCCATCGCGTGCACGAGCCCCTGGACGATGACAAGCAGTCGGCGTAGTTGAGCTAGCAAATGACAATCACTCCTCTTTCTCACACGTCGCAGATGGGTCTTTTATGCATCCCCTGGCTCCCGTACCGCCCATTACTCGAACTCGAATCGAACTCCAGTCAAATTGCAATCTGCCAGCAACAGGGAAGGAAGAAGGCGAAGTTAGTGAGTGTATCAGCGATGGCCCCGCCGCCCATCGGGTTAGATGTGACCGCGCACAAGGAGGAGCTGAACGTGACGGACGCCAAGAAGAAGACGAAGCTCCGCGTGCGCTACTACGTGGAGCTCGTCGTGGGCCCGCCGCGCGAGAGCCACACGCGCCTGGGCTTCTCCGGCTCCTTCCAAGCGCTCATGCGGCTGCACCGCGAGTTCGTGCGCCTGTACGTGGAGAAACACGGGGACCCCCATGGTGGGCTACTCACGGGGCGCGAGAGCTTCTTGTCGAACTCGTCGTCCACGTCGCGCTCGTCTGTGTCCTCCACGTCCAAGGGGTCTCCTAGCTCCCTCTCCAAGTTCGTGCGGCACACGTTCGGCCTCAAGAAGAAGAGCACAGAGGCGGAAACTCAAGCAACTGCTAGTAACCAGCACACGCACCACGGACACCACCACCAACCGTACCCGATGGCACAAGAACCTCCTGGAATTGCACCTTTCCCGGCCCAGAACAAGATGCTGGTTCATCTCGAGAGTGGGGAGGCTAAGGACGATGCCAAAATCGAGGCCCGCAACGCAGCGCTCTTCGAGTACTACTCGCATCTATTTAACTCGGACGATGGCGATATGTATCTGGAGCTCGTCCACCAGCGCGCGCAAGAGCGAGCGGACAAGAACAAACGTGGAATAGTGGAGAACCAGTCGGACGACGGAGCCGCACCGTCTTCCCACAGCAGTGGTGGACTTCTCAAGCTGTTGGGCCACCACCCGAAACATGAAGACGGCAAAAACAGCAAGCACGTGGAGTTCTTTGAGCCTGTGTATGTTCGTGCAAGGGGGAAGTCGCGCGGGCGTCGATCTACTCGTGGGGCTCCATAGGAAACCAGATAAAGGAGAACGAAGTCTCAATTTGTTTTTGTTTTGTTTGAAGCCTACTTCTTGAAGTAGGACTGTTAACTGGAAGTGTCATCTTCACCGTCCACGGAGGTCTGTGCGTCCGTGTCGAGGAAATCGGACGGATACAGATCATCTAAAGCCTGCGATAATTGGCTCCCGTTGTCCGGTACGGCTTCGCTTGGGCCACCTCCCACCTCTTCGGAGGCTACGTGTGTGACTGCATCAGCCATTTCAATAGCTAATTTAGTATCACTCTTCAGCATCGGATGCTGAGCATCGTCCAGCAAGTCTGCCGACAGCTCGCTGTCGAATTCGTCGTCAATATCGAAGCGTAAAACACTCTGGACGGCAGCAAGTGTTTGCTGCTGCATCACCTCAATTTCATCATCTGCAAGTTGATCTGTGGTCTGAGTATCAGTAGTGTCGATGCCGAAAGATTGTTGGCCACCGCCAGGATCTGGTTCGGGATTGCTACCGATGGGCTGGCAAGTTGGGTTTGAACTCTCCTGTTCGACTTGTTCCTGTATGTTTGCACCTTCGTCTGGTGTTGGGGCACAGACAGCATCATTTTCTTGCTGGGGCAACTCGACACTTCCGACTGTGACTTGTTCCGCTGAAGCTGGGGTGTCGTCACGGTTCATAGTGTCCGTCTCAACCGCCAAGTCTGAAGTAAGGGAACTTGAGGTTTCTGGCGCGGAAGGAGCTGTACTAGCAGTGATACCAATCTCGGAACCTTGGCGGTTTCTTCCTGACTTCTGCTGTGTTGCTTGAGGTACAACTTGCCGGGACGACGTGGCGGTGGGGCGGGTGGACGCAGCACTTGAAGGACGAGGAGGTTTTGGAGAAGCAAGTGTCACTCTACTTGGGGTTTTCGGGGCTGGAGCAGTCGGCAGAGCAGTCGTCGCTGGCGAAGCAAAACTTTCTGATCGAGGTGGCTTCAGTGATTTCAACTTTTCACGCCTGATGGAGGCTATCGTTTCTCTCCGCATCAATTTCTTCATCTCCTCGAGCGCTTGAGCGAGCATCACCTTTTGTGTTGGCGGCGAAGACGCATGTTTCCCAACACTTTCACTGAACTCGCGGTCGTACGTCCGTTTGCGCTGCTCCAGGTTGAGATTGCTTTGGAGCAGCTCGACCCGCGACTTTAGAAACCCGACTTCTTGCTCCAGCTTCCGCTTTTCGTGAGCAATGATTTCGTTGTCTTGCTGTAGTTTGGCGATCTGAAGCTTGTTATTGGCGTTTGCCTCCGCGAATGCTATTAGCTTTTGTTGATGGGCTTCCCACTCAAGCCGCTGCCGACCCAGGAGTTCTTGGTGGTGGCGCAACTCTTGATACAGCTGACTTCGCTCCTCCTCAAGCTCCATAAGATTCGTGCTCTTAATCCCGCTGCGAAGAGATTGCATCGCTTCCTCATACGAGCTCAGTAATTGGGACTGTTGAGCGATCTTCTGCTTCAGTCGCTGCGTTAGTGCGTGGAATTGCCGGTCCCGTTCTGCCATTTCTCGTTGAATGACGCTTTTGCTGGTACCCAGAGTTCTGTCGGCGCCGACGGCCTTGGCATGAAGCAGCGACTCGATTTTCTTGTCCTTCATCGCTATGATCTCTTCGAGGCGACGCGCATGAGCGACAGCCATCACTCGCTTTTGCTGTTCTTGAAGGCAGACAGCCTTGAGCTCAGTCTCCGCGTCGAGTAGCCGGTAGTATTCATCATGCAATTCTGCATCTTGAAGGCCCTTGCTCTTGTTGTTAAGAGCTGATGTCACGCTATAAGATGTCGACGCTTGCTTCACTGGACCAGATAATCTCCCAACGTCATTGTACACTGCCCGGATGCGAGCGTGAACTAGCCGCTCGCCTTGTCGCTTCCGTCTCACCCCCAGACCGCTTGCACGTGATTGAGAACCGTTCAGGGTGCGGTCATCAACGGAATTTCTAGGTGTAGTTCGCATTCGAGGACGAGCACTAACCGGTCGGGCAGGTCTCGTGGGCACTGGGTTGTCTGCATTGGTCATTGAAAATTGGGACGTGTCCGAAGGCAATGGCCGTACGACGCGCGCGCTGCAAGGACGAACTGCTGTCTTGCTGGAACAAGACAGAGGCAGCGTGTGAACAAATAACAGTAGATAAGGCGCGCGAGAAAAACCCATTTTACCTCTTTAAGCGCTCCAAGTACTCCTCATAGCCTTCTAGGTCAATCTACGGCAGGTTATGAACAACAATTAAGAAATACACCACAAGAGGCGAGCTTTGTATGTAGTAGATGAAGCGTGTTCGTACCCCGTCGTCTTCATCGCCATCGTCCAGGATCTCTGTACCTTCCTCAGGATCTTCCTCCCTTTGATCGAGGCGTGGAGAGCGCAGGTGCGCCTTACTACCAACTTGCTGTCGGTTCATCCCACGATGCAACTTTGAAACACAAGTGGCTCTAATGAGGTTCCCAATCCCGAAACGGAGCTGCAGCAGGAATAATGCAGGTGAAACGCCGTTCATTTTTGGCCCCAATGAATCAGCACACTTATCTACCTACGTGACCTACTTGACGCCGATGGAGAGCGAGTCACTGATACGGGTCGAGTCCGAGTGCCTCGTGCCGCTGAGGTCGCAATTGCACTTCTCACGTACTGCATCTCGACCTGGTACTTGGCATTCGACTGCGAGATCGGCTTCTTCCTCGTCGGCGAGGGAGCTGAGTATGGCCGATACGATGAGAATGCCGATCGACTCGCAGACTGACGACCAACTGGCAACGACAACTCGTGCTGCCGAATCATTTCAGCGCTGCGCAATTCAGAAGTGCTGGTAGGACGGGACCATCCACTGGCCGCTAGGGCGTGATATGGGAGCGCTCGAGAGGAGTTTGGACGCGACACAGACACAGGAATTGAGGTTGAGGAGATGGAGCCTGAATCTGGAGTCACGATGGGAGCAAGAACCGTTGCTTCTACGTGTACCGAGGGTGTTGGAGGTGGCACTTCCTCAGATGCGGGCGTGACAGGTACGTGGTTCTTGGACGGAGCAGCGGTAGGATTTTTGATCGGGGCGATAGCTTGGGTGGAGCTTGGTTGATGCTGTCGCGACGAAGGGATCAATCGCTCCTGCCCGCCTGACTTGTGGTTGACCTTGTGACTCGACCCAAACGCTGTTAGAGCTTCGATATTCATTGCCGACACGCCTCGCAAGAATATTAGACGGAGGTCTTCCTCCAACTTTTGCCGGCACTTGTGTGATTCAGCCACTTGGCATTTTGCGTCGGCAATTTCTTGCTGGAGCTGTGCAGTTAAATGGGCGAATGAAGATCAAATGTTGTTAGCCATTGCCAGCATTTCCTCTTGGTGTCATAAAGAGAGTATAGTACCTGGTTGATTTTGAGCTGATACTCCTTAGCCATCTCGACGATGCGATGCTCGTAGCGCTCTCGCTGCTCTTGAAGCTGGTTCTGAAGTCCAAACGCTTGGAGATTTTGTTTCCAATAACAAAAACTCGCAAGTAGCTGTCGTCTGCAGCATTGTCCAAGCACGCGCCGAAGAGCATTGCGTTTTGCTACCGCTTGTTGAGCTGTTGTGCTCCACCCGCGAAAGCATATTCCTAGAGACCGAGCTTCACTCCAGCGCATTTGCTACCAAGAAAATAAACCAAGTTAGTTGATGAAGTATATAGTAGAAGAGGGGTCCGAAACTTACATTGCGGTGCGATTGTTTGGCTGTGAGCTCCGAAAAACGATCTAACAGCAGTTCTTGTTGCTCTCGTTTCGCCTCTGCTTGAGCTACACGCAGTTTCAGCTCCTTCACCTTGTTCTACATACAAACACGATAGTAAGTACGTCTAAACTGTGCAAGCCGAGATGAAAGGGTTGATCGTGAAAATGTTTACTTTCAGGGTGGCTACGTCGGTCATGTGGGCTGCTGATAGCTTCGACCTCTCCAAAGCTTCGTCCTTCGTCTTTTTCGCCCTTAGCTCCATAAACGCACTCATGATGGAGCGCCGTGTCGCCTCTTGTGCCATCGCCAACTGAGCGTCAAGTACTGCAATGTCGGCATCGTCCAACTCGGGCTTGTTTCGAGGATTCTTCTCTCGCAGACGAAAGCGATTCGTAACCAGCGGAGATACTGCCATCGACGTGGAAGGTAACTCACCTCGAGCTTTGATCGCCTCCTTCTCGGACTGCTTTTGGTTGATATCATCGGGATAACTGGCCGGTATAGCACTGCGGATGGGGGCACTAAGCACAATACTCTCTCGACCTGGTGAAATTCCGCTACAGCTGCGGCTCGTTGGCGAGTCGTTGTGGTTAGAGCACGCATCAGCAGCGACTACAGCACTTTCAAGGGCTTCCTCGGGCTTCTCGTGTTCCTCACAGATCGCGGCTAGCTCCTTATCGCTCTCACCGTAGAGAGACCTCGGAAGTAGGGCAGGCGTCTCCGGCACCGGATCAAAGTCGAGCTTCGACATTTGCCGCCGCATTTGCCGCCACTCCTTGTCACTCAGCTCCGCCTCGGACTTCATGGTCGCTAGGCTAGTGTCGGGTCTCAGCTCACAAACTCTGCACCGCCGCTCAGACTGCTTGTAATACTACCGGCCAAACCCCTTGAGACGCCATCGCCACTGGAGGAGGACCGGATTAAAATAGATCAATGCAACCGCCAGGAATCCGCATACGTTACAATCAAGACAGAACTAAACCAGAAGAATTCACCATATACTTTCATGACTCGATAGCTGCGCTATCTATTATCCTCAGGCGCTAGCGACTGCTGCACTTACTTCATCCAGCAGCCATTACCTGCAAGCGGGTCCACGTCGTTGACGACTTAGTTGCCACCACGCAGGCGCAGCACCAGGTGCAGCGTCGACTCCTTCTGGATGTTGTAGTCGCTCAGCGTGCGGCCGTCCTCCAGCTGCTTGCCGGCGAAGATCAGGCGCTGCTGGTCAGGCGGGATGCCTTCCTTGTCCTGGATCTTTTGCTTGACGTTGTCGATCGAGTCCGACGGCTCCACGTCCAGCGTGATCGTCTTGCCCGTCAGGGTCTTGACGAAGATCTGCATGCCACCACGCAGACGCAGCACCAGGTGCAGCGTCGACTCCTTCTGGATGTTGTAGTCGCTCAGCGTGCGGCCGTCCTCCAGCTGCTTGCCGGCGAAGATCAGGCGCTGCTGGTCAGGCGGGATGCCTTCCTTGTCCTGGATCTTTTGCTTGACGTTGTCGATCGAGTCCGACGGCTCCACGTCCAGCGTGATCGTCTTGCCCGTCAGGGTCTTGACGAAGATCTGCATGCCACCACGCAGACGCAGCACCAGGTGCAGCGTCGACTCCTTCTGGATGTTGTAGTCGCTCAGCGTGCGGCCGTCCTCCAGCTGCTTGCCGGCGAAGATCAGGCGCTGCTGGTCAGGCGGGATGCCTTCCTTGTCCTGGATCTTTTGCTTGACGTTGTCGATCGAGTCCGACGGCTCCACGTCCAGCGTGATCGTCTTGCCCGTCAGCGTCTTGACGAAGATCTGCATGCCACCACGCAGACGCAGCACCAGGTGCAGCGTCGACTCCTTCTGGATGTTGTAGTCGCTCAGCGTGCGGCCGTCCTCCAGCTGCTTGCCGGCGAAGATCAGGCGCTGCTGGTCAGGCGGGATGCCTTCCTTGTCCTGGATCTTTTGCTTGACGTTGTCGATCGAGTCCGACGGCTCCACGTCCAGCGTGATCGTCTTGCCCGTCAGGGTCTTGACGAAGATCTGCATCTAGGCTTGCGGGTTGTGTTGTGTTCTTGGGTTGCTTGTGCGGTTGCGATCCAAATGGAAAGTGACGCCTGGAAACACCTTGAGGATCCCGTCTGGGTAGGAAAAACTGTCGTGAGGTCCGCTACATTCTGGCAGCGTATTGCGGATATTTTCTTCGGGCAGGGATAGGGCCCTGTCCGCACCCTCGTTCTCAGGTACGATGCAACATACAAAAACCAAGTGTTTCGGCGAAGCCTCGGGTAGGTCCTACAGCTAGTGTGGGGGTCGAGGAGTGTGTGTCGGGTCGAGGACGACCTGCGAAAAAGAAACGGTCCCCTCGTCGCAGTGCGACGCATGTGAAGCCAACCCGGCGTCGCAGGATATCCTACCGCCGCGTGGTGTGTGGTGCCTGCCCGCCGCGTGGCTGGCCGGTATGGCTCTGTAGTGATGATAGCTAAATGCTGCAGCCTCTGGGCAGAGCAGAGCAGTTGTAAGCAAGCGTCGCTTCGGCCTGAAGTCGATCCTCCCAAGTTGCATATTATATTCCAGTCAATAGTCCCGCGCGAGCCAAAGAGCTACTTTCGCCGAGCATGGAGCGGATACTGCGCCGCGGGTCGTCCTCGGCCGCTGGCCGCGAGCCTGCGGCCGGCGACGGCGTCGCTCTGAAGCTGCCGCAGAACGTGGAAGACACGCTGGCCAAGGTGATGCGTTTGCTGTGGCTCCAGCGGCTGTGGACAGCCCAGTCCTCACCTCCGTATCCGTCACCATAACGTCCTGCATGTAGGTGCTGCCGTCGGAGGACGTGCTGGACCGGCCCGAGTTCGACGCGCGCGAGTTCATCAACCGCAACTTCCCGGACGAGCAGAGTCTGGGCGACATCGGGGACTTTGTGAGCCGCCTGCGCGTGCGCATGAAGGAGCTGGACGACTCGCTCTCGCAGGCGTCGCAGGACCAAAGCCTGGCGGCCCACCAGGCGCTCGTGGATCTCAAGGAGGCCAAGATGGCCACGCAGCAGCTCTTCCACAAGATCCACGATATCCGAGGCAAGGCGGAGCAGTCGGAGGTCATGGTGCAGGAGATCTGCCGCGACATCAAGCAGCTGGACTACGCCAAGCGGCACCTACAGACCACGCTCACCGCGCTCAAACGACTGCACATGCTGGTCAACGCGGTGGACCAGCTCGAGTTCATGTCCTCCCAGCGCAATTACAGAGAGGCCGCGTCGCTACTGGAAGCTGTGAACCAGCTCTTCTCGCACTTTGACGGCTACACGAGCGTCGGCAAGATCGTTGAGCTGCACAAGACTGTGCGTACGTTGCAGGAAGAGCTCGGGGGACAGATCTTCGCCGACTTCCGGTCCATTGGCCCCATGGAGTCTCTGGAGGAGAACTTCCCCTCTGAAGAAGAGCGGAAGGCAGTGTTTTCCAACCTCTCGGCGGCATGTGCTGTTGTGGATGCGCTGGGGAGGGCGACTCGAGAGAAGCTCATCCACGTGTTCTGTGACGAGCAGCTCATGTCCTATGAGAGGATGTATGGCGAGGGAGGCGAGTGTGCTGGGCTGCATCAGGCTGAAACGCGCTACACGTGGTTTTACAACTTGCTCAATTCCATCGACGATCGCTTGAATGCAGTGTTCCCAAAACACTGGCGCATGGCCCGACGAATGTGCATCCGCTTCTGTGAGTGCACGCGGACGCATTTGCTTGCACAGATTGGCGCACACACCCCGGATGAAATGGATGTGACGCTGCTACTCAAGTCTCTGCAGCGAACGCTAATGTTTGAACGTGACGCGGCCCAGCGGTTCGAAGGAGTGGTGGAAGGTGAAGAGCAGGAGGAGATGGAGCTGGACGAGAACGGGGAGGTGATTGATCCTCACTCCGCAGAAGGCATCAAGAGAAAGCATCGCCGCAAGAAGCGTGAGGCGGAACGCAAGGCACTGGAGGAAGAAATGGAGAAGAACGGCGAGCTCACTGGCGACAACAGTCAGAGTCTGCCGACAATCCGAGGAATGATCTCTCGCTCGTTTGACCCTTTCATGACGGCGTACGTCGCCCTGGAGCGCAAGAACATGGAGCAGATGATCAACGAAGTGATGAGTGCGGAGCTTGTGGATCGAAACGGCCAGCTGCCCGTGTTTTCAAGCTCAGTGAACATGTTCGCGTACATCCGGAACTCCATCAAGCGTTGCACGGCGCTGACGAACGGGCAGACGTTCTTCGATCTCCAGAACGAGTTCAAGCACTGCTTCCAGCTATACTCGCAGCGGCTCCTCGATAAGCTGCCTGCTGCTTCGACGGGAAACACCGGTGGTCTCGACTCCTCGAGCAGTAGTGCCATCAGCAAGGTAAAGCTTGGTGATAAACAGGAGGAAGAACTGTGCTTCGTGATCAACACGGCCGAGTACTGTGCGGAAACGCTGCCGTCGCTGGAGGAAGTCATCCGCGCCAAGATCGACAAGGCGTTCAGCGAAGCTATCGAGCTGTCACAGGAGATTGATACGTTCCACGATGTTGGCGCTACCGCGATGAAGTGCATCGTGGCTGGATTGGAGACGTCGCTGGATGACGAGCTCACCGCGCTCCACAAGGTGAATTGGCAGACGTGGGAAGCAGTAGGCGACGAGAGTCTGTACGTGACGCAGATGGGCGAGAAGCTCCGCGCGTTCGTGCCGGTGCTGCGCCAAATGCTGTCTGGGTTGTACTTCACCAACTTTTGCGATAAATTCGCGGCCTCGTTCGTGCCCAAGATCCTGCAGGCCGTGATGAAGTGCCGGAAGGTGAACCAGGTAGCGACCCAGCAGCTGCTGCTGGATGTGTACGCGCTGAAGACGCTCTTCCTGCAGTTGCCAGTGCTGACGAACGACGCGTTCCCGTCGTCGTCCTCATCGGCGAGCACGGCGACGATTCCGGCGCGCTACACCAAGTTCGTCACGAACGAGATCGCCAAGGTGGAGAGCGCGCTGAAGCTCATCGGGACCCCGAACGAGATGCTGGTTGAGAGCTTCAAGATCATGTGGCCCGAGGGCACGGCGGAGGACTTCCAGAGCATCATGAACATGAAGGGGCTCAAGAAGAGCGAGCAGGCCGGGTACCTCGAGACGTTGGGCATGCAGCGCAAGCCCGCGGGCAAGATCGCCGAGATGGAGGGCAAGATGAGCGACATGACCGAGAACTGGAAGAAGAACATGCAGAACCTGGCCAAAGTGCCGTTCACCTTCACCGGCGGCATGAACACGAACGCCCACAACCAAGGGTAGACAGCCACAAACTAACAGAGTAATGCATGTACTAAACCAACTAGAAGAAGTGTACTCTCCGGCGCCTGTAGGCTTGCCACGCCGTGAGGTGCGTGGTCGCCCCGGTCGTGTCCGTGATCACCGTCGTGATGGTGCCACCTCCCGCCGCGGGGCTAGTGGAGTCGTCGGTCATGGGGCAGTTGTTGTAGTCTGCAGGCTTGAGCGTCGCCTTGGACGTGATTCCTTCGTTGGAGGTGATCTTGACCTCCACATGCTCCAGGTCGATGGCGTCGGACGGAGAGACCTGGTAGAACGAGGTGACGCCGATGACTTCCCCCTCCACGCCGTTGATCTCCATGGCCTTGACGCCGTCCCGCGAGTTGGGCACCTGCAGCGCGAACCACTGCGGGTTGCTGCCCTCCTTCCAGCAGAACTTCTCCTGCTCGTCGGGGCACGGAGTGAAGTGCCACGAGATCTCCGAGATGCGCGGGTCCCCGCCCACGACCGTGTACCACAGCGCCGTGTTCAGGTCCAGGTTGCCGTAGCCGCACTCGTAGCACAAGTCGGCCACGAAGGCCGTGACGGTGCCGCTCTCGCCCGTGATGGACAAGCAGCGGCTGCAGCTGGACGACTCGTAGTACTGGTCGTAGTTCATGGCCACGAAGAGCGACGAGTTCAGGCCGTACGGCGCCATGCGCGCGCTGCAGCTCCCACCCAGCGCCGACTCGAGGCCGTACGTGGTGGCCTTGCCCGTGAAGACCTCCTTCCCGAGCGCCACCCACGCGAGCTGCAGCCACAGCAGCGCCAAAGCTGTCGGGGCGGCCCCCATTTACTTAAGCTTTTCGGTAAATGCGGTGTAGAGGACAGGCATCTGGACTTGGGATTGGGGAGCAGCTTGCGTTGATACCGAGAGCTTTATTCACGACCTACGTAGCTACACGAGCATGTAATGCTGGTCGGTGCCATTGGCACTGCCACTTGAGCTGCTAGTGGAGCCCGTTTTGGGCATGGCCATGCCCGAGAGGCTCGCGATGTCCTGCGCCGTTATCGTGCTCTGCATGCCAAGCGGCATGGCCATCGTTGCAGTGGGAAGAGGGATGCTACCCAAGTTGGCCCCCAGCGACGCTGCTGCTGCTGCTGCTACTGCTGCCGCGGGGGAGGAGGACGCGAGATCCACGTCCGGAGTCGCAGGTGTGCTACCCAACATGCTCCCGTCCGCAGTGGACGAGGCTGCGGACTGCAGAGAGTGAACGTCCACGAGCTCCACCTTCATCTTCTGCTTTGCATGCAAGATGCCTTCGAGCGAGAAGTCGATCATCGTCTGGCGATAGTCCGGTTTCTCCCAGTTGAGCCACGTCAGGTCCGCCGCTAGAGTGCCTGCCGACACGTCAGGGACCACCGAAGCCAGGCCGCCGACGAACTCTTGCAGCATGCGGAACCGGCCGTTGACGCAGGACCAGGCGAAGGACACATCTGTGTCTCGGTTGTGCTCCTTGAGCACCCCGCCGAGAATCGGCTCGCGACTCACAGCCAGCACGAACTCTTCGTACTCGCTCTGAATCGTCTTGATCTCCTCGTCGGAGAAAGTCTCGCGCAAGCGCGCCTCCTGCTCACAGAGGAGCTTCACGAACGCCTCCTGCCCCATTTCGCACACTTCGATAGGCATCACGACTGGCGGATTGACAAGCACGCCCACGTCTTCGGCGCAGTAGTGTCGTCCATCCTGAGCGATGGTGGCAACGCCAGCTATCAGATCCACCGCAAAGTGCGCCACAGACTTGGCGATGTGAAGCCGCTCAACTCCGCGAAGTGTGTCAAACATCTCAATAGCCAGCGGACCGCCCTCGTTCTGGATGAACTGCTGCGCGTTCTGGAAGGTCAGTTGGAAGGACCCTGCCGCGCAGGCTTCGTCCGGGTTTCGCGATTCCCACAAGTCCCGCCTAGCACCAACAACGTCCGCCATGATCAGCGCCAGCTTGCACAGTTCCTGAACTTGCTCGCTCACGCGGTTCGGACCTTTCTCCATGCTCAGCAACTTTTTCATAAAGTACGCGATCTCGGCCATCACGCGGTGGGCGACCGCTACGCAGACCCACCACGATGCAGAGGGCACAGAAGTCGGGAAAGCGGTCTGAAGTCGTTGAATGACGGCGAGTCGGTGTTCTATCAGCCACTTGAGCGCTGCCATCAACTTCTCGGCAAAGCCACGAGTACTGGAGAACGCAGTCGTGACGTCGGGGATGACTTCCGTGGCAAATGGGGACAACGGGCCCTCTTGATGGGAGCTCTGCTGGTCTTGGCGTAGTGTAGCCAGGACCGACACCAGCTCGTCATAAAAGGCTTTCTGGCAGAACGCGGCGACGCAGTTCTTCACCACGAGCTCCAGTTGGTGCACGCCGCACCAGATTAGATAGAACGCAGGCTTCGTCACAACCGTCGTGAGTCGAGCGGACAGCCCCTGCTGGCTGCCTGTTGTACCGGTATTGCGGCCTGTATTAACGCCGCCGTTGGTGGTCGTGCCGAGCAGTTTACCACGCCAATTTGAATCCATGATGTCGAGGAACTTCTCAAGGCGCTCCATCATCGACGGCGCTGGGTGCTGGTCGAACGAGGGCAGCGTCAGCAGGTGGAAGTCCTGCAACGCTCCGTTTTGCCATAGCCGCACGCGAATATCCAAGTACGACGTACCTTGGTGGACGGCCGCATCCGTGGCCAGCGCATACGCCCACGAGGAGCGCATCATCAGCGCGATCTTCTGCAGATTACTCGCAATCACTGCACGGACGTAGCCCGCCACTCTGTGCTCTGAGCAACCGCCGTAGTACGCCATCTTGGTCTCCTCCTTGGTGCACTGCACCATGCGAGAGGTCAAGCGGTAGGACGCGCCACAGGCCACGAACTTGATGGCTAGGTCGTACAGCCGCTGGTTCTTGAGGAGAATGTCGTAGTTCTCCGCCCCCTCCTTGCGGCGGAAGACGTCCAGCGCCTGCTCCTTCGAGAGTCCGTCCTCGTCGCAGGCGTTGAAGAACATGTCGCCCACGAGCTCTTCCACCACGCGCTTCTCGATCTCCGAGGCCGGCAGCCGAACGGGACCCACACGCTGCACGGGTGGCGCCCCCGTCCCCGCTACACCCGACGCCGGGCTGGCCCCGGGGGCGCAGCTGCTGACGGCAGTGCCCGCCTGGGCGCTGATGATCTGCTGCTGCGCCATCGCGAGCGAGTTGATGGTGGCCTCCTCGATGTGCGCGGCGAAGAACTTCTCCTTCTCGGGGCTGGACGACTGCTCGTACTCGGCCCACTTGTGCTTGTGGTTGATCTCCAGGTGCGACAGGTAGTGGTCGGCGCGGAAGGGCTGCCGGAAGTACTTGATGTTGGCCGTGGCGCGGCGCTTGCGGGTGGCGTCCGCCGCCGACTCCTTGCCGAACGCCACGCAGAACTTGCACATGACGGACTCCACCACGCTCGTCTTGGCGTTGCGGCTGCACACCGACAGGCCGTACTTGAGCGTGTGCTTCTCATTGAACTTGACGCCGCGGTCCTTGTGCTTCTTGGGCTTGTCGCCGCCGCCTCGCACCCCCATGGCGGGTAGGTCGCTTGTTTTGGGCAATAATGGATGGCCTGTTTTGGGCACTTCTATCCCCTGCTAAGTACGAATTGAGTACTCGATGGGTTTCGTCGAGCACTTTGAAGTGAGCGATACGAATGACGCCGAATTATCGCGGCTGGTTCTGGTCGCTGGCGGCCGTGGCGGGCACCGCGACGGCGGCGGTGGTCGTCTACAAGTTCGCGACGAGGAGTGCGCGTGACCATGGGGAGGGTGAAGCGCGCGCAACCGCAGAGAGGGACGAAGGAGAGGACGTGGACTACGAGTGGCAGTCCGAGGAGGAGGTGGAGGATGCGGAGGTGGAACAACCGAACGAGCAGCAGATGCTCGCGGTTGACAGAGGGCGGAACATGGTTGGGAGCTGGATGTGGTGATTTTGCTAGAGTATTGTGTTCTTTTGCTAACTCGGAACTGCTGCGTTGTTGTGGCGATGCAGCTACTGGCCGCGTTCGGACTTATGCTGATGGTGCTGGTGACTGTCGTGTCGCTCGTCATCACGTGGAACATCGAGGACGAGGAGATCTCTTTTGTGGAGCTGCCGATGTTCCAGCCTCTTATGTGGGTTGCCGTCGGAATCTTTACAGGTACTAGATCTGGTATTGAAGACGTGGATGCAGAAGAAACACTAACGCGCCGTGTTTGATGTTGAACCATAGCAGCCAGTATGGAACTTTTTACGCGCTCATCGAGGCTGAATCAAGAGGTACCAGTTCTTGAGGAGAAGGCGGTGTTCCCGCATGATGCAAGAGACTTCGAGCTTATTCAGCAGCATGAAGGTGAGGTTTGCACAGCTTGGTATAGCATACTACACCGCTAATTATTTCTGTTCCGGTCAAATAGGCTCAAACGCATCTGCAGTTGCCAAGTCTGGCGGCCAGCAAGCACCACGACCGGCGCGTGCTGCAGTCAGCGAGGACGAGGAGAAGAGCGGCATTCCTGGAGACATCGAGGCGATTATCAAGCGAGCCGACGATCTGTTTGACCAGGGACTGCACGCCCAGACGCGAGAGTATCTGAAAGTAGAGTTGCCGAAACACCCTCCCAGCGTCGAGATGGTGCGTACGAGTATGAACATCCTTTCTAGTTTGCGGGACTCCATCTGACCACAATATACAGCTCTGGCGCTTAGCCCGCGCATGCAATTACCTGGTTGACGAGAAGAGCAACCCCGACGAGAAGAAGGCTCTGGCATTTGAAGGCCTCGCTGACGCAGAGAAGGCGTATGCTCTCAACAGTGATTCAGCAGCCTCCAACAAGTGGATGGCCATCATGACCAGGTAAATTCTCCATACAAAAACACCATATTGAAAGGTTGCTGATCGCTGCGCGGTTTGGGAACAGCACGGTGGGGAACTTCCGCGACTTGAAGGAGAAGATCGCGGGCGCCTACGTCATTCGGGTAAGCGGGCACTAGCAAGATGTCTAGCGATAACGGGATGCCTAATACTATCTTGCTTTTCGTAGGACCACATTCAACGAGCTATCGAGCTGGACCCGACTGATGCCATATCCCACAACATCCTGGGCCAGTGGTGCTTGGCCTTTGCTGACATGACTTGGATCGAGAAGCGTGCTGCTGCTGCACTTTTTGGCACGCCCCCTACTGCGACGTACGAGGAGGCTGTGCAGCACTTCGAGGCAGCAGGTAAGCTAAAGTTGATGCGATCTGACCGGTGTTTCTTGCGCTCATATATGTAATGGTGATCTTGGTGTTGAGGTTCAGAGAAAATCAGCCCCGGGTTCTGGAAAAAGAACGTATTTCTCCTGGCACAGGTAATGTTGTGTTATGCAAGTGAGTGTGTGTGTCCAGTGCTCAGTTCATTCATCCTGTGTTGCAGACTTATATGAAAATGAAGCGGACCAAGGAGGCTGCGACTTGGGTGCTGGAGGCGAAGGCCGTGCCGGTGAAGACGAAGGAGGACGAAGAGGTCGCTCAGGACATCGCAGCGCTCATGAAGCAGCTCAAGTTGGCCTGAAGCGGTTGCTACAGTACTTACGGAAGTTGAAGCAAGCGCACCGTATGTAGAGCGTAGCGCTCGTCTCGCAACATTCCCTTTTGTAGGGTAAACTATCAATCATCATAAATGCAACTGAACTGCTAATTTTCAGTGTAGAAGCTGGCACTCACACGGCACGCAGGCACGCAGCACTTGGCAGCAGTCGGGAACCAGAGCTGCAAGAAGGAGAAGGACATGGGCGTCGATTTTGGGTCTAACAGCGCAGCGACCATGAAGCAGAGGGCGGTGGCAAAGCAGCCAGATGCTGGTAGCGCTGCGGCGGAGCCTCCTGTGAAGCCCTCGCCGTCCAAGCCGTCCCTACTGTCCATCGTGGCAGGGGACGCGTCGCTGGTACGTTCAATTGTCCGAGCTGCTGCGTGAGAGGAGGCTGACGTGGTGTTGACATGCTGCAGTTGATGGCGGCGTCTGGCGTCTGCACTGTGGCTCTGTCGGGGCTAGTGTCGCTCACGATGGTGGCTCTGGACGACAACTTGACGTCTGTGACCGAACTGCGCCTGTTCTCGACCTCCATGGTCACGGGCTCCGTGCTGTTCGTTGGTGCGTTGCGTTGCCGATCCCTTTGTGTGTGTTGTTTGAGATGTAGCGTTGGAGACTGAGACCTGTAGATGTGTTCTTGTGCGTGCAGTTGGTGTGCTGAATGGCATGTTGAGATACTCGAATCGGAAGGCCAACGCTGCCCCCGGAGAGATCGTCCTGCCCCCTGGCCATCCTCCTATTTCACCCGACAAGCTAGCAGAGATGGTCGAGCTGGACGAGAACGGAAATCCCAAGAAGCGCATCAGTCGCTGCCCGCTGGGGTTCTAGGAGGCAATGGAATGAATGGAGCAACCGCTTGTACTTAACGAGTTCACTTATTTTCTACGACTCGTGCGGCGAGCTCGGCGTGCCTCGCGCTTCTTTTCCTGCAGCGAGAGTTTCAATGCTTCCAGCAAATCTCTGTTCACGCCAACAAGGACGATGAGAGTAAGTACCATCAGTCACACCTAAAAAAGTATCTTCACAAACTTACGGGTCATCTTCATCGTAGAGGTCGTCGTGGTCGTCAAAGTCGTGAGGAGCTCGACCAGCACGTCGTGGACTCGGAGCGTCTTCGTGCCCTGGCTGTCGGTGACGAATCTCGTTCTACAGCACAGCACATAAGCGGCGTATCATATCATTAGCCCCTCCACAACTGGCGCCATTGAAGCCAGGACTCCTGGCCCACGAGCTGTTTGTTCCGTACCTCAAACTGCTCAGCTGAGAGTGATCCCAGCATCCGCTGAGCCCCGCGGTTGAAGACCGAGTATGCGCTCATGCCGCTCGCGCGCTCTTCCCCTCCGACAAGGAGGTGGTAGCATAACGCCGCGAAACCCGAGAGAATCACGTACGCTACGGCAAACTCGGGCTCGTTCTGGTGGATGTACACCAATCCCCTGACCCAAATTGCAAGCACCAGCGAGTAAAAGGCTAGCGAGCGCCAGTGCGGGCGGAGCGCGAGCACGGCGTTCTGCAGTGCCTCCTTCGACAGCAGCTCCTCCAGCTTGCGGCGGATCTGAGCGCGCGTGTCGCGGTTCACGCGCAGCACTGGAGGGATGAAAGGCACCAGCCAGTCCAGGGGGCCCTGGTCGGCGGCGCGTGCGCGTCGTAGGGGCGGCGCATTCGCCATGCCTACTAACGGAGCTCCTCGCATCCGGGCTTGTTTGTATTCTTTCAGATCTCTGAATGTAGAACCCTTCTAAAAAACCTCCTAAAACATGCGTTGTTGACGAAGTAAGAATGTGTATGCAGACTGCCGTTCACTGCCACTAGCCTTTCCTTATGCAGACGCCTGCGTGCTCAGAACCTGCATGCAGGTCTTGGTGAACTGCTCGACCGGGACGGCGACTGGCAGCTCTTCTTCGTGCGTGAGGAACCACGCGATGAGGTCGCGGTAGTGGCTGGGGAAGAGCGTCTGCATGTGGGCTCGAGTCTCATCGAGTCGAAGTTGCGCGGTCAGAAACCCGCGTGCAAGGTGCGCGCCCTGCGCTTCGAGCTTGTCCTTGTGCTGCATGCGCTGCAGCGCCACCAGACGCTTGTAGAGCTGCAGCACCAGCTGCTTCTTGGTTTTTTCACGCCGCAAGTCGAACCGGTGCAGCGCCGCCTTCCTCTCCAGCGCGTCCAGCTGCTCGTCCTTCTGAAGAGTCTGCATGAGGAACTCGAACGGGTCCAGCGGCTGGGTCTCCAGTAGCCGAGCCAGCAGAATGTGCAGCATCTCCTGCACCTGGTGGCCCTCGGCGTACGAGCGCATGGCGTCCAGCACCTCGCTCGGGGGCGGGCCGTCGCCGGGCAGATTCGAGTCGCGCTGCCGAATCACCCTCGAGAGCGGCATCCTGACGCCTTGGAATTTGCTCAAGTGTATGCTCCGAAGCGACACTATTTAACGTAACGGCAGCACTACCATGTCAGTGGTTTACCAGCCTGCGCTCGCGTACGAAGAGAGCCTGTGCAAACAACTTCAACAAGAAGTGCGCCATGCTGCTCGGGTATTGGTGTCATTTATGCTTCCCAGCCCCTGATGTCGTCCTCGAACCACATGGCGGTTGCCCCCAACCACCTTCATCTCCCTCTTGAGCTCATGCTGACTGACTCTGCCTCTAGTTCTCTCCTGCTCCTGCACTGCACCCCTCCCTCACATCCTTCTTTGCGCGCTCGAGTACGTTCAGCTCCAGCCTTGCACTCGCGCTTCAGCCTCTCGATACAGGACTCGATACAGCCAGCATGAGCTACGGAGGCAACGTTGAGGGCTACCTGCTCAAGATAGACGGCGAAGATGTCCGTATTGTCTACTGCATCCTCGACGAGGGCGTGCTGCAGTACTTTTCGCGCATGGGTGGCGAGTTGCTCGGGGCTGTGGCTCTATCGGGGTCCAAGGTCGACGTGTTCCTGCTCCCTTCGTCGGACGAGATCGGCCAGATACCCAACCAGTTCCGCGTCGATGCCCAACCGCGAACTCCGTCCGTGCGCCGTCGTGGCTCCCCGCAGCCTGTGGAAGCAGACAAGTTGGTATCGATCACCTTCGCGGGGTCAACTCGAGAAGTTACCGACCAGTGGGCCGTCTCAATCCTCAACTGGAATCGCTACAGCTGGGAGGACGGTCAAATGGTATGCAGCTCCAAGAACGAGTTCCACAGCCTCCAGAAGCTTATCGACATGAGGATGAAGACCCCGACCGACAAGACGCCGGATCCTGTTGTGCCGGTGGGAGTAAGCCCCGCCGTGCTTCCTTTATAGAAGGGCAATTAATACCTTAGCATCCGTGTTGTCGTGGACGTAAAATCAATAGACGCGTTGTGAGTGAGGCTGTAACCCTGGTACTTGTGTACTTCCAAGTTTACTATCACGTTTCTTGAAATTTGGGCTCAACTCAGGAGGTTGGATATACTTCTGCATGGATAACTACGTTGTACAACAAACTAATCTATCGCGGTAAAATAACTCACGGCACAGGCGTAGCTTGCGGGATCGCAGTTTCAGACACCAACGTGGCAGGCGCTTCCTCAGTCGTAGCCGCCGTAGGAGACGCCTTCTGGGGCTCATCGCTGTTCCCGGACGCGGCTGCTGCCGCTGCCTCCTCCGCCGCCATCTCTGCAAGACGCGCCTTCGTGATAAACCGACCGTCCTCCCCACGCTTGCGGTTTTTGGCAATGCTGTGCCGCACGGGGTACGACGGCTTGTTGGACCAGTTGCGGTTCTCGCGCTTCTTCAACCACTTGGCAATTTTCTCCTTCTTCTCCTCCTTGGAGCACGGCGGGGGGTACGAAGGCATCGGCGGAGCGGTCGTCCACTTACCACCAGGCCCGGCGCGGAGCTGGGCCTTACCATATCCATAGCCCGCAGCGTAGTAATTGTAGCCCATATCCGGTTGCATACTGCCGTAAGCGTACCTATTCATGGCGTACTGCTGCTGCTGATACGGGTTATAAACACCGTTGGCACCAGACATGTACGGGTTCATGGCGTACTGAGTCTGTTCTCCGGCGTAGATAACGTTAGCAGGGTAGGATCCTTGGTTCATCGCATACCCTTGCTGCATCCCGTAGCCATTCATGCCCATTTGTGCCGATGCCGCCGGAGAAACGGCAGGCTGCGTCATCCCCATCATGTTGTGGACGGGAGACGACTCGAATCCACGCTTCAAGTAGGTTGCGCGGTCCCGAAGCGGCAGGTTGATCTGTGGAGCAGCGGTGCCGTACATGTTGTTGGTTGGTGATACTTGGGGCTGGGAATACTGCTGCTGCATGACCGTCGGTTGCTGGTAGCCCGACGAAACAGGCATTGAAGTAGGGTATCCGTTGCTGGTTGAGAGGTGGCCGCCTGTTGGGGTGACCATGTTCGCAGAGACCGAGTACTGGTTCATCGCCATAGGAGAGCTCTGCGGGTAGCTGACAGCGTTCATCGGCGTAGACTGGTTGTTCGTCTGGTACGCGTACGAATTGGCCGAGGGGGTCAACGCTGCAGGGGCGGTGTTGAAGCGCCCCGAGTTGTTGATGTTCTGCAGTGGAATAGGCTCCGACTTGGCAGCGGGCGGGGTTGTGTTGAAGTTGAGCGCGATATCGTTCACAAAACTCTCCGACAGCCAGTCTCCAGTGTTGCGCTTCGAGGACGGGTTCTGCATCTCCTTGAGCAGGAGGTCCTTCACGGCTTGGAAGTCGCCCGTGTTGTTGTATTTGTCCAGCGCCTCTTGCAGCTGCGGCGAGTCGCTGTTGAGCAGCAGGTCCTTCAGGTGGCCTCGGTCATCGTTGGAGATGATTCCCTTGTCGCCGAGCGACTTGATCGCCGCCATCTTGCCCGAGATACTGCGGTAGCGTTTGTTCCCCTTCTTACCGCTGGACATCAAGCTGCCCGACGGGGCGCCGCCGCCCAGTCCGCCTCTAGGAGGGCCACCCATGCCCCCCGACGGTGCAACACTGCTGGACGGAGCTGTATTTTGGGTATTGGCGTAAGGTGAGATGGTAGGCTGCGGTGGGGCGTTGCTGGCGCTCGGAGTAGACAGCGTCATGGGCCTCGCCGACGATCCATTGACTGCAGCAGTTGTTGTGGCAACAGCCTCGGGCGCAGGATTCGATGTAGACGCTTGCCTCTCGCTGGGCTGCTGGTAGTCTTCGCCCTGGAGACACACGACGAAGCGGTCGTTCTCGCGGACGCCGAAGCGCAGCGAGCGGGCGTTGAGCTGTCGGATCAGCGAGCAACGAACGGTTAGACCTCGATCAACAAGGGGTCCAATAGAGGTTGAAGCGGCGACGCACCTCGGCGGCGATGCCCGTGGTCTCCGTGGGCAGCAGGAAGAGCCGCGCCTTGGGGGTCGTCACGCCGTCCTCGTACTCGCCCTGCTTGCCCACGGCCGCCACCATGGCGGTGATGGCGTCCTTCCACTTGATCGGCGGCGGCGGCAGCTCCAGCACCTCGTCGTCGGTCTCGCGCTGCGTGGCGCCGTCGTACAGCCGCACAAACACGCGTGTGCTCATGGCTGCAGCGGCAACGGGGGGGGGGGGGGCGACCGGACACGTACCAAGTTCCTCGCAAGAGCGGAAATGTGGCGTTTGAGTTCTGTGCGGCGGCACTTCGTATAGAGCGGGAGCTTCGAGCCCACAAATTCTCCCCTAACCCCCCTCACCGAAGCGCCCCTATTCGGCCAATCAAACGTTTTAGCCATCTCGCCGGACAAAAAGGCAAGTGAAGCCCGGACAAGTCAGGAAAATCAAGCGCATGACTGTCCACGCATCGCGCGCCGCCAGCGCGCTCCTCGACTACGCGCTCTACCAGCGCAACCCTCTGCAGCAGGTTGGTAGTGTACACTGCACAGCGTCACTGTATGCGGTAAATGCGCCAGGTTTCGCTCGCTTCGGGCGCTGGAAGCGGACTCCGCGTGGCGATCGCCCGCGTCGCGACGTGACGAAGTATCTTTTTGTCGTCGTGTCGTGTACCCATCCCCTGCAAGCCGCACTCAAATGGCTACATGTACGGTACTTGACTTGCTGCAACATTGCACAGATCTTCTACCTGCTGCTGGTGGTCGGCGGCTACAGCGCCTTCCTCTTCTCCGGCCTGCCGCATTTGCCCAATGACTCGCTCGGCGACGTCCACATGTAGGTTTGATCCTGTCGACGCGCTGCGCCTGTGAGCCGGGGTCAGCTGACGAACGCACTGTACTTGCAGATACTTGAGCCTCGTGGCGGTGCTGGGCGCGCTGCACAGCTTCACCGTGGCGTCCATGTCGTCGCCCGGGATCCTACTGCCCCGTACGTATTCAAATGATTCTTCATTTTGGCCTTGCATCTCCTTACCTTTCGTTGCACGTTGACAGAAACCCTCGTGTACTTTGACAACTACGAGTACGACGACGTGCTCTATCGGAAGCGAGAGTGTCCGACGTGCCAGACCATCAAGTCCGTCACAGGCTTCCTATTTTGTTGACATTCTCTCGACTGGGCTTGTGTTGCTAACGTCGTGCTTGTCACTTCAGACTCGCCCGCTCGAAGCACTGTTCCGTTTGCAACAACTGCGTTCCGCGCTTCGACCACCGTACGTCCGTCACTTGAAACTATTGTGCATTTGCTGCAGTACCGTCATTACTGTTATAGAAGTAGCGGCTAACGCTGTGTGTTTATTACCAGACTGTGGGTGGCTGAACACGTGCATTGGCGAGCGCAACCACTGGGTCTTCCTCCGATTCCTCATGGTGCGTAGAGAACATTATTTTAACTGGCATGTTCAAGGCAAATGAAACCAAATAATGGAGATGAACATTGTGCGTTGCTAGATGAACGTGCTACTGTGCGGATACGGCTCCTACGTTCTTTTCGCCATTCTACATGACGAGTATAAACAACTCCTCGGGGAGCCATTTCTGGACGAAAGTACGCACACCGTGGTGCAAGGCGATCCCATGGTGGTTGTGCGGTACCTGGTCCATGCAGAAGCTGCAGTCACAGTGCTCTTCGTGCTCTGTGTTGGAATGGGATTCGCTCTCGTGTGTTTTTCTGGATTCCACCTCTACTTAGTGTCCAGCAATCTCACCACCAACGAGTTCTTCAAGCGCAGGGAACTTCGCCGGTCACAGGTGCGCCAAGTTTCCAATGAATCTTCCGGCAGCATCACGAAGTTTGCCTCTCAACCGTGTCCGCATACGCACGCGTATGCCCTCGATTCACTGGTTGCCAACTGGCGCGAAGTATGGGCGCCACGCTACAAGGCCAAGATATTTGCTGTCAAAATGGCTGCTTCCATGCGCTCCGATCATCAAAAAGCGGTCAAGTCCGCCTGATGCTACCTGCATCGAATATTTTTAGCACCTTCTCGAATATGGTAAAGAAAGCAATTCGAGTTTGTGTTGAAGAAAGAGACTCTAACTTCCGACGCCAGCTTCAGCCTCGCAAAGGAGGTATTCCTTCTCAAGCCAAATGGCCTCCGACTTGAAGACTTCTACAGCCCTGCTTACCCCTGAAGACTTGTATGCGCACGCGCGTCGCTTTGGTGTGGACTTAAGCCGTGAACCATACTTGCTGTCATTGATCAAGCAGGCTGCAACAACTCCCAACCCGCCGAAACGACAGCATGAGAGCGATGATGAAAGCGGCGGCGAGCGCTACTTCCTAGACCAAATCAAGATACTGCGTCATCAGCAACAGCAAGCCCCAAGCCATTCTACACAGGATGGTGCCTGGATGGCATTTGAAGAGCTCGTGTCCCCCGAGACGAGCAACTCGACGAAAAAGCCGACGAACACGTACTACTACAACTTTGTTACCAACTCTCGACAGGAGATGCATCCTCTTGTACCATTGTTCGGCGACAACGAATGGGCTGGCAACGACGACGCTGACCCGATGACACGAGCGGCTGACCCACTAGAGTTTGAGAATGCTGCCACGCTGCACAAACAGACTTCGATGAAGAAGTAAGTTACTTCCTGGATTTTCAATGCATTAACTATTCTAACTAACACTGCTGTGTGTCTGTGCTGTAGCATTGCTGCGTTGGAAATTCTCTGCTTTCACTGTTGGTGGAAGGAGACGTCTCTGCTTGGGGAGACGCGTCAATGCCGTCTCCGACTCTACTTCTCCATTCCGACGCGTCATTTCCAGGTGGTGCTGGAGGATTCGCCCAACGTGTTCACCATTTCGCACATTGCCCATTCCGTGACGGGGATTCCGCTCTCGGTCTGGGACTTGCATGAAGGTGCGCGCCTCACTGTGCTTGGACGCCCCACGACGTTGCGCCAAGCCAGTCTCCTCACCCGTCAGTGGCTAGATGTTCACGAGCGTCGCCTTCGCCCAGTCATGGAGAGCCTGCAGAAGGAGCTGGCAAAGTACGAGCTCCGTTCGCATGGGCGCTCAGCAGCGGCTCCAGTCTCGGGTCGAATCCTTTGCGCGGATCCTCACCGTTCTCGATCCGGGGTTTCACTGCGTCAATTGCTGGACGATATCGCCATGCTGCAGAGCAAACTCGCCACCTACCGCCCAGACCTCGCACGCCGATTGTGCGAGCCACTAGCGGATCTTGACATCGCGTAGTGGACGAGACATACACGCACCCCCAATATATCCTCGGCAATAAATAACTTGATGGTCTTGAGCTCTTGAGCTGTTTCTGTCATTTGCACCCTTGCTTCACTTCGCGTTGCGGTGGATATCCCCAGTATTGGCACTTAAGATGACAATTACGACGCGGTCAAAGCGCGTGTCGGCGTTTGGCACTGGCGCGCCAACGCCAGCCACCGTCGCTCCAGGATCGTACGCAACAGAGCAAGTCATCACGAGTTTCGGAGTTCGAGCGCGCCGGCCACTCTTCTCTAGCTTCGCTACGTCGGAGAAGCGTAACCTCAACGAGAACAAGACCACGTCCGCGATCACCCCAGGTCTGTTCGGAGTGCACTTTGAATTGGCATTTTACCAGTACCGTATAACCAAGAGATTCTTAATTTGAACAGGTCCCGGGGCGTACATCGATGAATCGCGTCACCAACACGGTCAGCCCCCGTCGAATGTGTTCGCCACTAAGGTAAGGAGCATATACCCAAACATGGGGTGATTTTATCAACTACTTCGTAGTACTTACTAACTCAATCTGGCATGATAGATCTCTCGTTTTGCCCCCAGTGCTCCGGGATCCACGATTTTTCGAGCGTCCAGCGTACAGGACAACCCGGGGCCAGGAAGTTATCTGCGTCCTGCCTCATCGCCGCCTTCCAATAACCAACGTGAGCATCAAGGCCCCCACAAATTTGCGCACTTGGTCAAGCCGTCAGTCCCCGCTATCCCCCAACGACAGCAGAGCTATGGCTACGTCCAAGTAGGTCTTGAACTCCAGCGACAAGCACCTCCCGACGAGATTTACTCGGGAATCGGCCAGGACACGGTGGGGCCTGCAGCCTACAGCCGACACAACCCGATATGGAACGAGAAGAAGAACGTCGCGCCGTCACTCAAATCGACTGCTAAGCGCGAAGTTTGGGAGGAGAACAAGAGACTCACGAAGCTGCCAGGTCCAGGACAGTATAACACCCTCCCTGTGCCGGAAACCTCGGCAGTCACGACTCCGCCTTCAGCTAAGTCGCCCACATTGATTCCGGAAGCTCAGCGGCCTCGCATTGGCGCGCGTCGCAGTCAGCATCGAGGATCTCGACAGAGTGCGGTGTTCGCCTCCAAGGTGCCGATTCTTCCAGCTCCCAAGCCGGTAGGAGTGTACGACCCAGATCGAGAGCAGGAGCTTCTAGCCAAGGAAGAGCGCGCGGAGCGATACCGCCAAGAACAACGGAGCTTTGGTCCCAAGACTGAAGCCTTTGGGTCTACGACAGGCCGCACGGAGCTGACTTCGCAGGTCAATGCCCCGTTCAGCCACCCGACGTACATCACAACTCCAGGTCCTGGCAAATACGGCTCTGCTGGTCGATACGCTGGACCCAAACAGCTCGGCCGGAAGTCGAGCGGAGCGTCGATTCCGTACCACCGCGCGGATGGGATCGGCTTCTCGTGCGCGACAGAGCGTCCTTGTCTGGCCCCCACCAAGGCCCCTCCAGCACCAGGTCCCGGCGCATACAAGAGTGAAACCCCACGGTCTCTGAATCACACAGTCAAAGGAAAGCTATGCATCGGTCGAAACGGAGTCTTCGGCACCACGTCGGAGCGGCAGGTCTGGGGGGAGCTGGAGCGTATGGATGTCGAGGAGTTCACCCCAGGCCCCGGGGCGTACACGGAGGCTGGATCGTTCAACACGCCTCAATATCTCAACTCGGCCCCATTCAAGTCCAGCTCGAACAGATTCGCGAAGAACGCGCCACCACATGCACCGCCGCACGTCCACTGCGTGGGTGACCAGGTTACTCCTGCCGTCGGCCAGTACAACGTGTCCAAGGGGTTCTCGACTGTTGCGTCCAGTGCTCCAGCGGCAGTGGAGGGCGTCCCCGCCTCGGACGCTGCGAGCTTGCTCTCCCCACGCATACCGTTCCTCTCAACACAAGAGAGATCCGTGTTTGACACGAAAGACGTGTGCGATCTACCTGGTCCTGGCGCCTACAAGGAAACTGCGGATGATGTTGGTGCTGTCTACACGAGGTCGAAAGACGTTCGCTTGACAGTCGGAAACGAGGCACGATTCCGCGTGAAGCCGACAGTGCCGGAGGCTGTCGGGCCTGGGGCATACTCCATCCCTGGTACCGTGGGGACGAAGAGCTTCAACGTCACCATGCGCAAGGAAAAAGGCAAGGCTGGACCAAGCAGAGCACGAGGTTCTCCTATTCATAAGCGTGGATAGCATAGCATAGCATATAAATAAAACAGTATTCGATAAGCAAGACATGCATTTCGTACGATAAAATGACAACGTTCCTTCATACTGGGCGGGATGCGCGTTAATATCACTTCTAATCTGGCAAGGGGGATTCGCTCAGCGAGTTCGATTTGTTGTATCTGCAGCTGCTAGCCGGAACCATGCAGAGCCTTCTTCCACCGCAGCAACGCGCGGTATGCAAATAGCAAGAAATCTTGCTCCGTGATCATGTTGTCTGCGTTGCAGTCCATGACCTCCATCAAGAGACTCAATTCGTCTTCAGTCGCGTACGCATCTGCTCAAAAACAAATAATTAGGAGTCAAGTCAGCAATTTTCAACAAAAATCGACAGCAACCATAACAAAACGTACCGCTGTCCTGTTCTGCGAGAAGCACAACAAAGCTCTCCTCCACCAGAATGCCGTTGCCATCGAGATCTAAGAGAGAGAAATACAGCTTGAGGGCTTGCCACTGTGCCTTTGTAAACACGTTGACGCCGCTCGCGTGAATAGGAATGTGTCCCTGGAGCGTAGTTGTTAGCTGCGCCACCTGCTCGAACGACGGCATCGGCATCCAGTCGGTCATGCTCTTTCGTCGAATTGGGCCTGTCGTCTCCGTGACCGTGTCATTCGTTTCAGTGTCAGTCTGTGCCTCGCCTGTTGAGGTCGAGCGCTTGAATGGAGTCTTAACATGCGGCATCCATGACCCTCTCTTGGTTGGAGCTGAAGTAATTTCGGGACCACTCTTCTTGACACCATCACGCGCAAAGTACCGGTCGTAGAAGCGCACAAACCCTGGGCAGAACTTCCAGCCCGTCACGATACGATTCGTGTCCCACTTCTTCTTCTCCTTTTCCTTCTGCTTCTTCTGCTTCTTCTCCTGCTTCTCCTTGAGCTTCTTCTCCTTCTTCTCTTTCTTGAGGTCTTTCTTCGCCTTCTTGGAGCTGCCATCAACAGATTCGGGGCTCTTGCAGTCGCCTACCAGCTCCCACTCCTGCAATGATTCACCCGCTACTTCGTGAGTGTCTGTCGCGCTGTGCTCGGCATCTTTGTCTTCCATTTCGGTAGTCATAGCAGAACAGGGGGGCGACACGGGCAGCTCCGGGTCCTCCTCCTCTTCGATTTTCTTGTCCAGGCCGGCCGCCGGAGCACACAACGAAGACACCAGAGACTGCTTACGAGGAGGTTCCGCGGCCGCCGTTATGCTGGCTGCTCGTTCGAGCGTGAACCGCAATTGCCGGCACATGTTCACCAAATCGTAGAAGTCGATCGGCAAGAACGGGAGATTCTCCTCCAGAAACGCCTTGACAGCCTCCTCTTCGCTTTGGCGAGTAAACTCGAACTCCGGGTACTGACTGCGCTTGTGCTGCTGGTACTGCAACAGGCGGCCATTCTGCTTTTCCCACGGGATCTTCAACGTCGCCCCGACATTGTGGTTCGTGTTGCAGTACTCGGGCGCAGAAAACACCGTGACCACTGCAGGTAAAGCCAGCTTGCCCTCCTCGTCTTCTTCCGTGCGGTCGGACTCATGGCGGAAATGCTCCTTGTAGCCGTCCTCCTCGAGCTCGTGGGCTCGAACTATAGCGAGGAGGTTGTTGCGCTCGAGAAACTCGCGGCACGCGTGTTCATTAAACGTGAAGGAGCAGCCGCGCATGCCATTTGGAGCCCACTCCTGCTCCTGAGCTTCCCCCTTGGCGGGATCAGACCACAGCAAGTCGCAGAGCGCTCCGTTGGGCTCGGGCTCCATGAAGCGATTGACTTGGAGGTTAATATCTTCCACTAACGCAATATCTGGGGACAGCCCCCCATGCACAGCTAGGAACGTGCCATGGACGGTCTCCAGTCGCGCAGCCAGCGACATACTCTCAAAACACTTGATCATGCGGTTGTACACGACCGGCCCGTACTTCTTGAGGCACTCGGCCCGAAACCCATAGAATGTACTGAGACTACGGCACTCGTGGTTGCCGCGCAGCAAGTGCACGCTCTCCGGGAACGCCACCTTGAACGCCAGCAGCAGCAGGATGATCTCGCAGGACGAAACGCCGCGGTCCACGTAGTCTCCGAGGAACAGGAACGGGTTGTCTACGGCTGGGGACCCGTGCACACGGAAGAGCTCGAGCAGGTCTTGGAACTGGCCGTGCAGGTCGCCCACGAGTGTGTACGGCGCGCGGATCGAGATGACGTTCTGCTCCAGCGACATGAGGGTCGTGGCTCGCCGTACGAGCTCCAGCGCACTGGCCACGGGGATGGTGGTGCCCAGACGGAAGAGCGCGAGGATCTCCTCCGGGTCCAGCACGTGCACGACGGCGCTCTCGTGCTCCTCGTCCGCGTTGTTGTCCACGCTCATCTCGCCCTCGAGCGCGTCCACAGCCGCCGCCGTGGCGGTGATGATGGGTACATTGGTGAAGTGCTGCACCGTGTCCTGGCCGATGTCGCGGTCGGCCTGCTGCCGCAGGTACCGGTTGAACAGCGTCGTGTCGGTGGACACGCGGCGGTGGTGCGAACCCTGCATGCTGGCCATGCGCATGGGTCCGGCCTCCGATTTGGCGTCCAGCTCGGAGCCGCTGCCGGTGCGTGCCAGGTCGGGCGTCGGCACGTCGTGGTGCTTCTCCTCCGTCTGCGCCTTGAGCTTGGCCGCGGCCGCCTGCGCCGCCATGAAGCTCTTGAGCGGCGAGGGCCGCGCCACATCCCGGTCGTCCTCTGGTCGGTCCTGGTCCTGGTTGGAGCTGCCCGCGTCCAGCGCCAGCTTGAGACTGGGGTTATATCTGCGCAGCGACGACGAGCGTCTGCGGTGGGCCATGGGCGGCTGCGGCGTCGTGGGCGCGACGGAGCCCACGCTCTCGGGCGCCGCCTTGAGCTCCAGCGGCGGGAAGGCCAGCGCGGCCGGCGCCGACTTGGGCGGGCTGGGCACGCTGGCGTTGGCGGGCACGGCGGCCAGGAAGGCGTTGAGCTTGCTGGCCATGGGGCGTCGAGACGGGAAGTACGAGCTGGCAGCAACGGTGACACGGGGGAGTGTGATGGGATGCGGCGCCGCGTAACTACCCGCTATTAATACTCGCTCGGCGGCTGCGTTGAAGGAAGGCGTCGGAGGGCAACTGGACTCGGCTCGCCCGGACGCGCCTCAACCTGCTCCTCTTGCTCTCTGCCCGCCGCCGCTGAAGTAGGAATAATGCTGCCTGACAGAGAAAGGCATATCGGCTGGTCTCCTCCTGCAGGTTCCTTCCCAAAGTGATTTAGATTGGGAGCCCCACAACGCGACGCATAGCAGGACGGCGTCCTTGGCCGCGCGCTTGATCCTGATATCTCTCGGGCCGCGGCACACATGAAGGGCCTGCTGCCTGGAGAACCTATTTCAACGTCTCGCAACGGGACCGCGGTGACGGCCAGTAGCTTGCCGGTGGCACGTACTGGCATGAAGTGGTTGTCGCCTCGAAGGCAGGCGTCACTGTTGTTGTGTGCTTCGGTTTCGTGTGTGCAGTTTAGCCATGTTTGAGGTTTTCACAAACAAGCTGCAACACTTGCAGCCTGAATGTGTGTTGTCTATCATAGCCTTCACCTCCTCAAACATACCGCTCACTAATAAGCTTACCGCGGATTAATCTTCCAAGTACGTAGCACAGCGCAGCATTCTGGTTCAAGGAGGGCAGTATTGATAGAGAGCTCGACAACAGCAGTGAGCTTCAAGAAGAACTACATGTACTGATACTGAAAAACCGTCTAACTCTTCCGACATGTTCGCCAAATTTGCTTATGCTAACGAATTGTTTGCTAGAACGTTGGTGCTCGTAGTGCAGGTTGCTTGGTACTACCGTACCGCGACGTGTGTTTGGCTCCGGTCCTAGGCCCCGTCCTAGGTTTTACTCGGATACGCACAAATATATCTTGTCTAGAAACAGGCGAGGAAACCCCGAGGAAGGTCCTGATTTTAGAGCGCATTCGCGGCGCGTTCAGGGCCCCGAGCACATGCTGATCGGGCTTACTTGGTTGCACTACAACTTGCAGACCAGCAGCTACGGTACGCTAGCATTGCAAGTCGTTGCTCGCCGCGCTGCTTGGTGTCCGCTCCAGGCGTCCTGACTCAGGCAGGACACCCCCTTTGCGCCAAGATACGTTAACACTGAAGTATCCATCAAGTCGGTCGAAGGAGGCGGTTCACCAACATACGCCTGCACGTAGTCTACATTGTAGACCGCTTTGTGACAGCAGTCGACCGATACCGCTGAGTTTGCCTAGGAACACTCTGCGTTATGTAACAAAATTCTATTGAATCAATTTGGAAACGTACAACATGGGGCTGCATATGGCGACGGCGGGCCGAGGCTTGGCTACACGGCAACCAGAGGTGCGCTCGATGGAGACACGTTCTTCTACGACCGGTGTTACACCTCGGCAGGCACACGGTATTGCTTCGCGAGTTGTTCACACGGTCACCACTTCTTATCCATGAACAAAAATACCTTGGTCGCCGCCGCCGCACTGCCTGGCCACCCCCGCCCTTAGATAAACATGCTTCTGACGATAACAATGTCCTGGATGAGCTCGTGCATGAGCAGATCAAACTCCGGGAGGTACATGGTCAGGAACAGCGTGGTCGAGATCGTGGTCGCGCCCGACACGTAGTGCCAGCGCTTGTGCCACTTGTCGTAGCGCTCGCCGCCGGGCATGCCGCAGTAGAGCCACGTGAAGATGCAGAGCAGGCCCAGCAGCGTCTTGATGGCCAGGATGCCGTACCACTCGTTGGTGAGCGTGTGCTGGCCGGCGAAGATGAAGATGACGCCGAGCGTGCCGCTGATGAGCGCGTCCAGCAGCAGGTACTTGGTCTCCTTGGAGCGGTGGAACATGGTGGAGGCCACGGCCGCGCCCATCTGCAGCACGCCGCAGAAGTTCTGGTCGCAGCTGAACGAGATGAGCGCCGCCAGCGCGTACACCAGGTTGGAGTAGATGAGGCTGTCGCACCACGCGCGCTTGGCGTGGCGGTGGCGCACCTTGCGCCGCGGTCGCGAGGACTTGACGGGCGCCAGCTTGCGCAGCCCCAGGTCGCTGCAGGCCGAGGACGCCCACTGCGGCACGAACGGCTGGATATTGAACGAGCACAAGCACATCCTTGTAATGAGGTAGCGGTTGGTGCTGCTGCGGGAGTCGGGGCCAATTCCTAAGGCTGCCGGGGAAAGACCCCAAATGGTGCTCGTCCGGCGGCGGCGAGAGCTGCTGGCCTTGCATCGTCCTGTGGAACGGGGCTGTCGCTGCTATTCGACCAGCACGGATACATTTCGGTGGCATTAGCACTGCACTTTTGGACTGCAAAAACGTGGTGACGCCAATTGAATCGCTAGTTAGACTTCTCAGTGAGGACAGCAGTATGGTCCTCGTGCTGGTCCGATAGCAATTCTAATATTAGGGGTCAGGACAAGTACCAAAAGGTATCCAATCGCTGAGATTTAACAGACTTGGACAAGTGCAATTGGCCAGCCGCCGGGTACCGCGGGCGATGGCGCCAATTTCCACGCACAGAAAGAGCGCTGTGCCTGCAAATTTGCACGAGACACTGCATGTTCACGGCAAGAGAGAAGGATGACGCCCCGCCTGCGGTCTTGATTCTTTTTCCAGGCGCAACGACCCAAGCAGCGGAATGCGATGCGGCGCAGACAACTAAATTGGTTGAACGACATCCTCAAACTGCCGGCGCGAACTAGACCCTCGGAAGCAACAACGTCGGCGCACAACACCGTGTTGCCACTGCAAGGCCACGACCGATGCGCGATCGCAAACCCGTCGGCCAAGCCAAAATCTGAAGTGGCTCTGGGACACGCGTTGCAAGAGGGGGCGCGTCAGCGCGCCACCGACCCACCACACTAGTGACACCGTCTGGTTGCTCGACACTGTCTTTCAGACTAGTGTAGTCTAGTAGACAGTGCCTGCACGCGATGTCGCCTGAACGCCGGTGGAACCGTGTCTGCCACACGAGCTTTCTTCAGCCCACCTTGGCGCAACCTCCGTGATGACGTTACCCGCCACACCACTTGTACACAGCCTGGTAATCCTACGCCCCGCGAATCAATCCACAGCCAATTGGAAAACCCCAGCTCGAGCTCGCACCTCCGACCCTGATGGCGACGCCCCCGCCCGCCCCCGCCTCCGCCGCCATCGACGTGCAGAAGGGCTTCAGCGCCCTGACGCTGGACGCGCCCGTGCCCGCCGCCCCCGCGGCCGCCGCGCTGCCCATTGACGAGAAGCTGGCCAAGCTCGCGGCCATCACTGACGCGCCGCTGTCCGCCGAGGCCGAGGCCCAGCTGCGCGCGCTCTTCGCCGAGAAGACGCACCCCATCGCCTACGACGGCTTCGAGCCCTCGGGCCGCGTGACGCTCGCCGCCGGCCTGCTGCGCGCGCTCAACGCCCAGCGCCTCATGGACGCCGGCTGCCACGTGCGTCTGCTGGTGGCCGACACGCACGCGCTGCTCAACAACAAGTTCGGCGGCGACCTCAAGAAGCTGCAGAGCGTCAGCACCTACATGGTGGAGGTCTGGAAGGCGCTGGGCCTGGACGCCGACAAGCTGCCGAACCTCGAGATCATGCTGGCCTCCACCGAGACGGCGCGCCACGCTGGCGCCTACTGGTCGCAGGTGCTCGACGGCGCCGGCCGCTTCACGGTCGAGCGCGTGCAGCAGTGCGCGCCCATCATGGGCCGCAAGACGGACGACGCCGTGCACAACACGAACCGCATCCTGTACCCGCTCATGCAGCTCGCCGACGGCTTCTTGCTGCAGGCGGACATCTACCAGCTCGGGGCCGACCAGGAGCCCGCCAACGAGCTCGTGCGCGAGTACATTGCGCAGAAGGAGCTGGAGAAGAAGCCCGTCTTCCTCTCCCACCCGCTGCTGCTTGGTCTGAAGCAGGACCAGTTCAAGATGAGCACCACGGACGCGGAGTCGGCCATTTACGTCGACGACACGGCCGCCGAGGTCAAGACCAAGATCAAGAAGGCCTACTGCGTGCCCGGCGAAGTGGAGGGCAACCCGGTGCTCAACTACATGAAGTACCTGGTGTTCCCCCTTCACGCTGAGGGCGTCACGCTTGAACGGAGTGAGAAGAACGGCGGCAACCTTACGTTCGCCACGTACGAGGAGCTGGAGACGGCGTTTGCAAGCGAGAAGGTCCACCCTGCCGACCTGAAGCCGTGCCTGACCAAGTACATCAACGCGCTGCTCGAGCCCGTGCGCCAGCACTTCGCCAGCGGCCCGCTGAAGACGATGTTCGCGAGCATCAAGAAGCTTAAGGTGTCCCCGGTCCCGGATAGCGACAAGATGGCCAACCTCACTCTGCCTGGATTCCCGGAAGCTGTCAAGGAGTGGAAGCCCTCGTCGCTGTCGCTTGAGGAGCGCTATGCCGTGGCGCGCTCTGTGGGTGAGGAGTGCATCCAGGAGAACGAGCTGCAGGCTCTGGTGGAGAAGAAGGAGCACCCCGTGTGCTACGATGGTTTCGAGCCCTCTGGACGAATGCACATTGCTCAGGGTGTCCTGCGCACGGTGAACGTGAACAAGCTTACGTCGGCCGGCAGTGTGTTCCGCTTCTGGGTGGCTGACTGGTTTGCCATGCTCAACAACAAGATGGGCGGCGACCTGGACAAGATCCGCCTGGTGGGCCAGTACATGGTGGAGATCTGGAAGTCGGTGGGCATGGACATGACCAACGTGGAGTTCCTGTGGGCGTCGAAGGAGATCATTGCGCACAGCGCTTCGTACTGGCTGCGCGTGATGGATATCGCCCGCCGCACCACGATCGCTCGCACGCTGAAGTGCTGCACGATTATGGGCCGCAAGGAGAAGGAGGGCATGCAGGCCGCGCAGATCATGTACCCGCTTATGCAGTGCGCTGACATCTTCAACCTGAAGGCCGACATCTGCCAGCTCGGCATTGACCAGCGCAAGATCAACATGCTTGCGCGCGACTACTGCGACCAGGCGAAGATCCGCTTCAAGCCCGTTATCCTGAGCCACCACATGCTCATGGGTCTGAAGGAGGGCCAGGAGAAGATGTCCAAGAGTGACCCGGAGTCGGCCATTTTCATGGAGGATGCTGCCGAAGACGTGAGCCGCAAGATCGAGAAGGCTTTCTGCCCCGAGGGCGTCGTGGAGTCGAACCCGATCCTGGACTACATGAAGCACATCATCTGCCCGCGCTTCGCCGCACAGGGTGTGACGGTGAAGCTGGCAGACGGCACGGAGAAGACGTTCGCCGCCTACCAGGAGCTGGAGGACGCCTTCGTCGCGCGTGAAGTGAACGGCGCCGACCTCAAGACGGCGCTGACCAAGTACCTGAACGAGTACGTCTTCGTCGTCCGATCTCTTGAGCGGGAATTTGTTTTTTTTGTTAACTTTTTCTTTGTCGAATGTATTTTTGATGCGCAGGATTCTGGAGCCTGTCCGTGAGCACTTCTCGAAGGGCGAGGCCAAGGAGCTGCTCGCCAAGGTGCGCTCGTTCCGCATCACGAGATAAATAGGAAGGACGTTGCGTTGCAGCATGCTATGCTAGTCTCGGTGGCGTCCGTCCGTCCACCAATGGAGGACGTTTTAGATGTGCGACCAATGAAAAGGATAAGAGCCGGATACCGGTATAGCTATTCAGTTCAGTTTCATTGCTTGTTTTTCGAAGCCCTGACGTCTGCAAGGACGATGGAGACCGCGCAGCGGCTGCAGCGCGCTCTGACCAAAGTGACGGAGCCCAGGGACGTCGTGTACCGCTCAGAAGACGGAGAGGAGAACCAGGAGGAGCAGGGCGTGCAAGCCGCTTCCAAGTCGGGCGGAGCTGCGGGCAAGAAGAACGGTATCCGGCTGGTGGACGTGGCCTCGCTGTCGGTCGAGGGCTCACAGGGCCACGCCAATGAGGACCGCTACGTGGTGGCCAGCAACGAGCGGTTCCACTTGTTCGCTGTCATGGACGGTCACGGCGGGTCGTGGGCTGGCGACTTCCTCGTGGACGAGCTGCTCATGGCGATAGACAACGTCTACTCGAACGAGGACGGCTTTGATCACGCCAAGCTCCGCAGAGCAATGGAGGAGCTGGACCGCACGTTCTGTGCGATGGCCACTCGGAAGATGGACACTAGCGGCGCCTGCCTGCTGGCCGTGCTGCTCTACGTTGACCCCAGCACCGACACGCCGCAGAAGATCGTGCTGAACATCGGGGACTGCCGCGCGATCATCCGAGAGGCGCCAGAGTCGGTTGAGTCGGGGAAGAAGGCGAAGGGGAAAGCTGCCATCCCAGCTGCTGTCAAGACGGCCGCGCTGTCGGAAGACCACTGCGCTGCAAACATCAAGGAGCGGATGCGGGCGCTTCGGAGCGGCGCCTACATCCAGAACAACCGGATCGCAGGCGTGCTCGAACCCTTCCGGACCATTGGCGATATCGACATGAAGGGCCCGGATATGAAGAACTGGGTGATCCCAACGCCCGAGATCCGCCAAAGCGAGCTGCTCGTCGGTCGCAGCATGCTGGTGATCGCCACGGATGGCGTCTGGTCGGTGCTGAACAACAACCGAACCATGGCGCTTGTGCTCAAGGAACTCGGAGCTAACGGGGCGCGGCCGTCAGCAGAATCCGCTGCCCAGGCCATCGTCAAGGAGGCACGGGAGTTCGGCAGCAGTGATGACATTACTGTGATAGTCGTCTCCGTTTAGGAATCAAGTCGACAACGTAGAAGACAAAGGAAATGACATTGGCGACGGATCAAATGTGCCGACTTACTACATGCAGCCTCCTTGCATTCAGTCACGCGCCCACCACGGCCTTCCACGCCCCGTCGAACTCCATCCCGTCGTTCAGCTTGCTCTGCACGGCATCCGTCACGTCCTCACCGTACAGACACTTGAGCACCTCGAGGCTGGGCGTCTTGGTGCGCGAGCGGTACGTCTTGTGCATCTGCGCCGTGTAGTTGGGGATGCGCGGCAGCTTGAGCAGCTCCTCGCGAATGGGCATGATGTACGCCTGGCACGTGACGGTCTCGTGCTTGAGCTTGCCCTCCACGACGCTCACGGGGATCTCCTCGCGCACGTAGTACTTGTCCTTGACGGCCTCCAGGATGTCCAGCGCCGCCAGCGCGTCCGTGTCCACGCGGTAGACCTCCCCGGGCACCTGGTAGCCCTCGGCGTGCGTCCGGTACAGACACGGCACGGAGCGGTCCGGGTTCAAGACGAGGTGGAACTCGGCGCAGGCCGTGAGCCCCGTGCCCATGAACTCCGCCTTGCCCGCGAGCTCCGCCGGGTGCAGGTACCGCTCGTAGTTGATGAGCCCGCGCTTGAGCGTGCCGTATACGAAGACGTAGGTGTCCATGCTGGGGGGAGGAGAGAAGATCTCGCTCGTCCTGGGTGTGTGTGCTCTTGATTTGATGAATTCCAAAATGGTGGAGTTGAAGGATTCTGTGAAAAACGCCAAGTCTATGCAACTTCAACAAGCGAGCTGCTTGCTCACGACCGAGCGCACCGCCGACAACGGCTCTGGTTGTATGGATAGCAGTAGCAGAGCTGCAAATGGTTGCTGTAGATTGCTGTACATGTGGCAGATAGACTTCCATCCAATTCACGGAGGATCAAGGTCAGTTGAGAGCAATACTGTATTCGCTGCGAATACTAAACGTCCAATATCTCGAGCTGAGAAGTGATTCGCTGCGCTAGTGCAACCGCAGACTGAATTGTTTTCAAACTCAGGCTCAATAGCATGTTGTAACACCGTGCAGCGTAACGCAGCACCTCGTTGTAAGGGGCAACGAAGGAAACACTGCCTAGCTATTTTGCACTTCAGCATTTGGGGTAGATTTTAGATTCCAACAAGTACTACCAGTAATAACTCAGAAATGCGAAGAAAGGGCAGGTTTTGGAATCGTATAAATCTAGGATGTCAAAACTCCACACATTCTTTTGTGGTTGGCTGGCGGGATACATAGCGAGCCGAGCTGGACGACGGACACTGCGCGCGATGGCTGGGCGCTGACGGAAGGGAGGAAGAGGAGGGGAGGGTGACCGAACTGCTGCGATCCTGGGTGCATGTGCATGTTGTTCGGTGCGAGCCTAGGACGGAACTAGCGGCAACGAACTGCTGAGCGCCGCTCTTCCCCATTGTGAGGACGCTTTAGCCACATTTGAGGGAAGGCCTCGTGCCGTCTCGATGATGATAACACGTTCGAGAGGTTTAAATCCTGCAGTAATGAGGAGAATGTGCGGGGGGCACGGCGCTGCCTGCCTTCGCCGTTCTCTTTTGCTGGAAGAGCGATGTAGCTTGTGGTTTGGTGTACGTGCCTGGTTCCCGAGGCTCTGCTGGCCTGCTGCATGTGCACGCAGGGGCGGTGGCTGTTTGGCTGTGACTCTTTTTCTGCTCTTTCGTTGGCTCTTTCTAGCGCTACTGCAGTTTCCTGACCCTCCGTCGGTAACCTGCGTGTCTTCCGCCTCAGCTACTCGTCTTGCTGTGTGTATGCATATCTTCTCGCAATGATGCAAAACTTAAGGCCGCTTTTAAGACCCCTCGCCAGAAGTTCCCGGTCTTCTTTCGACGTGGTTGAGCTCGCGGGGCCGCTGTTTGATGACGAGAACCATTGCAGAAGGTATCGCAATTTTGCTGAGCAACAATGAGAAGAAGTGAATTGCATACTGTACGGGGCAGTCGAGTACGAGTCACGGAGGGGTGACCTGGAAAGTGATGACAGCGATAGAAAACTAAAGCGGCCCGGTGTGAAGCGCTGAGCTCGAGCTGCCGCGGTGATAGTTTTTTACACTTGATCTGATTCCTTTTCTTCGTTCATGCTGCTGTCTTTCGCTTCGTCTTCTTCGTTCCCGGGCCCTTCTCCGTCGCAGCTTTCCGCTTACCCTTTTTGCCGGGTTTGCCACCGCGTCCGGATGGAACGGAGTCGTTGTTGTTTGACGTCTTTTTCCCCTTCGATTCGTTCTCCATGGTGTGTGTAGGCAAGGAGACGTGCTGTGGTTCCAGCTTAACTCGTGGGTACAAGGGACCCTCAGGTGCTGAGCAGCTTGCCAGGAGCTCGTCCCAGTTCATCCAACACGCAAAGGGCTCAGCCACCTTGTTCGGGTCCATGCCGCCGATCAGAGGACGGAGCTTCAGGCACTCCGTGCACTGAATAAACTTCCGCTCGCCGTCGTCATCGTGGGCGTGAGTGTACCGATAGTGGTGCGACAGCTTATCCAAACGCTTGCAGCGCTGAATAAAGTCCTGCGCGAACTTGCGCTGGCGGTATTCCACCAAATCTGCTCCTTTCATGAGCACCACGAGCTTTTCCTCTGGAGCGGCACATTTCTGCCAGAACGAAATGAACGCGTTAGCTCAGCAACACAACACTTCAAACCCGGCTCGCATGACTTACGTTGTGGCGCTTGTCCCATCGGTTCATTTTGCAGTACCAAACGGCCGGCAGCTCCGACACATTCACTTGATCTGTATATACACATACCACGAGTTACTGGAGCTGTTTCGAATGCGCATCCACCAGCACGACACCTACTCGGCAGTCGGCGCCACTTCTGGCACTTATCGCACTGAACCCAGTCGTCCTGCTTCGTCGCAATCGGATTTGGTTTGATATCGTCGTCGTCTTCAGCTGCGGCCTCCTTCAGCTTCTGCAGTGCTGCACTCCGCGTTTCCACAGACAGTTCGGGCGACGACGGTGCCGTTGTCTCGGAGCTACTAGCGCCAGCTTCTTCTTCTTTCATCTCGGTCTCAGTGTTGACCGGCTCAGCCGCGGCTGCTGCAGGTGCCAACGCGTCGTCTTGCGCTTGCCAACTACTTTCCTCCTTCTCGTCAGCCAGCTCCTTTTCTCTCTCCTCCTCCGAGATGATCTGTACTTCAACTCCATAATAGTCCATGATGTCCTCGTCATCATCAACTGGAGCCAAGCCCGGCCAGAGGGACGAAATATACTTCACGCGCTCATCAAGTGTCAAACTCCCAGGCCTGTCTCCAGTCAACGGGACGAAGTCTTCATCCCCCACCTTCACGGGCTTGTACTTGGGGAGCGGCCGGTGCTCACGGACGGGTTCAGGACTGTATGTCCTTGGCTCCGAGCGATCGTCGTAGTAGTCTGCATTAGAAGCCCAGCTGGGTTGCGGCGGCGGGTTGGCCGGGTGCGCACTTCTGCCAATGAGCGCGTCAAACATGGCTGCCTCTCGGTCGTCGTCCTGGATCGAGTCGTAATACTCCTTCAGCAGCTCCCGCTTGAGTCTGAAGATTTCTGCGTTGCGACTCGGGTTGCTGAAGCCTCCGTTGTGGCGCGGCAGGCGCTCGGGCAGCATCGTGGTGGTGACTGTGCCTCCGGGGGACACGACCGTCTTCTCCTCGGCCGGCAGCGTGGCCCGGTACGAGATCTGGCAGCGCGGGTAGAAGCGCACGAGGCGGTGCATCTTGTTGTTCTTGGGCTTCATGATGGTGAAGTCCTTGAGCTCGATCTCGCGCGGCTCCTCGGGCCGCAGCAGATACACGTCCACAGTCTCCGTCTGGATGGGGACTGGCTCTGCATTGACAAAGGGGGCTGCGGCCGCGTTCAAGCGCCAGCAGAGCGGTGAGCACCCGGTATTAGAGCTACAGAGCAGACAGGCAAGCGCTCACCGTCGTCGTAGTCGCCGTCCACGGCGTTGAGCGCCGCGCGCAGGTCCATGCTTCGCCTGCTTTTATGGGTCTGGTTCCCGTGTCTGAAACCTGAAATTGACGATTTCAGTAGACTTGATGGAAAATAAACACTTCAGTTGTCAACGAATTGAGACATAGTTAGTAAAAGTTTGGTAGTAATAATCCTACAGCTTATTAGCGCAATGACTACTTATAATTTTACTGAGTGTATTGCTACTATTAATATCTCTAGGTATAACATAATAACGATGTATTACTACTACCGTGCTTGCCATGCGCGAGAGCGCGATGGTGGCGCAGGATCAGTTGTTTTTGTGCTCACTCGTTAGAGGAGACTCTGGAGCCGTCCACACAGCAGCGTCAACCAACGGGCCGCTTCCAAGTTAGAAACGCCTTCATGCGGCTTTCTTTGGTGGCGAAAAGGCAGAACAATCTATCGAGTCCTCGTACAGCTCATAACAAAGGATCGTGTCCAAAACAACAACTCCTGGTATGATCGCAGGTTTTGCAACTGGTGGATACATCTTCTCTCTATCCTCGAAAAACAATCACATCAATATTCCACAAGATTACTCCACATTCGAACATTTCATTTCTTGTCGACAGCCAGCTCGACCCACAATCGCTTAGACACATGCGCCCAGTCTACTCGAAGTTCCAGCCAAAGAGAAACCGCGGACCGATCTCCTGCGAGTCGCTGCTAGTGTTGAAGAACCTGCTGGCGCAAGAGCGGCTACATGTTGGCAGTATTGGTCAAGTAAGAAGGATACAAATAGACGGTGTAAATCTTGCGATAAGCTGACTCCCGCTTAGTGCAGAGTTTGTTGCTGCACAAATGCTCTGGTGGCCACACACGATGCAAAGACAAGTCTCCGTTAGTTTAGCTCCCATGATGACAATCCATCATGGCACACCTCATCGGTTCATTCCTTCGCCTGCCTATCATGAAACGAGCTGGAGAGTGTAAAGCGCGGGGGGGGGGTAACCACCGATTCGCGCGCCTTTTGAAGATCCTACGTGGGTTTAGTTGCAATATTATCACAACTATTTTTATTAATACTACTGTAGCACTATTCGCGCTCTATAAATTTATCACTGAGGAGTCCATTCACCTACTAAGTACATGTAAATCAGTGCCGTAGTAGTGCTAATATTACTACTACTGACTACTAAGCACCCGTGATTGAAGCGAATCAAAAGCGCTCGCCGGACGCGATGGCCTCGAAGGAGACAGCCACGGCGAAGCGCACGCTGGTGTTCGTGTATGGGACGCTGAAGACTGGTCTGTACAACTACACCACGTACCTGCTCCCAGCCATCGAGCTGGGCAAGGCTTCGCTTGTGGGCGCTGGTCGCACGACGAACGAGGAGTTCCACATGGTGCTGGACGACCAGGCCTTCTACCCGTGTCTCTATCGAGCGCCGACCGAAGGCTACCGAGTGGACGGCGAGGTCTACAGTGTCGACGACGACACGCTGGCAGCTCTGGACGTGCTCGAGGAAGTGGACGACGATCTCTACGCTCGCAACGAGATCGACGTGGACGTGTTGGAGGGCGAGCGCAAAGGCGAGACTTTGCCCTGCCAGGTCTACCTCATGCCAATCTTCGATGACCTGCCCAAGCTGGAGCGGATCACGAATTACACGGCGGCAATGAACGCCAAGTACGACGAGCTGATGGGCGACCCGCAGCTCGATATCCTGGAATGCATCTACGGGAAAGAAGTCACGCACGCCGTGGAAGCGAAAGTGAAAGGGGGCATGGACTTCGCAGACGCCTGGAAAATCGTTGTCAAGGCGTAACGACTTGTAGCAATCAACAAGAGCTGGAGAGAGCAATATGTTATCACGGGTAAAGCAAGCAATATCAACACAATGGGCTCACTCGCCGCCATCTATTCGATGTTCACTTGTGACGCTTGTCTACAGGATGAACTTGGACAGGTCTGTGCGCTCCAGCACGTTCGAGAGCCGCTGTTGCACGTATTTCTTGTCCACCTCGAAGTTCACGCCGTTCATCTTTGGTGCGTGGAAGGACACCTCTTCCGTGATCTTGCTGATGATCGTCGCCAGGCGACGGGCGCCGATGTTGTCCGTCTGGGCGTTCACCTGCTCTGCGATAGTCGCAATCTCGCTGATAGCGTCGTCCGTGAATGTGAGCTTCACGCCCTCCGTCTCCATCAGCGCACTTGTCTGCTCCAGCAGGTTGTGGTCCGTGTCCTTCAGGATCTTCTCAAACTCGGCGGCACCAAGAGGAGAAAGGGCCACGCGAATAGGCAAACGACCCTGTAGTTCAGGCATGAGGTCCGACGGCTTGGAGCGGTGGAACGCCCCGCTAGCAATGAACAGGATGTGGTCCGTGTAAACCAGTCCATAGCGAGTGTTAACAGCGCATCCTTCAGTCAGGGCCAACAGCTCCTTCTGCACACCTTCGCCCTTGCGGTAGCTGGCGCCACTGCCTCCACTGCGTGCCTGATCCCCAGCACTGGCGAGCTTGTCAATCTCGTCCAGGAACACGATGCCGTTGTGCTGCACGTTCTCCAACGCCCTCTTGACCACCTCGTCGTCGTCAATGATCTCGTCAGCCTCCTCTGCTTCCAGACGGGGAAGAGCTTCCTTCACCGTCATACTCTGCGTCTTGTCGTCACTTTTACCAGCACCGCCGGAAAAGCGCGAGGCCATGAGAGTGTCCAAGTGCTTCATCATGTTCTCCAGCTCCGGCGGCATCTCCATCATCATCTCCGGGTTGGCGGATGTAGGGCGCGTCTTGCTCGAGAACGGCTTCAGCTGCACGCGCACTTTGCGGTTGTCCGCCTTGCCGGACGCGATTTCCTCGCGGAGCTCGGCGCGCGAGACGTCGCTGAGCTTCTTGCGGTCCAGCAGGTCCACGAGTCGGTCGATGGCTCGCTCACGGGCTGCCGCTGCGTGCAGCTTCTGCGCCTCCGCTCTCTCCATGTTGACGGCCACGTCCACGAGGTCCTTGATCATGGAGTCGGCGTTGGCGCCGTAGATGCCCACCTCGGTGAACTTGGTGGCCTCCACCTTGAGGAACGGCGAGCCGGAGATCTTGGCCAGCCGCCGAGCGATCTCCGTCTTGCCCGAGCCTGTGGGGCCGCTCATGAGGATGTTCATGGGCGAGATCTCGGCGCGCAACGCGTCGTTCCGCAGCTGTCGGCGGCGCCAGCGAGTGCGCAGCGCCACGGCCACCGCCTTCTTGGCCTCCTGCTGGCCCACGATGAACTTGTCCAGCGCGCGCACCACGTCCTCCGGGATGCGGTCGACATCTCCGCGCGGGATCGTACCAAGCGGGGCCAGCGGCAGGTCCGTGGCGACAGAGCTGAAGCGGCGAACCCCCACGCAGCGGCGCAGCACCATGGTGATCTTTTGATACTATAACTGTGGCAGGAAATGGACCTGTCTACCATCATACTATTATGCGATTGGATAGGTAAGCTGACGTTGGCGCCAATATTTTGGTTAGTGACTGATTAGCCATGGCGATAATGAACGACTCGGACCGCATGCTGCTCCAGCGCATCATGGTCGCTACGGTGCTCGTGATGCGATGTCCAGACTGCCAACTGATTGAAAATGCTTGCGGCGTGATATATTCCAGGCGGCAGGAGCGATGGAGGACCAGGAGGTGCGGCGGTTGGCCAGGAAGCTCACAGGCGAAGGTCAGGCGACGACTGCAAGCTGTGTGTGTGCATGAAGTGCCTTTTGGGGTACTGATAGTTGTGTATCTTTGGTTGAAACAGATCTCACTGCCTCAGACGTGGACGATATGGTGAAGAAAGTGGCGGAGAACATCCGCCCTTTTGCGCTCGACATGCGTCGCGGCATGTACGACGACGGAAAGATGTACCTGGCCGTGGTCAACACAGTACGAATGGAGTGGCATACCAATGTAAGGTATATCTGTGACTAACTGACGTTGCTGTGTTCGTGCACTCGTGACTGTTACTAGAGCAACGACTCCCTGACGGCGTTTGGTAGCAACTTCAAGTCGTGGGAAATCGTGTTCCTGCGCAAGGTGATGGAGGAGATCGTGGATACGTGAGTACACGCATTCAAACCTGATACTTGTGAATGTAGCATTGCTGATCTCCGCTATATGTATGTCCTCCGTGGGTTCAGGGAAGAAGGAGCGCTGGAGGAGGCGTATCTGTTCAACCTTCGCGAAAACACCAAAATTGACGAGGTGGAGGAGTTGCTTCGGAAGCTGACAGCTGAAAAGTGGCTAGCTCCGAGTGCCGTGCCAATGCCGACCCGCAGTTTTACGCTGGGTCCGCGTGCATACTTAGAACTTATCGCGTTCCTGCGCGACATGCAGATCAAGAAGTGCCCAATTTGCCAGTACGAGCTGCTTCAGGGTGCGAAATGCCAGGATCGGAACTGTGAGACCGTGGTCCACAATGGCTGCGTTGACAAGTTTGAGAACAGAGGAGTACGCTACAAGTGCCCTACATGCAAGAAACAGTTGCGGCGATAAGGTGGAGGCTAGTTTAACCTTGCGGAGTACGTAGTGTCATTGCATCTTGAAAGAAACCTCGAGTCGAGGTCCGTGACTTTTATCTCTCCTGCTAGGTGTTCTACTGTGTTTATTCCGTAGTCTCGTGCACCTCGGGGGCGGCATTAGGATCGTACGGCAGCAGTGCGGCAGCCACTCGGCGGTCCTCAGCATTCAGGATGTTGAAGGTGGCACAAGCGTTGACAGTGTCCAGGTACTCCACCACAATGCCGTTCACCTTGAGCATCTCCTTGAGCTCCGGGGCCAGTCCGTGGTTGATACGTTCACCGCAACCAAGCACCAAAATCTCTGCACAAATAACAGTTAGGCATTGGCATCAACCGAGCCAGCAGACCACCATCCCTCGACGTACCGATAGGTGGGTTGGCGATCGTGAACACGGTGAGATGCTCGCGCGTGATCTCCTCAACCCGCTTCGGCTTCCACAACTACAAGGCCACAAAAGACAATATCGCTGTGAGCAAAGGCGATCATAGCGCTTGCAGCTCCACCAAACTAAACATACCATGGCGATCTCGGAGAACAACGCCACTCCTCCGCGCATGTTCTGCAGTCATCGCAACTCTCCAGTTAGATCAGAAAGGAGACTGTGGACAGCGCAGCTCGGCTTTACGCACCACGTCGTTAATGACAAAGCCTCCTTCGTCGTACTCGGTGATGGAGACCTTGGCCGTACCGTTGAGCATTTCCTGTCCGCACAACCGCATCACAGTGCTGAACACCGTTAGAGCCACGTAATACACCTGCGTGAACCAAAACAGGACGGATTCGACCTTGTGCATGTCGTGGCCATAGTTGATCCAGCGGCGCGTCGGTGCGAACGCCGGCCGCGTCGCCGCGCGGAGACTGCGTCGTAGCTGCAGCAAGGAGCGGCTCATATTCGTCTCGAAAACTGGACGTAACCCTATTGGGTACCCATTTGTGTAACTCGCTGGCAAAAAAGGGTTACGATTGCAATTACCCGTGGCAATGGTGGACGTCGATGAGCACGAGCGCTTCATGCGCGAAGCCCTGCTCGAGGTAGGCGGCATCGGGACGTAGTCTATTGACTGTACAGTTATGATACTCAATTGCGTTTCATCCACAGGGCGAGAGAGCGCTGGAGCGGGCGGAGGTGCCGGTGGGGTGCGTGTTCGTGTACAAGGGCGAGATCATCGCACGCGCGTCCAACCGCGTGAACGAGCTGTTCAACGTGAGTATCTTTCATAGCAAATGACTATCGGTCCATAGATCACTGGGATAATATATTGGGTTATGACTGCAGGCAACGATGCACGCTGAGATCGTGGCGATTGAGTCCATCGCCGCCACATACGGCGACAAGGCGAAAGAGGTGCTGGCCGAATGCACGCTGTATGTGACGTGTGAGCCGTGCATCATGTGCGCGGGCGCACTCGCGCACGTGTTCATTAAACACGTATACTTTGGCTGCCACAACGACCGCTTTGGAGGGTGCAGCTCCGTGTTGAATCTGCACGAGCGCAGGTGAGAGACTCTTGGCGTGCTTAGCTCTGTGTGTGTTGGTGTTAACGGAACTCTTGTCGAGCAGCGCGCTTCCAAGCAGCAAAGTGCACCGCGGCTTTCCGTGCGTGTCGGGCATCCTCAAGGAGGAAGCCATCACGCTGCTGAAGAAGTTTTACACCAGCGAGAACCCACGAGGTATGTAGTGCTCGGTAAGTGACCAAGACTGCGTTTTGCACTAACTTCGGCCAACTGTGCTTGTGATCCTGCAGTTGAAGACTCCAAGAAGAAGCGGAAGAAGCGCGGACCAGGAAGCGAGGAAATGGAGCTGCCTGCAGCAGTTGACAAGGCTTGAGTGCATCTAAAACATTCTAGATGATATAGACTTCTATTCTATTGCTTGCACTGCTGCTTCTTGAGAGCATTTGCGTACGGCGGGTTGATCGGCTTCTGCAGAGGCTCCTGATGGACATACTTGGCCGCGTCGCCCTGCGCGGCATCGCTTCCCTCGCCTTCGTCGAGCGGGTACGACTGGTCGGCATCGTAACCGAACACATCGCCAGCGCCCAGGAAGACGACATCCACGCAGACGCCGCGCTCCGCTGATACGTTGCTGGTGTGCCAGTCGTCAGCGTCGTCCGCGTCCTCGACGTAGCGCAAGTCCAGCAAGTTCCGCTCCATGTCCGGAACGAATCCCTCGGGCAGATGGAAATCCTGGCACACGACGAACGACTCGAAGCTCGAGTTGCGACTGGTCTTGGGCTTGGCGCACGTGACCTTGCTGAAGAAGCGGCGCAGCTGGGCATACAGCAGCGACACCTCCTTGCCTCGGAAGAGCTTGGCCACGAAGGTGCCGCCGTCCTCCAGGATCTGCAGGCTGATGTTGAGTCCCGCCAGCACGAGCTGCGCCTGCAGATACTCGTCCAGGTCGTGCAGCCCGAGCACGTCGGGGGCGCCGTCGCTCACGACGACCTGCGCCTTCTGGCCTTGGAACTGCGCCACGATCTCGTCGGCCGTGGCCTTGTGCGTGATGTCGCCCTGCAGCTGCACGACGCCGTCCAGCGGCGCCATCTCCATGAGGTCCACGGCGATGATGGTGCTGTCCTTGGGCACGCGCTCTGCGATCACCTGGCTCCAGCCGCCGGGGGCCGCGCACAGGTCCACGACGCGGGTGGCGCCGCGCAGCAGCCCGAACTTGTCATCCAGCTGCAGCAGCTTGAAGGCCGAGCGCGCGCGGTAGCCCTGCTGCTTGGCCTTGCGGTAGTAGATGTCCTGTCGAGCATTGAGAGGGAGGCGGGGTGAGCAGGTAGCAGGAGAGAGAGAGCAGGCCGACAGAGCTGGAGACGTACACGTTTATCCTTGGATGTCTTACCCATGGCCACCGATAGTTCCACCCTCGTTAGAGTCTAACGTTTATGCCATGTGATTGGTGGAAATGCAGGATTACACGACGCTGCTATTCGTCGCATATGGGTTCTTCCGACTTGCGCTACAGCTCTATCTAGCCATTTTCCAAAGTTTTGCAGAACATCTGCGCGCTGTTCATGAGCTATTACCATCCCAACTCGAGCCACACCAACTTCCACTCGGGCAGTGGCGCCTCCTACGCCTACCCTAACTACACCTCATACCCTGCCTACGCTTCCTACGCGCAGCAGCCGCCGCCGCAATATTCGTACACTCAAGCGCCGCTACCGCCTCCGCAGCAGCAGCCCCAGGCAATTCCGTACGCCGTGCCGATCGACGCCGCTCCAATGGCTACGCCTCCCGCCCAAGAAGCGCTCGACTATTCGCGCCCTCAGACTTGGCGCAACATGCCACAGCAGCAGGAGAGAGGAGCCAACGTCAGCACCGCCGCCGGCCGACCGCCAAGCTTCAAGACGGAGCCAACGCAGCGCGCGGGCCGCTCGTCCAGCAACGCCAGCGCTTCGAGCCTTGACAGCACTACGCCCTCGTCCACCTACAGCGATGCGGCGATGGCTGCTAACGCGTCGCTGGCTGCTGCTGGAGTCGCTGCTGGTGCTGGCTATGCCGGCGAGAGGAACAGTGTGTCCAGTGCGACGTCCAGCGCCACCAGAAGCAGCGTGGACGCCGCGGTGGACACGATGTGGGAAGCGCGCCGCGCCCGTGAAAAGGCCGAAGAGGAGGCCGACCAGAAACTGCTCGACGCTGTGTGCAAGGCGTCGTTAGCCGAGTTCAACGAGCGGGAGCGCGCTCTCAAGGTGTACGAGTCGGAGACGTCGCAACGGTCACTGGAGCACCAGACGTCTTCGGCGGCGCTGCAGCAAGCCAAAGCTGAGGCGGAGCAGCGCAAGCGCGCGGCCATGCAGACCGTGATTGACAGCAAGACGCGCGCGAAGCAGATGAGCGAAAAGGCTCGTGAGGCCACCTCGCTCTACGAGCAAAAGAACAGCGAGCGCCTCGCCAAGCAGGCCGAGCTTGAAGCAGCCAAGATGCGTGAAGCGCAGGAGGCAGAGCTACTCGCCGTACAAAAGCGCAAGGACGAAGCCATGCGGAAGCGCTCCGAGGCGGAGCAAAAGGCTCGTGAGGCGCGTGAGAAGGCGGAGGCGATGCGGCGCCAAGCCTTCCAGGCGGCGTCCAAGGTCCGCGCGAACTCGCGACGTCAGATTGAGACGCAGCTTAGCGAGGAAGAGGCCCAGCGCCAGCGTGAGATGCAACGCAAGCTGGAAGAAATCGAGCGAAACAAGGAGCTCGCTCACCAGCGGAAGGAAGCGGCCGCCAAGAAGGCAGAGGAGGCTCGCCGTCGTGCTGAGGAGCTGCGCCTGAAGGCTGAACAGGCTCGAGCAGGAGTGAAGACCATGGCAGCCCCCACTTCTTCAGCTTAAATGTTAGCGCATGGGCTTTCAGTTAAATATATTAATGCTTATCAATGAGCAAGTTAAGCCGTTGTAGTGTCACCTCCGCTAGAGTAGTGCGTGGGCGACGAAGAATGGCGCTTCGTATGGTCTTCCAGACTAGCGCTAGAGCTGTACGTGCCGTCGGAGCCGCTAGTTCGGCGACAAGACAGCGAGCGGCACCGAATTTCCTCCTTGAAGGCATTTTTCTGTTTGGTGCACAGCCAGTCTTCGTCGGCGGTGACTGCGTCTTCCTGGTTGCTGGCACTATCCTCGACTGCGTCCTGGAACCAACCATAAGATAGCAAGTCGGTGACGGTGGGCCGCATAAGCGCGTCTGTCACAAGCACATTCTTCAGCAGCCCCTTCGCTTGGTCGGAAATGTACGCAGGGTAGTTGATGTGGTTGCGTGACACGTCTCGGCGCAGTCGGTGGAAGTCCGAGTCATCGAAAGGTGCGCATCCTGTCAGGAGCGCAAATATGAGCACACCCACGCTCCACACGTCGGCAGGGCCTCCGTGGAAGCCGTTGCGAGCAGCTTCAGCTGTCGTGTGGAGGAAAAGGATCTCTGGGCTGCAGTACAGCGGCGTGCCGCACACTGTCTTGAGCGGCTGCTCACGGAAGGCCACCACTTCAGACAGTCCAAAGTCAATGAGCTTCACTTTCAAGTCTTTAGTGATCATGACATTCTCCAGTTTCAAGTCCCGGTGGAAGACGTTGCGCGCGTGGCAGTACTCGAGCGCCGACAGCAGCTGGCGGAAAACCCCGGCGGCTTGGTCCTCCGGCATCTTGCCGTTCTCCAGCAGATGCTCCAGCAGGTCAGAGCCCTCGACCAGCTCGTGGACGATGCAGATCCGGTGCGACGTCTCGTAGGCGCCCAGGTACTTGATGATGTTGGGGTGGTCCAGCGACTTGGAGATCTCGAGCTCGGACACGAGCTTCAGCAGTCGTCGTCGCACGCGGTGCACGGCCTTTTCAGGCACATACTGGCCGTCAGCCACCATGGAGCGCCGCGCCTCCACCATCCCGACCTTGTCGAACACCTTGACAGACACGCGCTCGCCCGTGGCCGTGTCCACGGCTTCGTAGACCTTGGATGTCGCACCGGTGCCCAGCACGCGTCCGAACGTGAGCTGCAGCCACACAAAATCAAGTCGCAAGAGCAAATCGTCAATCTCAGCTCTCACCACACACACAGGGGGAGATTCGCGCTACGTACGCGCTGCTCGAGCTCCTCCTCGCCGATCATGTCGCCGATGAGCGCGCGCAGGCGGTCGTCGATCGACCGCTTGGCCGGCTTCTTGTGCGGCGCCGGCCTGCGCCCCAGCGGCGCGTGGACTTTGGCCGACATTTGCGGCGAGCCCCGCTGCTGGTCGCTCAGGCAGAAGAGCGACGCGTAGCCGCCCACCAGCGTGTCTAGCAGCGACGCCATGCCGTCGGATCCGGTTCGCGTGGGTCTCTGTGGTTCCGCTCGACGGCCGGGTGTGCCCTGAAGGCCGCAAAATGCAAAGTGAGCTGACAATCCGAACCGCCACGCCACGCGATACTGACATCAAGTACAAACGATCCGAGCTATTTTGAGCCAATCACGAGACGCGAGTGGGATCCCGCGTATAAAACGCACACCCTACCTCAGACGCTGAGGATATTCCTCTGATGTATTTGCTAGTCTATCATTCGGCATATGGGGGCATACATTTTCCAAGTCATTTTATCTCCTCAAAACTCATACACTACCATAGTGCATATTACGCACGCTCTGCAGAGTCCACGTGCGGAGACCCTTCAGCGCATTAAGCTCGCGTCCACAAGACTGCGGGGGTTCTTTTTTTTTGGGGCCGCAACGGCCGCGAGATGGCTGGCTGCTGCTGCTGCTTGCTGCCTGGGCTGGACTTGAGCCTGCTGGACTTGAGCCGAGTCGGTCTTGCAGTCGCGAAACGCCATCGTTTCGCCCGCACTGGCGTGGCAACGCGTGCTCGGGTAACCCGCGTCGGGTTGATCCGAAGCCTCCGGAACCATCCATCAGCGGTCTCTCGCGACTGACGCTTGCGACCTGTACTACTGTGGGCGTCGTATAGGACTGCGTCGAGTCTCCATTGGAGACTCTCCAATGGTGAGGCCCTCAGGCTCATAGCCCTCAGTGAGGGCTATGAGCTAGCCAACGCTACCAACTTTGCCGTGTGCTTTGTTGCCTTAACCATGCTGAGCTTCGCTTCAACTAGAAGTTCAGGTGTAAGGCGTCATTGCACGCAGACGCCAGGGTGCGGCCTGGATTCTTCAGGGCACTATACTGTAAATTGTGCAGTGTTCTACCATACATGCAATACAGTAATTTGCCTCAATAGCGCAGTCGTGGCATCGAATACCCTGCTGAAACGAGTATCTGTGCACACCCCAAATCCAGCCAATGAGAGTTCAGCTAGCCTCTCCTATGAAATTATCTTAGAGAATGTATAAATGGAGCCATTGCGCTATTGAAGCAAATTACTGTATTACTACGCAGTTCAACACCACAGTGGTGACTGGCAGACGCCGTGGACTACCTACCTGACAACATCAAGGCTTTGAACAGCTCCTCGCAGCTTGGGCGACCTACTTTTTCGCACGTAAGAATATATAGTAAGATCGTTTTCGCGCGCCTCGCCTACGGCTCAATCGATCGGATTGAACCATGCCATCCTCCCACTCCTCGACGACGAAACTCTGTCGCTGCTACGGTGCGTACATGTACCACATATGTGGTACACTTAGTCTGAACTTTAATCTGCTCGCGATTAATGCGACCAACTGCATGACGGAGCCTTCGCCGCTGCTCCGGGAGGAAACGTCTGCCGAGCCGCCGCTACTGCGCAGCGTACCCAGCGCCGGCAGCTTCACGCGCCTCCCTGTTACGCCCATGACGCCGCACTCGCCCGGCTCCCCGTCCGCCTTCTTCTACCACACAGCCACCGCCAACATCGTCGTGCTGGCGCCGCCGTCGCCCAGCGACTCGAACGTCTCCAGCGCTGCAACTACCGGGGGCTGCGGCGCCTGCAAGACCCTCAGGCGATGGCTGCGCATGAACGTGGTGCAGCGCGTGCTGTCGGCGCTGGTGCTGGTGCCGCTCATCACGGTCTTCCTGTGGCTGTCGCCGGCCTTCGCCACCGCCACGTTCTGCACGTTCGTGACCAGCATCTGCTCGTTCGAGTACGCGTGGCTGCAGCACCGCATCTACCTGCGCATCATGACCAAGATGAACGCCTGCGAGCCGCACCTTATGGGCAGGGACGCCAACAGCGACGGAGACAACAGCAGCTCCGACAGCTACAGCCGCAGCACGCGGAGCGAGAGTGGCAGTGACGGGGAACGGAACATCGACGACAACGTAACAGGCAATGTGTATGTAAACAGAGGACGCACCACTGGCAGCGCAAGCGGCGAGACCGTCCAGTCGTCGCCGCTGTCGCCCCCACTGTCTTCCAGACCAGCCGCTGTCTCTCCACAGCTAGAAGGCATCCCCCGCCAACGAAGACCCAGCCATGGCAGCAACGTGGGAGACCACGAAGACTATCTGAACCATCCGAGTTTCTCGAAATGTGCGGTGTCCCAAATCGCCGATAAGTACTTCAATCAGAACGAGTGGATTGCTGCGTTGGTTCTAGCAGCACTCACCACCGTCGTGACCACGACAACGTTCCTCATGTACGTAAACCACATTCCGGAGCTGCAGGAGAAGCAACTATTCAAGTTGAGGTGGTTCTACAGCATCGCCACCGACTACGTCACTGCTCTCTGCGCGTTTTTCACGCCGAATTGGAGATATGCCTTCATCTGCATCGTCGAGAAGGCAGTCTTTACATTGCTGACCATGCATTCGACTGCGTGCCCGATCAACCGATTCCGCTGTGGTGTTTCGTTGGAGCCGGCCCAAGTTTTCCTCTCGGGTGTTGTGGTTATCGTGCTTTTCCGTCTGCAAACAACACGCACTTCCGGGCCCGCGACATTCCTCCACATTGCGCTGGACATGCTGGGCTACTTGTACATCATTGGCAGCCTTTCCGTTATTGTGGCTTTCGTGGATGACGAGCGTCTTGAATCGTACCGCAAGTTGCTGATTGTGCTGCTCTACGTCGTTTGGGCGTCAGATACGGGGGCTTATCTTACGGGTAAAATACTGGAGAGATGTCACTACAGCTACTACAACCCACTGGCATCGCACCTGTCCAAGAACAAGGACTACGAAGGAACTCTTGGAGCTATTTTCTTTGGTGTGACGGCGATGTTCATCTCGTCGGATTTACTTAGCGTGCCGGGGTCGGCGATTGCACAAATTGGATTCACGGTGCTGGCTGTGATAGTTGGACGACTTGGAGATCTATTTGAAAGTTTGCTGAAGCGTGCTGCCGGGGTAAAAGACTCTGGGAAATTGATTCCTGGCCATGGAGGCGTGTTGGATCGCATTGATGCGCTCATGTTTGCATCGCTAGTGTTTGCCAGATATTACGCGTCTATTGTCATGTGACGCCAGGCTTAAGCTGCAAGAGTTTTTAAACGAAGCTGCAGAAGTTATTATTCGTGAGATTATTGTGAGCTTTCTTCGTTACGTTACGGAGCTCTTCGCCAGCTCTTTGCCTACGGCCATGGCTGCAGGAGCTCCCTCGCAGCCTTTTCAGCTGCGAGCTCGCCGTTCAGAAGCTTCACCAGGGTCAACGCGAATTTGATCACGCTCCCGGGGCCTTGGCTCGTGACGCAGCGAGTGTCCACGACAACGTCTTCGTCCACGAACTCGCGCGTCATCTCTCGCTCGTGCGAAAGCGAGCACGTTGCACGTTCACCAAGCAGTCCATGCGGGTTCAGCACAACCGCGGGTGCCGAAGAGCTCGCAGCAATCCAGCGGCCAGCTTGCTTTTGCCAAAGCAGCATCTTGATCACCAGGTCCGAGTCGCGCACATGGCTGGCTCCAGCTCCCTGTTCATCCCCGTCACCCCGTCAGTGATCAGTGCCATTTCACGAGGTTGAATATTCACTCACCCCTGGCAAGACGATCAGCTCGAAGGTCTCGAAGCTGCACTCCTCGATAGGCTTTTCGGCCTGGACGCGCAGGCCGTAGTTGCCCATGATAATGTTGTTTTTCGTTCGACCAACAGAACCAACAACGACATGGAGTCCGCCGCGGATCAAGACATCGGAAAGTGCCAGCGTCTCGAGCTCCTCGCTGCCGTCTGCCACCACGATCAAAGCCCGAGGCTTAACGTGGGGCAGAGCTTGCACCGGTAAATCCTCCTCCCCCAGCGCAGTGTATTCGGACGAGCCACCAGCCATCATGGTTGTCACGCAGATTCGGTTGTGAGCTGAGAAAGAGGACGCCGAGCTGCAACACGCAGCTTCAAGACCGTTAGGACGAATTTCTCGTGGTTTTTGGGAACAGGCAAGATGAACTTCAACTAGCCTGGTCCACCAACGTGTACTGGGGGCGCGCACATCCAAGCTTTCTCTGAAGAAGCAACATGGACCGAATTGCGCAGGCGATCAGTGAGATCGTGAACCCCAAGCCGACCGCGCTCGTTCCAGTTGTAAGGACTGCGATCCCCAAGGTAACGGCGTTCTGCACTGGTAACATGATAAATGCACGCAGGCCGTGGGCAGTGAGGAGATCGAGGTGGCTGCTCTCTGCGATATCTTGGCTCGCGGCGGCGTGCGCGTGACTGTCGCCAACGTCGATGGCCATCTCCACCACATCGTGAAGTTGGCCAAAGGGACGGACGTTCAAGCGGACAAGCCGATCGAGTTCTGCGTGAACGACGAGTACGATGTCATTGCAGTCCCCGGAGGCCCCGGTGCTAAGACCTTGGGGGCTTGTCGGACGCTGGTCAATCTGCTGAAGGAGCAGAAGGGGGCGGGAAAGCTGTACGCTGCGGTTGGTGAAGCCGTTTACGACGTGCTCTTCCACAACGCCCTTGTCGAGGGCCCCATGGCTGGCCATCCGACCGACAAACTGGTCATGGCCGACTTGTACTCGGACGACAAGGTGGTGATCGCTGAGAACTGCGTGACGAGTGAAGGCCCCGCGACAGCCATCGCCTGGGCTGTGACTCTGGTCGAGCTGCTTCGGAGCGAAAAAGTCGCGCGCGAGATCGCCAAAGACATCTCGTTCGAGCCCATCAAGAAGTAAGCGGAGTGAGTGAAAGGAAGGCTAGCTGGATTAAATGAGATAGGACGTGCGGATGCTAGGTACCGTAGCTAGTCTATACTTTACGCAAGGAAACACGGAGAACAGGCAGTGTCAACACAGCTTCTAGCGAGCCATCTCCTTGGTCCACTTGAAAAGGCAGCTTTGTCTTGAACAGATACTTCCCCGGCACGAAAACGCTCAAGACGGAATCTGAGAGATCCACAGCAATCCGCTCCTCTGACTTCATCTTGGGCACGAATACGGCGGCGACAACCTCGTCCTCACGCTGGCCTGGAAGGAGCTCGAAGTGAGGCGTCTCCAATTCAGTTTGAGGGCTAGCAGCGTTCTGCCCCAGGGTCTGACTGCCGTTTAGCGCCTTACACCGCGACGCCTGCTCCTTTGTCAGGACCATTCCTTTGTAAAAGTGCCGGCCCAAACTGTCCTCGAGATGAATGTCCAGCTCAGCATCCAGTCGATTCTGAAGTGCTACGACGTCTCCTGAGGCTATCTCGACTCTTCTTGTCTTGTTGACGCCCCGTACAACGTACAGGAAACTGCTTCCGCGCGACCACGCCGTGTCGCGCTGACCTTCCTCATGAAGGTGCGAGGCAGCGCTGAACGGGTTCTGCTTCGGCAGTAGCAGCATCTTGGCGCCAATTATGCGCGACTGCACAGCAAACTCCCCGTTCATATCTGCGTAGTCGTTGGCGCACGTGAAGATAGCGGGGATCCCCGAATCCGCGATGCGATATAGATCCGGCAGCCAACTGAAGAGCAGCTCGTGGCGATTCGAGTCCACAAAGTTGCCGAAGCCCGTGTTGTAGCCCACAATGATTGAAGATCCGGGCGTGCAGTCGCTGAAGGCCTGTGAATCCTGGAAATCTCCAAACGTCCCTCGGAAGTGGCGGACCGTCAGGTTCTCGGGCAGATCCTCCTTGCGTCTGGCGGCGTCCTGTTCGTCGACTTCGGGGCCAATGAAGAAAAGCGTGACGCTGGCCTTAGCGAAGAAGGCGGCCACCTCGCACCAGTAGTTGGTGATGCGCCACACGCGCTGCTCCGCCTTCTGCGAGGCGCCCACCACCAGCACGCGCAGCTCCGGGCCCGAGCAGAGCTGCAGCAGCTGCGCCACGTACAGCAGCGTGACGGGGAAGCTCAGCGCGTCCAGCATCGACGGGTCGAACGTGGCCGTGGCCACCAAGTCCACATGGTCGCTGGGGCAGCTTCTCGAGGCCAGAAACTCCTTCCAACCCCCGGAGAAGTCCACGCCGCGCGCAGGGAACGCCGGCAGCTGCGGAAACGCCTTGGTCTCGAGCCAGCGGAACGTGCCGGAGTACATCCCATCGCCTCGCGGATCCAGCTTGAGATGCTGCGCGTCGGTGGCGACGGCGACGGCGTGCGATGCAGCGGCCGCAGACGAGGTTGGTCGTTGGCAGCGAGACTTCTTGCCCATAACGTTAGCACTTCGACTACTGCAATCCCAGAATGCGATCTTGAAGGGGCGCGATGGGATCCAGCAGCGCGTTCACAAATTACAACCTGTTGATGAAAAGTTCTATTTATTGCAAATCTAAGCTGTTGGACTGCAAATATAGCCGCATACAGAGCGCAAGTGATTACAGGACCGAATTTTGCACACAGCAAGCACCGAGGGGGGCGAAGAGCTCACAGAGAGCCAAGTGACCCCGAAACAGCCCGGCCCTCGCAGCGCACCCCCAGGCAGAAGCAAGCCCCGCGAGCCGCGCAGTGCAGTGAGCGCCCGTGTGTGTCGTGTCGTGCGTGTCGTCGTCTGTGGTCCAGCATGGCGGACATGAACCGCCGCAAGGGGGGCGTCCGCTCGCAGCAGAGCTACATGCAGCAGCAGGCGGCGGCGGCGTCCCAGCAGCCGTTCTCGGCCTACCAGCAGCAGCTGCAGGCGCAGGCCCAGGCACAGAACCCCTACCAGTACCAGCAGTACCAGAAGCAGCAGCAACAGCAGCAGCAGCTACAACAGCAGCAGCAGAGCAAGGCGCCGGGCTTCCACCCCAATAGGAGCGGAGGATACCGCAACGCCGGCGCCGCCGCCCGCCCTGGCGGCGCCCAGAAGCCCTCGATGACCGGAGCCAAGATGGGCATCAAGAGCGGTATGACGGTGGAAGATCTCAAGCGACTCACGCAGAAGAGGATGCAGCAGTCGGCGGCGTCCAACCCCGCCACGCCCAAGACCGCCGCGCCCGAGGGCTTCTCGTCCTCGAGGCCGGTCACGCCCAAGATCAACATGGCGGTGGTCAACGCCACGTCCACCCCGGCAGCGGTGGCCACCCCGCCGGTTATCCCCAAGACCGGCATGTCGGTGCAGGAGCTCAAGCAGTTGACGGCGCTGCGCGTAGCGTCGCAGAACGTGCCAGTACATGCCAGCGAGGTGACCGGTCTAGTGAGCAAGGCGGTGCTCAGCAACGCCGCCAAGTCGCACTACCGCGACAGCTTGCGCAGCTCGCTCACTCCCGGCAGCACACCCAAGCGCGCGCACCACACTCGAAGCAGCAGCAGCACGCAGTTCGGTAGCGCGCAGTACAGCGGCTTTGGCAACCAGTCCAGCGACCTCAGCCGCAGCCATGGCCCGAGTGATCTCAGCCGTAGCCATGGTCCGCTGAATTCAGGATCGTCGGGCGACGTGATTCCTGTGCGCGGACACCGCAGTCGCTCGCGCAGCTCGCAGCTGCCGAACGTCGATTCGTCGGGCGATAACATGCCTATGCGCTACTCATACACCGGCGGCCAGACCCCTGAAGACTACTTCTCTTCGTACGACTTTGGAGGAGGCAACTCGACATCGTCCCAGGAAACGGATCCTGGACGCGGCGGCCTCGACGATGGCGCTGCATCTGGCCGCAACTCGCTGCTTCAGTTCCCGGAAGATTCGTTCCCGCCGCCACCGCCGATGGACGAGAGTGGTGGCTTTGTTTCCACAGCTCTGCCGTCTTGGTCTCCGCCGCCCGCTCGAACCAAGAAACTCAATGCCTCCTCGGCAAGTAGCGGCGCGACCTTCTACAACCAGCAGACATCGTACTATAATATCGCGTCAAAGGACGACTCGACCGCCAATGATGCTGCAGCAGGAGGAAGTCAAGGGCAGGACCAGAACGCGGTGCTGGCTCCGCCGCCTGGGCTTACAAGACGGCCATCGATGACGGTGCCCTGGCAGGTGGCTGAGGCCGTGCTCAACACGCCGCAAACCAATACTGGTCGGAAGAAGCTACTCGAATCCGATCTTGAGAGCAGCACGAGCGGACTCAACTCGTCCGCAGCTGAAGCTGCAGCGCAGCTAACGGGGCTTTCGTTGCAGCCGTCGTCGCGTAGTCGAGGTTCGCAGCCCCCACCACCCCCACCGTCGTCTTCGGGCACGTTGTCAAGTTCGCCGCCGAGTTCTGGTGGCATGCCACTATCTGGAGGAGCCGCTGCTCGGCGCGGTAGCTTTGGCAATGCCGCCGAGTTTTTCAAGTTCCGTCGACGTAGCAAGAGCCGCCTTGAGCTGGCTCGCGACATGTCGTTCGGTGACAACGGTGAGCAGGGAGGATACCCGAGCTACGGAACTGCGGGTGCTATGCCTGGCATCGCTGAGCGTCATGGAGACGCCGAGGATGGAGCTCATGATGATTCGGCCTCAGATGCGAGCTCATCAACATCAGCTAACGATGAATCCAGCTCGCAGGACTACACGGACGAGGACGTTGTGCAGGTGACTGGCGGCTACGATGACAACACAGAGATCTCGGGAAACTTCGTCTCGTTCTACAACGCTGCTCGTCAGCAGCAAGGCGGACTTTCGGCGTTATCGATTCCCCCGCCGCCGCCACCTCCTCCGATGGGAGATGACGACGATGATGCGTCGACAACATCGTCGACCAAGGGCAACGGCTTTCCCATGATGAGCCCGAACGGTGCTCGCTTGCGCAAGGTAGCAGAATTGGCACGACGGGGCAGCTTGAGCAGCGAGGACAAGACTCGCGCAAAGGACGAGATTATTCAGAGCTCGCTTGGGATCGGTGCAAACAATGCCGCGCGCCTGCTTGCCACTAAGAAGGAGGACCGAGGAGACCGCGTCCCTGCCACGGCTCCGCCGCCCGGATTCCCTGGCGTTCCCCGTACGACACCGAAGGCCTCTGGCAAGAAGATGCTCGCACCTGGATCTGGGATCGTGCGCAGCAGTGCGTCCTCTTCATCGAGTACTTCTGCCGGCGCGGCGGCAGCTGCTGCGGCTCTTGGTGCCACTCCTCAGAGGACCGAACCCGCTGCTAGCAGTAGTTTGGAGGAGCGTCTCGCTGCCGCGGCCCAGAGAGTGGCAGACTGCGTTGGCAAGGGTGATATGACTGGATTCCAGCAGGCTATGGACGAGCTCGACTGGCTTCGCAACGAGGCCAGTAAGCTCATGCGCGGTTGAGTGAAGCTTGACGTGGAGTGTGAGGTGCGTGAATCAAGCGTTAGTAGAGCAGCAGAAACCAACAAAAAAAGAAACAATCAACCATGGTGTAGATATCGAGAGGAGACCTTCCTATCGACATACGACAGACAAACAGACAGACAGCAGGTCTCCAGGCCCGACGTACCCAAGCAAACTCAAGATAAACAACAAGACACACTATCATAGCATGCATATCACTTTCGTAATACTTCGTGATCCTTACAGCAAGATCTTGTACTTCTCTGTCGATGGCACCTGGTTGACAGCAAGACGGCCGTCGTAGGACACGGAAGCAAACATCCAGGCGTCTCCTCCAGCAGCCCACCGCGCTGCGTACACTGCGTCTTCGTGCTCTTCAACGCGTCGAATGAGCGTATCTGCCACGGCGGCACCACCTGCGGTCTCGTCCATGAGATCGCGCTCGTCCAACTCAACCAGCGGTGATGACGAGATCGAGGACACGCGCCACAGAGCCAACGTTGCGTCCGAGCCCCCAGAGAGGACAAGCTGGTCGTGCTGCGGGTGATAACGCGTGCTCCAGACCCAGTGCGAGTGCGCGTTCATCGACAGCACCGGCTTGCGGGCATTGCGCAGGTCCCAGAACTTGAGTTTGCCATCGTCTCCACCGCTCGCAATCGCGTACGGCTTGTTCGGGTTGAAGTCGAGCGACAGGGTTGCGCTTGGGTGTGCGTCTTCCACACTGACGCTGTCTTGCTTTGCTCGGAGATCCCACGTGCGCACACTGCCGCCAAGGGCGAAGGCCAGCTGCGAAGAGTGGTGAGGGTCCCAAGCCAGCGCACTAGCCCCTCTCTTCGTAGTGCCTCCAAGCATCGACACGTCCAGCTCCAGTTTCTCCTGCGCCTCCACCGATCCACCGTCCAATTGCCACGTACGCAGCAAGGTCTCATGCGCCGATGCCAGCGTAGGCGAGTCTGCTGTTGCATCCCAGGCCACTCTACATTAGCCAATACAAAGCCCAAACGTCAGCTTTAGACCCCGATGTCAGTGTTAAATGCACTTGATTCGCCTCGTACTCGGACACCGGCAGCTTCTGCGCCGGGAACGCCGCCAACTGCGTCAGATCTTGAGCTGCAGCATCAACAGCGTGGCTGTCCTCTGCGTCTTCCCCCGAGGGGGCAACAGCCTCATCAGCGTCCGGCAGTTTCCAGAGCGAAGCTTCAGTCGCTTGTTCACGCTGCTTGCCGCACGTAACCAGCAGCTGCCGGTCCTGTGGACTCGGAGCCAGACTCAGCACCTCCCCAGGGTGACGGAACACTTGGCGCGTCGTGATGTCGCTGGCATTGTCGCTCACCTCCACCAGGTGGATCTGCAACAGGCAGACACAAAAATAATAGTCCTGAGTGTCCAGGTCAATGGATATGCTGCCAGTGTATCATACGCAGCATACCTGGTTGGGCTGGTTCAAGGTGCTCGTGCCCGCGAAGAACTGCGCGCGGTCCTTCTCCGCCAGCACCGGCTCCAGTGACCGCACCTGCTCCAATACAACACAATACAACCGGATCAATCAGCCCACAGAGCGCAGCAAAACCTCCGCTACATCTTCCATCACCGTGGCGCCGAAGCTGAAGCTGCACGCGCCGCCCCCGAACATTTTGGACTATAAAGCGGGTCAAAATCTATTAAAAGTGTAGCCACTTCTCAAATACCAAAACATTATGCACACATTAGACACAAATTAGTGTTCAATAATGTCGCTGCAGTTCCTGGGCCAAAAGTCGTGGCATCCGGCCAGCAAGGCCAACCAGAAGCGCGTCTGGGTGGCGGAGCAGCGCGCCAAAGAGCGCGAGGAGCGCGAGCGCGAGAAGGCCAAGGAGGTGCGCAAGGCGGCGGAGGCTCTGCAGGCCCAGCAGGCCGCCGCAGCAGCGGGGGACGCCGGCGCAGCGCGACGCGCCGCCAGTCAGCAGGTCAACTTCCTGTACGCGGCGCCTCCGGGGCTGCCAGAGGCCAAGGACGAGGCTCAGCACGCGAAGCAGACGCAGGGCGGGGAGGATGAGGCGGTGCGTGAGTTCAGACGCAGGGCCGAGAGGCGGGGAGAGCCGCAGCGGAAGCTCGAGAGATACGTGGGGCGCCGAGCGGAGGAGACGCTGACGATCAAGGACCAGGTGGAGCGGTTCCCCATCCTGAAGGACGCCCCGGTGGAGGGCAAATACACGGAGACGATCCGGGTCAACTTCAACCCGGTGGGGCTCTGGCTGCGCAATGTGCGCTGCATCCGCTGCGGGGAGTGGGGGCACCAGAGCGGTGACAGAGAGTGCAAACTACGGGACCATAATCCCAATGGTGAGGGGGTAGTTGGAAGTGAGAGAGTGAGATTTAGAGGGCAAAACGTTCTGATGGTGGGCATTATTTTGTGCGGGGTTTAGATGCTACGAGGCAGAGGTGGGAGGACCCAGTGACGGAGATCAACAAGCTCAAGTCTGCCAAGCAGGAGCTGGTGTTTCGACGAGGAGCGCTGCCGTTGGAGATGCAGGAGGCGGCGACTAATGAGTACGAGATCTTGCAGTCAGACGATGGTGAGCTTTCAAATGTTGCTTCTGTGGAGTGATGCTGTTGAGTCTGATGGCGGATTTTTTTCTTGCTGCTGGCAGAGGACGTGGAAGCTGCTGAGGACGCGTTTCTGGCTAATCTGTCGTCCAAGCAGAAGAGAAAGCTGATGAAAAAGCTTCAGAAAGAGTCACGAGGTGATTGGAGCAGCAGCGATAGCGATTCAGCTTCCGACGTATCGTTATCCCGTCGTCATCGCTCGAAGAAGAAGAAAAAGTCGAGCAAGCACAAACGCAAACACAAACGCAAACACCGCTCGCGAGGAAGATCCAAAGGTGGGGTGGAGAGAAGCAAAGAGTCCAGGAACCCGTCTCGACGTCGAGACGCATCGTTGTCACCTCAACATGGCCGTCAAAGTTATCGGCGCTCACGCTCACGGTCTCATGGAAGGGACGGCCAGCACCAAAGCTCTAGGACGTGATGAAACAAAGACAACGGACGTGCAAGTCACAGCAGAGGATCAAGCGGTGAATGGAAAAGAAGCAAGCTTTGTTCCTGAATTACTACGCCTGGATGTGCTACGGGACTGGAACGCCAGTAGCTGAGTGCACAGCGATAGCGACGCGAGCAGTGGCGCGAGGAACAGCAGGAAGTGCGCTGTTATGCACTGGTGGCCCCGTAGGTGGCACCCGCGACGACAGCCATCCCCGAGCCCATATTCGAGGCTGGAGGACGACTTCACTCCATTGTTACAGAGAAGCAAGCACACATATACAAGTTGCACGCTTATTAGCCGTGATCCTCAAGTTTAGTCACCCCAAACGACGACCCACCTGTCCTCCATAAGCGACCGGCAAAGATTGATCGCCAGCACCGCCGCAATGATCGCAGCTCCTTCTCCAGCACACGCGCGCACGGCGATATCCATGCACTGCACCGAGTGTGGGAGCTGGACGTGCTTGATCAAGACAGCGATGAGATACCAGATGATAACCAGGCCGGAGATCAAGTCTTGCGCGTAGCGTGAAGTCAGCAGCCCCAGCACGATGACAACGCAGAGATACGAGACGTAGGTCGTGAGGCCCAGGAAGTCGTGGTTCGAGTGCTGCATCGACATCGCCAGGTGGGTGAAGGCAACTGTCGTCACCCACGCGAAGTACGCAGAGATTGGAAGCTCATTACACAGGTACAGGGTCCAGTCAAACGGACCAGTCTCGCGCGCGTTCCGATCGTTCACGGCGTAGATGTACAGCACCAGCAAGGCCAGCCAGAGGGCGTAGATGATCACAGTCGCCGCGTACACGTGGCCCGACACGTACAAGAAGACCCAAATGGTGTTCAAGACGAAGGTCAAACCGAAGCACAGACGTAGCTGAGCTGGCTGGTTGGCTTCACCGAACATTGAGTAGCGCGGCGCGATGACATCGACGACGACGAGCACAGCTTCCAGTGCGTACACGAGAATCCAGAGCACGAACGCGTAGCTTGCTGGCGTGATCAGCGTTTCGTAGTCCCGCGCCACGGTGACGAAGCGCTTGGCGTACACGATGTTCACGACGGCTTGCATCACGAACAGCGCAGCATTGATGATGGCGAACCACGTGCCTTCCATGGTAGGCGTTGTTTGGAGTTCCGATCTGTGAGCGAGGCGGGCGAATGGGAAATGGTCGGGGCTATAAAGAAGCAAGACTGGGCAAGTCTAACGGTTTGATCATCCTTGTTCCCGACAGTTGGGAGTTCATCGAGAGACAAAGTACTCGCTCAGGAAGAAAGGCACTTGCAACTTCACACCGTCCCATAGTATCTTCTTCTAGGACCGAACTTCAACAAGGACAAATCGTACGTTTTCGAGAAAGTTGCGACGTCCACCTACTTAGCGCTACGATCGTCACGTTCGGGCCCAGCTTGGTCGTCGGTCCACCACCACGTTGCCCTCAATGATCGGAGAGATCTTCCCACCCGTTGTGCTCAACTCACGGAGCCATTTAGAGCTCCGAGCACATGCCCAGCGTCTTGATCTGGCACTCAACTCTGCGATGTTGGTCAGCCAGGGTCAAAACATCGTCTTCCATCCATATGTACTAAAGTGGTATACTACCTTATCTATTGTAGTCATACCTCGTGTTGCTTGAGCTCCATTGCTGCCCACGCGTGACACGTTGTCACAACTCTGTTGGTTCCACAATGAAGAACACGCCAGGCTTTCTGGTCTTCTGCATAGCGGACAAAGATCCCTCTCACGCTGCGGTTGTCAAGTGTCTTCCGTTTTCCCGGCGTCGCAGTTAACTCGAGTCGTTCGGGATGAGTAGGCGTCACGTAAGTGTACGCAAGCGAACCGAACACACGTAAGTTGCTGTAGTCGGGTTCCTTGCGGTGCCACCGTTCGTAGGGCGTGACATCTGCACGTCGAAGTGGGCTAACGTTGTTGAGGAGCGTTGCTGTGAGAAGAGCTTCTCCCCAAAACTGCTTGGGTAGTTGGGCCCCAATGAGTAGTGGCCGAACCTTCCTGAACAGTACTCGAAATCGTACTTCCGCGCTGCCGTTTTGCTCAGGTGTGTACGTTGTTGTTCCGCGACAATGGATACCCTTTGATCTGCAGTACTCTTTCCACTCAGGCGATATGAACTCGCCACCGTTGTCTGGGTTCACCTCTTGGATCCGACAGTTGTGCTTTGTCACTGCTGCCACTACATACTCCTTGAAATGTGCCAGTGCTTCCGACTTGTGGGTCAGCAGACGAGTAGCGACGATGCCAAAAAAATCATCAACGAGCACGAGAACATAGCGCTTGCCGCTAAAGGTTGGGACCTCAATCGGTCCCTTGACATCAGTGCACACCAACTCGTTGACGTGAGAAGCGCAGTTTCCGACTTAGTGTGCAGTGACTCCATAGACACTGCAATTGCCAGGACGTCGTAGTTGTCTAGCGATTCGTCTTCGTCTTTGACTGTGTCTAGTGCCGCCATGGCTGCAACGGGAGCTGGTGCGGTGGCTCCGCCCTCACGATCGTGCCTGGCCTTCATCATGCACACCTAGATGAAGTGGCCAGGCTTGCGCGGACTTCTGCTGGCCGTACGCCAGCTAAATGGATGGCTTGATTCTTGTCCGAAGTGCGCAATCGCGTTGCTGGGTTTGGAACAGCTTGGGCAATGCTGTACATGCTGACATCGGTGCTCGTCTTCGGCTAGGTGTGCCTGCATGTCCGAAGCGGTGTTGTTGTACTTTCGAGTGTCCATTTCCAGCAGGAGTTTGGTTTGAAGCAGAGGTCGGAAAACAATATAGCAATACAGTAATAATTGGGTTTCCAATAAAAATATTTATTACTGGACGCCTCGGTTTCCAATACAATATCATATTGACCCAATTATTGACAATAAATATGATAAAAGCCCGCTTGCATAGAGTTTTGATCTGATGATGTCAAGTTCTAGTCGCTAAGGGCATGGACATTTACTTTAATGCCATATTCAAGTAAGTACTTGAGTATTCCGTACCCAAGCGACTAGTATTTGCATTAGCTGTAAATACCCCTTGCACGAAAACAGCTAATACGCTTTTATAATGCTGTGAACATGTAACTACGCGTAGACTGGGACTCAGGTTGGCCCCACAATGAAACCCAGTGAGACCTCCACGACTAATAACTTGAATACCAAGGTAAATTATGCCACTCAACTGCTCGTTTCGAACGCTGCTGATACTGTCCTCGCTGAGGACGAAGAGGGCAATGAGTCCCCACCTTCTTCTCCCCCCTCTAAATCGATAAAACAGTATGTTCTATGCTCCAATACAATATAAATTACGGCAATATTTATTATTGTTTGTCCAAGAATTGTAATATTTATTGGGGCTTGACAGTGATCACAATACAATAAAATACGGTATTGGCAGACCTCTGGTACCGGTTGTTGAATGTAATGTGACTGAATTTTTCGCCATGAGTTACAATTTTACTGATATATTGAATGCTCGAGCACGATTTAGCCTGGTACTGTGGGGGATATTTAACGATGCCCACCCGGAAATTTGTTGCAATCGATTCAGCGGCCAACGGTGGCAACGCCAAAGCCACTTATAATGATTCGAAAGTATTTATCTACTACTGTAGCATGGAAGCAAGGACTAAGCAAATACTATACATTGATTTACGGTTGAAAGAGGTCGAAAGCTACGACGGCACTACCAGATGCGGCACGATAACCCTTGCTGTTACGTCAAGCCTCTTTCCTGTCTTCATTTATGGCGGCGACGGATGACTCGGACATGAAAGTTCTAGTTGATCAGCATGTGTGCAACGTCGGGAACACGCGCGCTGTCTACCAGTGCTCGCTGCGCTTGCTCGTGGCATCGGTCCCCGTGCTGCCTATACCGTTTTCTATATTAAACTCCAAGCCCGGTCATATTAAAATGACCGGCGGTCATTTTAATAAAATCTGATGCAAACCCGGCACTTCGTGCATATTTTTTTTGAAACCAATTTGGTAAAAGTATGAGTGTGTATAGGATACTTGGGGGCGGTCTGAGAAGCTAAGATACAAACATTTTCCGAAGCAATGCCCCTCTAGCAACCAGGGCGAAAATTCGCCGTGAGGATGCTGCTATACTAGTTATATGATGATGATGACGTATATTGGACAACTGGGTAACTTCAGAGTCCTAACAACCCTACTGCCGTGGTTTTACCCTTGGCCGATTCTCACTACTTACGTCTTCGTTTGCTGTTCTTCGGGGTCTGCCAGCAGAACCTGTGCGTCTCCCCTTCTATTAGACCATTCCACGAGGCCTTCTTGCAGAAGCTGCGGCATTCTGGGAAATGTCAAGTTGAGGTACTCTGGTGTTGGTTCCAGCGTCTGCCCAGACTCCACCGCCGCAGTTGCCAGACTACACGAACCCTGGTTTGCCGCTTTGGAGGTTTGCATCCATGACTCAACTCGGACCTTGTCAGTCATGTGTCTGCGTTTAAGAAACCAACCCCGTAGCCGAGCAGCCTGGGGAAGAGTACGAGTATTCAGCGTCCTTATCATGAGATCATTATCTCCGGCAACGTGAATTCCTTTGACTCCTAGTCTGTCAGCTGCACAGAGGAGATGAAAAAGTGCCACGAAACTCGCTATGTTGAATGTACACTTTGGGGAAGGGAAGGCTAGACTAGTAGCCCAAATTGTGCTGTGCGGGTCGGCACAAAGTATTCCACCGCCGCCTCCAATTCTGGGAGAACCTCTAGCGCACCCATAGACGAATCCCACGACCGGGGGCCGCCTCACCAGCGTTGACGTTGGCAGCTGGAGCGCATTCTTCAGTAGCTCTCCATGGATGATTTTTGTGACTTGCCACTGTGCGTACGTTTTCCGTGTCAAAGGCGTACCCATAGTTACTTGCGTATGGCTACGCCGCAGTTTTGCTTTTAGCTGAGAGAGAAGGAGGTGCTCGTCAAACTTCGTGGTTGTCTCTGAGTACAAGACAGTTACTCGGAATCGCCAGGTAAAGCTGATTACACTGGCAACACCTGCTCTCCAATACGGATTCGCGACTTCAAAAGCGAAGCTAGTCGCGTCTCGGTCAAATCGATGTTTTGCACATCTTTTTCGACGTGGGCTCTAATTCGTTCCGGCGGCAACCTGAGTTTTAGGGAAAAATCTCAGTTTCCGTACCAAATTCACGTCCTCCGTGTGCAGACCTCCAGCCAGCCAGGCAGACCTTCAGCCTTCAAGAAAACGTCATCAGTATAGTTATAGATAGATGATGTAACGGGCAAACTGCACCCCGTTACGTGCTTACACAAGCAGAGGAAGTAGTAGGCAAATTGAACTCTGGTATTAAGTGCCGAGACGGTCTCGGCACTCGAGACCGTCCCAGCCATTAAACTTATAGTGGGCTCTGATTGGCCACCGCGCACACACGGTGGCGCCTGTGTGACAGTGGCCTGTCACAGATGAGGTGGGAGGTTGTTTGGACCTGGTGAGGGTCTTTTCCTTCATTCCTCGGTAGTTACGTAGCCTACGGGTGCTCTGACCAAGCGCTCCATCAATACCACTTCGACTTCTTCCTTCTACCTGCTTGGTCTTCTTCCTCTTCAAGATCTCTCAATCTCAACAGGTTTTGAGCCCAACTTCGCCAGAGAAACAAGACGTCAAGAAGCCCCCACCCCAAGAACATTTCGCGCTCCAACTGGAAAGACTGTTGGAACTTCAACTCCCGCAAGCCAGACTTCACAGCCTGGCAGATTCGGATTCGAGCGCTGCTTGAAGCGGAAGGTGTGTGGGAGATCGTGAACAAGACGCATCGATACAACTGGCACTGGGGTCAACGTCGACGCGATGAATTCATCTCGCAGGATAAGAAGGCGTTCCAGCTTCTCATCAACTCGCTCGACGACGCGACGGTGAAGGCCATGAGCAAGTACGAGTACTCGTGGTTGGTGTACGAGCACATGGAGCGCGTGTATGCCTCGAAGGACACCGTGAGCATCTATCATGCCAGATCCAGCTTTCACAACCTCAAATACAAGGATGGGGCCAACCTGAGTCCCAGTCTACGCGTAGTTACATGTTCACAGCATTATAAAAGCGTATTAACTGTTTTCGTGCAAGGGGTATTTACAGCTAATGTAAATACCAGTCGCTTGGGTACGGAATACTTAAGTACTTACTTGAATATAGCATTAAAGTAAATGTCCATGCCCTTAGCGACTACCGTCTTCCCTCGTACTAGACGCCTAGCCGTTGTATGCGAGGTTGGCCCACAATCCCAAATCTTATCTCACCCTCGAATTGAAGCTATAGCAAAATAGAACGCCTACCCAATGTAGCACATGTTGTAAATGGCATATGATGACCGAACTCCTTGTTACCAACAATCCTGCTGTCAGTTGGACGAACCTTCGCCGTTATAACATCTTCGTGTTATTGGTACCGCCGAACATGACAAATCTACTCCAACCGCTCTATGTGGCTCTAAACAGGAGCTTTCAAGCTTTCTACAACGACCGATTCGATGAGTATATAGGCAAAGCGCTGATCGATCCAACTTTGCAGACAAAGCAGGGTAACCCCAAGGTTCCTCACTACCGAACGGTATCTCAATGGGTTCTGACCTGGATTGAGATGAAGGACGCCACCGACATCAAAAAAGCATTTCGGGTTTGTGGCCTTGTTAAACGACAGTCATTTGATGTGGAAGACCTCCATCTCCCGCGCGAGCTGTTGGAGGCGAGTATTGATTTGGATGAATGTCACCGCAGATACAAGGCTCTGCTTGACGAAGAAGCTGATCTAGAAGAGGTTTGCATTGACCCACCTGAGTGGTATGTACCGGAGGAGACTAAATCAAGTCTTCATCGTTGCCTCCGTTTCAGCCTCGCACCCTCTATCGCCGACTACACCACGCTGCTGACGGAGTTCATGGCTGGACTTGAAGATTTGACGGGCTTACTTGACCACGACTATATTGAGTCGATCAGAAACGGAACTGCTGAATGGGGTGAGTTGAAGATTTTTGCAGCATCCAGATTGCACAGATGCAGCATTGAAGTGAAAACTTTGAACGACAACTGCAAAGTGATTTCCGAGTTCACATACACTGTTCCTGAGGCAACTGGGAAGATATGCCTTGCTCGACTGGGCCCTCAGTTTGCGTTGCACGTAGCAGGAATGCCGATATAGCTTAGAGGCCACTACCAAGGCCTCCCTGTCCACTTTAAAGGTGGTCCACATAATCGTACCTAAGCTGCCTTGGACGCCGAAGGCGGCTCCACTGCTTCGCTGCGCTCGGCAACTGGTTATGTGGGCCACCTTATTATGTTGTCACGTGCTACACACGGGACGGACACACTGGACGGTCTCTCTAGTAGATGGTTAGGATAAATATGATAAAAGCCCGCTTGCATAGAGTTTTGAACTGATGATGCCAAGTTCTACCGTCTTCCCTCGTACTAGACGCCTAGGCGTTCTAAAAAAATAGAACGCCTAGTGGGCGCTCTATTTGCTGCCGAGCGAAGCGAAGGCGGCACCCGCAGAACCCCTCAGGCGATATTGCGCGGTCGTGCTGCAAGGCGCTGCTCGCCTGGCACGCATTCGTCGAACCTATTGCTCGGGCTAGCTCGCGTACGATTAATAGCGGCGCCAACGGCCCATAGTAATGTAAAATAGTTCCCTTGCTCTTTTAAAAATATTCAGCGTGGCACCAATTAAATATTTTTAAGAATTATTAATGTGGACCACACTAAGTCGAGATGCATACTTTTGCCCCCAGTTTGAATTTGGGACTCGCGCGCGCCACGACGCCGACGAGGTACGCTGCGTGTATGCATGTTAGTTAGCCTCACAAGCCACCACCACCACCACGCACAGATAGTCCGAGGCTCCTGGTGCTGCTTAGGGGGAAGTATCATCCTAGCGGGGCTTGCCTCGCTAGGCGGAAGCCGTGCTTAGGTTTTTTTTTAAAAATATTGGTCTAATTTGGGTAGGACTATTTATAGTCGTACACATTTTTGACCTTTACAGAGTATTTAAACCCACCGCCCACTCTGGCGAGTAGCATAACGTAGATTATCGAAATCTGACACATTTTGGTAATTTATATTGGCACCGGTCTATTGACAACAAACCCGAACGCGAACCAGTTGATCTGGCCGTAATGGGTCCTTTGGCCCATGCGACCAAGCCATTCCCATGAATGCGCAAAAGGATATCGCACGAAGACCCTCAGTACTGCCCAGGCGCTCAACCCTGACTTGCCGACTGCACGTTTGCGAGCGAATTCACTTCGGTGTTTCGTGTCGGTTACTTCGTTCCATGAGATAGTAAACTTCGATGGGAGCCGCACCACCCGGGCAGTACGCAGATGTCCAACACAACCAAGCAGCATGGAAGACTACTGCTATGTGCGGTGTACTTAGACTTTATGTCTAACGCGTCACGCTACTCTGTTTCGTGTTCGCAGTGAGTGAGCCATGGCCCGCCGCCCCAAACGTCAACGCACTCGAGCTGAAATCTGAGCGGCCCTGAAGCACATATGCGCATGTGAACAAGACACCGGTAGAGCCAGAGGAGGAGGGAGTAAAGCGGAAGCGCCAGAAAACACGCTCTCGGGTGAAACGCGGCTTGGAAAAGGAGTTGGAAGCTCTCAGTATTGCTGGAGATGGCAGCGGTGCACCGCCGCCTGCGCCTCCGGTCGACGTGGTTGTTGAACAACCTACAGTGGAGCAGGAAGGCAAGACGGAAGAGGATGACCCGCTGGAGAACCAGCGACAGTTTGCGACTGCATACGCAGTGGGACATCGCATTGCGGAAGAAGAGGCTGTACAGGGATCACCGCCGATCCCCTCCTCAGCCGATAGAGCGGTAGCCGATCGAGCCCGCAACGCGGAACGTCAAAGGATTCGCCAAGCTAACATGACCGCATCGCAAAAGGAGCGTACCAAGGCTAAAACCCGAGAACGCGCGCGAGCCTCAAGGGCTAATAGGACGGATTCCCAACGAGCTGCAGCAAGGGAAGCTGATCGACTCCGTAAACAGGCAAGACGTGCACGTCAAAACCCTGCGAATCGGGATGAGGCGCGTGATCGCAATCGCTCTTCTTTGCGAACCCATCGCGAAGGGCAATCTGCGGATGCACGCGAGGCGGCTCGGCAGCTAAACCGAGAGCGAGAAGCTGCGAGACGCGCACAACAGACCGTTGAGCAGCGTGCGGCTTCGCAAGCAAGTGATCGTGAACGCCATGCCGTCAGGCGTGCATCACAGATCCAGGAGGAGCGAGAAAGGTCACAAGCGGTCGACCGGGAACAATACGCTACCAGGCGCGAAGCCCTAACGGAAACAGAACTCGAGGCACTGCGTGAACAGAACCGCATTCGGCGCAGGGCTGTTAAGCATCGCCACGCACACGCCAACCATGAAACCTTTCGGGTTGCCAACGTTAGGGGACAACACATCGTCAACGGGCGCCACAAACTACCTCCCACAACCATGGGCCGGTTGTGCCACGCTTGGAAATGGCCGGGCGAGTTCGAATTCATTTGCTGCATGCGGGGCAGGGTGAAACTACCTCCGCTTCGTGCAGCACCTCCGCGGCTCTTGGAGGGGTATAGAGACGACAAGTTCCGCCGCAATATCCGGGCGTACAACCAGGCCATTGCTTTTACGTCAATCGGTGCTTCCTCCAGCGACAGACGATTTCAAGGGGTAGCTCAAGACGACGAGGTTGCGGGACAAAACGGCGTGTACACGTATCGTATCCAAGGAGCAATGGACCATTACCTGGGATCTATGCTGCCTTACGTGGACCGCGCTACAGGCGAGAGAACGGCGCCCAAGTTCGCACAGGTCTACATCGTGGATCCGGTTATGCAAGAGCGTGCCAAGCGACGCAAAAGTATTTATGCTGATCTGGACAACGTGGCTTTGAAGGATATCGAGGATATCATGAAGCGGTGTAATCCGTTTGCACAGCATTTCCTAAACTTCGGGGAGAAGCTGCGAGCGGATTTGGCGAAGGGTATACCCATCATGGACATTGAGTACAAGCTCCATGCTAAGCCATCCCAACCCGGGACGCACAACTCGCCTACTGTTTCTGAAGTCGGCGCCGTTGTGGTCACGGATGGTAACGTTCCCAAGCCACGCGATCTGCTTCTCTACGCGCGGGACCATCAACTGTTGCGTCTATTTGAGACCGACGAGAAGTACGATCCTCTTCAATATCCTCTGCAGTTTCCTTACGGCGACCTCGGATGGACGTATTCAAACCTGTACGCGGACGGAGCTCTGTATCGGAAGAAACGGAAGATGGCTTTGCGCGAACACACCGCTTATCGGCTGTTCCAGAAGGATTGGGATCAATCGACTCTTTTCCAAGGTGAGCGGCTGTGCCAGCAATGGGTGGTCGACCAGCGAGCTAAGCGTGAACACGAACAGTTGCGATGGGTGGCTACTCATCAGAAGGAGATCCGTGCGGACCAGTATCACGGAGTTCAAGACGCGCTGCTCAATTAGACGACTGTGACGCCAGATGAAGGTGAAGCAGTTGTGTCCGAGTTCGATCGTGAAACCGGCGAATTGGTACACCCAGATCGGAGACGCAGCGGCGATGACGAGCACTTTCTGGGCCAAATCGGCAAACGAGTTATCCTTCCGGACTCGCATGTCGGTGGCCCGCGCTACATGTATAAGGCGTATCAAGTCTCAATGGCTATTGTACGTGAATACGGGAAGCCTGATGTGTTCCTTACCAAGACTTGCAACCCCAAGTGGGAAGAGATCCTGGAAAAGCTCCCTGCGGGTCAAACCGCTCAAGACCACCCGGATATCGTTGCCCGGGTCTGGCAACAAAAGCTCAAGACCCTTCTGGCGGATTTGGACGAAGGTATTATCGGGCGACTACAGGCCCGTATTTACGTAGTAGAATTCCAGAAGCGCGGCCTTCCACACGCCCACATTCTCACGATTCTGGAGGATGGAGACAAGCCTCGGACTCGCGAGATTATTGACAAGTTGGTGTCTGCGGAGGTGCCCAACAAGGACGTTAATCCCGATCTGTACGAAACGATCATGAGTTGCATGATGCATGGTCCGTGCGGAGCTGCGAACCCTACGAGCCCGTGCATGAAGGAGGGGAAGTGCACCAAGGGGTACCCGAAGCCGTTGGTAGAAGTGACTCGAGCGAACCAAGATGGATATCCTGTGTACAGGCGGCGCCGGCGTGAACCGGGGGTTCTAACGTACAAAGGCAAGACGTACGACAACGAGACAGTGAACCAGTGGGTGGTTCCGTACAACCCGTACCTATCGCAAAAGTACAATTGCCACATCAACGTGGAGGTGTGTACGGCAATTACGGCGGTGAAGTATCTGTACAAGTACGTATACAAAGGGTCCGACAGAGCTGTGATTACTATTGAAGCCGTGCGAGACCCCAACAGCCCCCGTGTGGAGCCCAACCAGATCCTACCGTTTTTGAACGCCAGACACATATCATCGGTAGAGGCATGTATGCGGCTTTTGGCGTACGATATCCAAGGCAAGACACACTCCTTTACGAAGCTTACCGTTCACTTAGAAGATGGTCAGACGGTGATTTTTCAACCCACCGAGGACCCAGCAGCGGTCGCAGATCGGGGGAAACGTACAATATTGACGAGCTTTTTCGAGCTATGTACCAATGCAACCAGATTGCCAAGACCATGTTGTACCAAGATATCCCGAAGAAATTTTCCTGGGATGACAAGGCGAAAAAGTGGGTTCGTAGAACTAACTACCAGGCGGTGATTGGACGCTTGATCCACGTTTCACACAGAGATATGGAGCGCTTCTATCTGCGCGTGTTACTATGTCACCACAGGGGACCGACTTCCTTCGAGGATGCCCGCACTGTGAATAGAGTCCTTTACAGCACGTATCATTTGGTGGCGAAGCACGCCGGTTTTCTGGACGGCGATCAAGAGTGTGTCGCATGCATGTCGGAGGCCGCAACGTTTAAGATGCCGAAGCAACTGCGCCAGCTGTTCGCAACGTTGCTGGTGTATTCCCATGTTACAGACGTTCGGGCGTTGTGGGATCAGTTCTACGAAGAACTTTCCAGTGATATCGAGAAGAAGTACAAGAATCTTGAAGGTCAGACAAAGGCGGATACTGTCCAATTCCACACGCTCAAG